CCGACTCGTCAAAGGTGACGTCCTGAGAGGCGAAGACCCGGCGCGAGGTAGGGTGGTAAAACTGCCAGCCAGGCGCGTCAGGGACAAAGCCAAGGAAGACACAGGGAAGCGTGCAGGAGGAGAGCTTGTCCGCAGACGTATCGCGGACAAGGGCACGAGCACCCCACACCCAGAAGCGCGACGCATCGCCAACCTCCCCCATCCAACGCAGTGTGGGCGAGGTCTCCGGCAAGGAGACACGGGGCCAGAGGTTGAGCTGATGTGCGGCGTACCGGACAGCAAACGGCCACAGAAAATGGGGAGCCGCCGCATGGACCAAGGAGGTACGAGCGACCTCCATGACCAGGCCAATGCGGCGCTCAGCAACCCCATTCTGCTGTGGGGAGTCTGGAAGCGTGAAGGTCTGCTCGATGCCCTCCGCCTGACAGAAGGTCCTCAAGAGGTCTGAGGAGAACTCACCACCTCTGTCAGAGTGCAGACGCAGGACAGGAAGATCTGTCCGGAAACGGCGGCGGAGCTGGAGACGAACTGTGCGGATCCAAGGGATCAGAACAGCAGGGACCTCACCCTTGGTGCGCAAGGGGAAGACCGTGGTGTAACGCGAGTAGTCGTCAACAACCAGCAAAAAGTACCGCTCACCGCCCTGGCCACGAACGCGGGCTGGGCCCCACACGTCCAGGTGGAGGGTCTGCAGAGGAGCCTCTGTCGGGGGGAACGAGGAGGAGTGAGGAGCGGCGCGCTGCCGCCCCTCGACGCAAGGAAGGCAAGGCGGCGCAGGCGAGGCAGGGAGGGGAGGGAGGGACCTGGGAAGACCAGACACAAGGTGGCGACGGTGCATGCCACGGAGGCGTGGCAAGGAGGGGTGGCCCAGGCGGTGGTGCCAGAGAAGAGTCTGGTGCGACAGGGAACGACACTCACAGGCGTGGGCTACCAGACCTGACGCGGACACCTGACCGACAGCAGCGACCTGAGGAGACGCAGTGGACAGTGTGTAGAGACTCGACCCCGGCTGACGGGTAAACGTAGCCAGGTGACGGCCAGTCCTGGAGCACGTGAGGATCGCCACACGCTGTCCTCCAGGAGTAAAGGTGTCAACCCACTGATCCTGGATGACAGCGTTGCTCACCAGGTTCGTCGAGAACGAGGGGAGGTGGAAACCTGACAACGAGCCAGACGGAACCGCCGGACAAGGGAGCACAGTGGTGGACCGTGCAAGGACTGGGTCCCCTGAGGGGTCAGCCAAGGAGACTGGGACCGGTGCAGGAAGCGGTGTGAGCTCAGTACTGTCACGAAAGAAACAGCGCGAAGCACCTGAGTCAAGTGTGAAGGTGTGGCAGGCCTCAGCCGGCGCAGTACCTAAGAGAGCAGTCTCTGTGGGTGCTGTACCTGAGAGAGCAGACTCACAAGCAGCAGGGACAGCACTGGAGGGAGCAGGTACAGGGGGCACCATACCAGAGAGAGCAGACTCACTAGTACCTAGGGCAGCGGGCTCTATACCTGGGTCAGGCGGCACACACAAGTAACAGTCTCCCTCGGCACTAACAGTCAATGCATACATGGCAGCAATAATAGCATCATAGTCAAGAGCAAAGATATCAACACCAGCCCTCATCAGCTCAGCCCAGCGGGGGCGCTCAACATCCTCGCCCATCTCCTCACGCCAAGCGTCGTCAAGGCGGAAGAAGCAGCGGTACTGAGTGTGGAATTTTCCACACGTCTGCCCCTTGCGGTCACCTGTGCGAATGACATAGGAACAGCGGCCACTGCCCCCCGACGTCCCACGCTGAGCAAGCCACTCACGAAGCTGCTGGGTCGTCTGGGGACGCTGCTGCTGCTGGGAGCTCTGGCCCGAGCCAGTGCCTCCACTCCGACCTCCGCCGCCACCACTACCTCCGCTCCGACCGCCACCGCCGCCACCACCGCCACCGCTCCCTCCGCCGCCCCCGCCTCCGCTGCCGACCCCACTCCCACCAGCACTCCCGCCACCGCTCCCTCCAGCACCGCCTCCCCCCCCACCTCCCCCACCTCCTCCCCCCCCAGCGCCACCCCCGCCACCCTTGCCCCCCTTGCCCTTGCCGGTGCGGCGCCTCCCACCAGGAGCAGAAGCAGCGCCAGCAGACTCAGCACCAAGGAAGTCAACAGCAGCAGCAGTAGCGTAGGAGGGAGCGAGGAGAGAGGGAGAACACCCCTCAAAGATGGGGGTGCGAGGAGCACCACGAGCAGCACCTACAGCTAAAATGCTTTTCTCGGCCGCTAGCAGCTTCTCCTCTAGGAGGGCGACTGTGAGCTCAGTGGGACAGCGAGCAAGGAAGTAGTCTCGAACTGAGCTGAGGGTGTCAGGGAGACGGGTGACTATGAAGTGGAGTGTCCAGTACAGTGGAGGGGGGTTCTTAGCGCAGAACTCGGTGGGAAGGGCGGCACGCAGGCGAGCGTCACTAGTGCGAAGGTGGGTGATAAGATCGGCGACTGTAGCAAAGGTGGACAGCTCAGGGAACAGGTAAGGCAGCATGAGGCGGCTAAGCTCGGCTGTGGCAGGCGAGGAGTAGCGAGCAACGACAGCGTCGTACAGGGCCTTAGCGGATTTGCAGTCGCCAAAATGCTCGAGCTCAGCTAACGGCAGGTGACTGCGAATGGCTAGGCGAGCAGCTGCGTCACGAGTCTGCCAGTGGGAACGAACACTAAGCTCAGCTGTGGCAGGAGGGGCAGGCGCTGCACCAGACGCGTAGTCATAGAGCGACACATGCTCCTTGCTATCGCTCAGGAGGAACAGCTGCAGGTCATCTAGCCAAGTGGTGAACTGCACAGGGCGGCCCTCAGCATCGAACGACAGCACGCGGATGGAAGCCATAGCGACAGTGCGACAGAGCAACGCAAGCTGCCGCAGCAGGGGTGGGCAATTGCGCACGGGCAGGGAGCAGCAGGCGGCGCTGCAAGCGGGCAGCGCGGCGGACGGGCGGCTCTGCAAGCGGGCAGTGCGGCAGGCAGGCGGCGCTGCAGGCGGGCAGCGCGACTAGTGAGCGACGCTGCAAGCGGGCAGCGCGGCGGGCGGGCGGGCAGCGCGACGGACGGCGCGGGGCACAGCGGGCGGCGCGCGGGGCTGCAAGGCAGCTCGACGGGCTGCGCGGGGCAGAGCGGGCGGCGCGCGGGGCTGCAGAGCCGAGCGACGGGCAGCACGGGGCAGGGCGGGCGGGTCGCGGGGCTGCAGAGCAGATCGACGGGCGGCTCGGGGCACAGCGGGCGGTGCGCGGGGCTGCGAGGCAGCGCGACGGGCAGCGCGGGGCAGAGCGGGCGGCGCGACGGGCAAAGCAGGGGAGGGGGAGGCGCGCGGGGCTCTGGGCTGGCAGGACGCCGGTCGGCAGGGCGCACGAGGGCGCTACAAGGGCGCTACGAGGGCGCTAGGGCGCAACGAGGGCGCTACAAGGGTAGGGCGCGAGGATAACGCGGTAACCGCAGCGTGCGGTGGTGGGCCCTAAAAAAAACGATCGGATGGTTTTAGGGACCACCTGCTCTGAATACCATATCAGAATACTAGCGTAAGAATGATGCATTGAATGAAACAGTTGGGTACAAGTAGCAAACCCTAGTTGGGGTTGTACCCCATATTGGCTACCCCACTACAGCCTACCAACATATAACAATTTAACAGTTATATTTGACCCCGTTGGTACTATACCCCCCCTTTTGGGGTGATCCTATATAAGACCCGGGGGGTGGGTGTTATGTGCGGCAAAAGTGCAATTTTAGGTCACATTTCACACAGTTAGAGGTACAATCTACCACTGATGAGCAGCACACAGCAAGTAGACCTTGACTGGTACAGTGACAACGCAACTTCGTGCGCGATTCCGGCCTCGGGAGTTGCATGAACTCTCGCTATGCATGGCTGGCTCTGTTTCCAGCCAATCAGGGTCCATAGTTAGCCCACTGGAAGTTGCCATGTGGCAGAGTCCAGTGGGCGGTCACGTTATCCTCGTATACTCGGTTTTGCGGCACTGTTTAACAAACAAGAAGTGAAGTCACACACCACATTTTGAAACACATCGATTCTGCTTTAAAAAAAGTATGTACTATGTAATAAGACCCGGGTATTATGTAGGACTTTCCGTTGAGGAGACCCCCCCCATTTTTTCCCGGTATTTATCATAATACCCCCGGGTGTTTTATCCGGGGGAATACGGCGGCTACCATTCACGTTATCGAGTCCCATGTTGGATACGTGTGGCATATTTTCCCCATTTCTTACCCTCTTGTCATGGCTAAACTGGACCTTGGAAGTTAGAACGCAATATAATGTCAAATCAAGTGTACACATGTGTGTATTGTAATACCATGCATTATACACCCCCAAAATCAAATACCCATATAGTAAACAAATGCACACGCCATTTCAGAATTTAATGTTCACTTCTGTGAAAATTTTAAGAAACAACGCCTTCCACTAGAAACATGGCACATGACATGATCTCATCATCTCACCCATTTGTTGGTGAATTCTTTCTAACGTAGAAATACTGTTTTAGAGGAGCATGGAATTTAGATATCGTACGAAGAGTGAAGAGGCCTGTACACCTAATGCTCGTTTGAGTCCCCCATACTTGGGATGTCCTCTGGGCTTATAAGTGATTTGCGCATTTCGCTCGGTTCGTCGGGTTTCGCCAGAGCCACGATGTGCTAATAAAAAACACAGGTTGTAACAAGTTTGTTTTATCCCAAACAGTGTTGGTAGGCAAGCATTGTTGTTTGTTTGGGAACCTGGTTACCACTGCCTTTTCATTTCATCCTTGCACGCGATTACAACACATGTTCTGCCTTGTTACAAATACCCTTACCCATCCATCCCGCCAATACGCAATCCACACCTGTACCCAGTCATTCCTGCGTGCTAGTGACAATGTGCACGAGACTTGCACATTTACACCTGAAACGAGCCATACACAAGGTGTGCAGAGCACAACACCCTCACAGCCGCATCCACTCGGCGGCATCCAGGAAGCCACCCATCACAACTGGTGCTCCTCCGTCGATGAGCTCCTGGGGCGAGCCGCCTGCTGAGCCAAAGTGACCCACTCCGGGGTCGGCTCCGTCATCCACGCCGGCAGCACACGCCCACGGCGACGAGGTGTCTCAGCAGGCGGGTTGGCGCCCAGGGGCATGGCGGGAGGCGGGGTGCTGTTCAGGTTGAGCGCCGGACTTGCGCGCTCCATCCGGGCCCTGATGATGGGGTTGCGGATGTCGAACAGCGCGCAGAGGTCACGCGGTGTGATGCCGGTGGCCTTCGCGTAGCCGATGAGCATCTCGCTTGCGGCGCGGGCGTAGCGCCGTGCCTCGCGGCAAGCCGGATTGGCGTCGTCATAGACGACTTGCATGCTGGCCGGGGCCTCCCACATCTCGGCAGGCGGCAAGGTCGGCGGCTCCGTAGCCAGCGGGTCCTCTCCCGGCTCGGTGCAAGTCGGCTGATTTTCGTCGATGCGGACGAAGTCCGCGGCAGGCATCGCTGACGGGCCGAGGCCAAGCCGATCGATGAGGATCCCCACGTCGCCCACTGCCTCTTCGAGCTCGGTGGGGCCGCCGTTGCCGCCGTTGCCGCCGTTGCCCACATGATCAAGCTGCATCTCCCATGCACACGGGAGGCACTCGGTGCGCCACCAGCAGCGCTGAATGGTACGACGCTCGATGTTCATCCATGCATCGAGCAGCCAGGCGAGCACGTCGCGGAGGTTCGGCTTGTACCGAGCCATTGCCGACGTGGCGCCGCTCTCCACCCACTGCGCAGTGAACGCGCTCAGCCAGTGCGCCCGGTACCTCGCCTTCGCCGTAGCAATGATCCCCTGATCGAGGGGCTGGGTGAAGCACGTGGTGTTGGGCGGCAGGTAAACAATGCGCAAGTTGCTGAGCTTGCGCGTACGGAACCCAAAGAGGTCCTCCGTCTCGGCGCCTTCCGTCTTGAGCACGTGGCTGCTCGCGTTGTCCATCAGGATAACGATGTTCCGGCCCTCTACGTACATGGCCGTGTTAAGTTGCTCCATGAAGTGAGTGAACACCTTCATGAAAAACACCGGGTTAAAAAAGGATTATAACACCTGAGACCTTTACAACAACTATACGTGAGATAGCTCGTTTTCGGCTAATCAAAAGATTGTTAGCATCAAGGCCGTGAACTTCGGTACTTGTTATGCGCTTACCTCCTTCGTCATCCACCCTTTCGCAGAAGAGCGCCAATAGCACACCTCGTCCGGATCGTAGTTGGGCCTGAAATCGTGCGGCCTCTTGGCCTTCGAGATGACCAAGGGGCGGAACGAATGCGAGCCGTCGGCGTTGACGAGAAGGCCGACGGTAAGGCGGTCCTTAGGAACCTTCCGGCCCGACACGCGACTGTTGCCGTACGTCTTTCGCGGCAACACTGAGATGAACAGCGCGGTTTCGTCAAAGTTGTAAGTGTCCCGCAGAGTGACCGAAAGATACATCAGCAGCTGAGGAAGCTTCTCGCGAGTAGTGCGCACGGCAGCCATGTCCTGGTCGGCGGCCTCTCCGACGGCGCTCATGCAGCGGACACCCTGGCGACGCAACGCACGGCGTACCCAACCGATCGAGCACCTGAAAGTAGGCGGTACGTCCATGTTGCGCGCCATGGTTGCGACATGGTCGCGAATAGTAGCCAGCGTGAGCGGAACTCCGGCCGGGCCCGCATTGGCAATCCAGCCGGCCATAGCTCGCTCGAGCGCGGGGTGTGCGCCGCCTCGGACGCGTACAATGTTGTTGTTCGTCGTGGTAGCGACCCATCGATCGGTGCCCTTCAACACGCGCCCGATCGTCGAACGGTCAGGCCTAATGCCGAAGCGAGTGAAACACCAGCGGGCAAGATCGACGTGGCGCATCTGCTGGTTAGCGACATGGTGGGCACATATCGCCCTCTTGATATGCACGGCGAGCTGGGCGCGGCGGTACAGGCGAGGCATGGCTAGCCTCGGAGGTTAATGAGTTTCTGATTGTCGAGTGAGTTTTTGCGGCCTCTTTTTGAGTTCACAAAGTCCTGTAGGCATCATGTGTCTGGTGGTTTGTGCCTTGGGCGAGGTGCGCGAACTGCACAGATTCATCGCAAGCATTCAGTATGGAAACGTGGCGAGGGAATGCCGTGTTACCACAACCACCAGTCATGACGTGGGCTGGTTGAGCATCGTGTGGACCTAAAGGGGCGTGTACCGTGCTTGAGCATGGTACACGTGGAGAGGTGTATTTTGCTCAATTCTGTTTGACGCACCATGAACCCCCCTACGTGGCACCGTGTCATAGCCGAAGTTGTTGGCGATGGGAAACGTATTTTGTTTACGTTTTTCCCCCTAACCTGCACCTAGTCAACAATTTAAGCCAGAAGCCGGTTGACTCGGCTTGTCGGGTGCTACATGTCCTAGTTTTGGTGTCTTCTGGGCCAATTGCAAATTGTTTAGGGGGCTTATACATGAGGTGCAACTGACCGGGAAAAAAACCACGGGTGCAGAGTTTCTAAAATGTGCAGGGCAGATTCGCGTGCAGTGGTTGGGCATCATGTGTACTAGCATGGTGGCATCATGTGCCATGCCTCGCCTGTACCGCCGCGCCCAGCTCGCCGTGCATATCAAGAGGACGATATGTGCCCACCATGTCGCTAACCAGCAGATGCGCCACGTCGATCTTGCCCGCTGGTGTTTCACTCGCTTCGGCATTAGGCCTGACCGTTCGACGATCGGGCGCGTGTTGAAGGGCACCGATCGATGGGTCGCTACCACGACAAACAACAACATTGTACGCGTCCGAGGCGGCGCACACCCCGCGCTCGAGCGAGCTATGGCCGGCTGGATTGCTCGGCGCCACGTCGGCGATGGCTCGGTACAAGCCGAACCTCCGCGACGTGCTCGCCTGGCTGCTCGATGCATGGATGAACATCGAGCGTCGTACCATTCAGCGCTGCTGGTGGCGCACCGAGTGCCTCCCGAGTGCATGGGAGATGCAGCTTGATCATGTGGGCAACGGCGGCAACGGCGGCAACGGCGGCCCCACCGAGCTCGAAGAGGCAGTGGGCGACGTGGGGATCTTCATCGATCGGCTTGGCCTCGGCCCGTCAGCGATGCCTGCCGCGGACTTCGTCCGCATCGACGAAAATCAGCCGACTTGCACCGAGCCGGGCGAGGACCCGCTGGCTACGGAGCCGCCGACCTTGCCGCCTGCCGAGATGTGGGAGGCCCCGGCCAGCATGCAAGTCGTCTATGACGACGCCAATCCGGCTTGCCGCGAGGCACGGCGCTACGCCCGCGCCGCAAGCGAGATGCTCATCGGCTACGCGAAGGCCACCGGCATCACACCGCGTGACCTCTGCGCGCTGTTCGACATCCGCAACCCCATCATCAGGGCCCGGATGGAGCGCGCAAGTCCGGCGCTCAACCTGAACAGCACCCCGCCTCCCGCCATGCCCCTGGGCGCCACCCCGCCTGCTGAGACACCTCGTCGCCGTGGGCGTGTGCTGCCGGCGTGGATGACGGAGCCGACCCCGGAGTGGGTCACTTTGGCTCAGCAGGCGGCTCGCCCCAGGAGCTCATCGACGGAGGAGCACCAGTTGTGATGGGTGGCTTCCTGGATGCCGCCGAGTGGATGCGGCTGTGAGGGTGTTGTGCTCTGCACACCTTGTGTATGGCTCGTTTCAGGTGTAAATGTGCAAGTCTCGTGCACATTGTCACTAGCACGCAGGAATGACTGGGTACAGGTGTGGATTGCGTATTGGCGGGATGGATGGGTAAGGGTATTTGTAACAAGGCAGAACATGTGTTGTAATCGCGTGCAAGGATGAAATGAAAAGGCAGTGGTAACCAGGTTCCCAAACAAACAACAATGCTTGCCTACCAACACTGTTTGGGATAAAACAAACTTGTTACAACCTGTGTTTTTTATTAGCACATCGTGGCTCTGGCGAAACCTGACGAACCGAGCGAAATGCGCAAATCACTTATAAGCCCAGAGGACATCCCAAGTATGGGGACTCAAACGAGCATTAGGTGTACCTGCTTGATTTGAACTGCTGCTGCTACCCCACAGATCCCGAGGTACTTGCCCATGACCGTTTGTTCCTCCTTCCAGATGAATGTGGCTGACCATCCTCCTTGATCGCTTAGGAGGACGTCCTTGCGACCCCTTGAAGTCCCTAGCCGATTCAGCTGGAGATACGTCGAGTGCCTCGGTGGTTTGAAGAGGGAGGAATTTGCACGCACCAAGTTACGAGATTTGTGGTTCCTCATTTAGTATTGACCAAAATCTAGTTCTGCTAGTGTACTTGTTTTTCAGATATAGTGGGATTTCCGACTTCGTTAACACATCTAGTGGTGAGCGTTGTCATCGATCGATTCTTCATGGCGGACGCCAGATCAGCGAGCTCGCAGAAATCCAAGGCGGAAAGCGACGAGATTTCCAGCTTATTCAATATGGAGTCTGTTCCTCTGGAAACAGCTGGCATAGTGGCTGGCGGCCCTCCTCCATCAGATCCGAGCGGAAAGGCTGAGACAGTGGTTCCGCTTCTCCCAGTTAGCAGCGCTCCGAGTAACACTGCGGATCCGAGCACTCCGACGTCTGCCGTCGTTACCATGGCGACATCTGAAGGCCCTCAATTTTATAACACTCTTAATGGTAGGTGATGCATCTTACTTACCCACACGAACCTGGTATTTTCGGGAGTACGGCGACCGATTGTGCCGTCTGATATGTATTAGGTGTCTGAATTCGTGGGATTTGGCGTTCAGTCGGAAATGCTGAGATGCGGCTTTTGATTGGTTTCTGCAGAACCCGTTATTGTCACCTTAAAACGAGACGTGTGGCGTGTGATACACAATCTCCGGAACGTGGTGTTGCCAATGGGACGAGGCGAAGGGGCTCACAGCTCCATCCGTGACTGGGACTTGTGGGGTCCCTTCTTCTTCATCATCTTCCTCGCCTTCATCCTCTCATCCTCAGCCTCTCAGAACAAGGTACGGGATCAGGCTTGTTCAGGCTTGAGGATTAAAATTTTATAGATAACCGCCATGTCTTCTACCGCCCCCCTCCCCCACCCCCTCCCCCTCCCCCTTCCCCTTCCGATCCTCATTCTTCAGATAGCTCCCGAATTTGTTTCTTAGGTGGAATTAGAATGTAGAATGCGGTGTTTGCGCCAGAATGGTCAGGAAGGATCGTATATCCAAGAAGTGGTGAATCCGCACTTACGCAATGGGGTGGGATTCTGAAAAAAGGGTAACCTGGGGAGTAAGGAGATGTGTGTTTCTTGGCTTAATAGGTCATACGAGGAGTGTGTTTTTTTCAACTGGTCAGGGACTAACATACACAAAAGTGACCAATGCATTGTTTCATGTGACCTCTTTTTCTGTTGCAGTCCAAAGTCTTCGCAGTGGTCTTTGGTGTTCTCTCCTCAGGGGCAATTATCCTCACTCTCAATGTGCTCCTTCTGGTATGCTCCTCTCTTTTGTGTCTGGAACAGTCTCTGTGCTGTGAATTTTCTTCTGATTGCTGTGAATCTTCTACTTCTGTGAAATTCCGTTGCAATGGTTGAATACTTTGAGCCCACTGGTTGCATTGCTGCTAGGTACTTCTCAATCCGAGTGTCCTAATCTCTGCTCTTTGCGGAGTGTTGTGCAGGGAGGGAGGATCATCTTCTTCCAGAGTCTCAGTGTGCTCGGCTACTGCCTCTTTCCACTTGACATTGGAGCATTCGTATGCCTATTTATCTACAGCAAGTGGATTAGATTCGCAGTTGTCACAGCCACCCTCGTTTGGAGCTCCTCGGCAGCTTACCCGTTCGTCTCGGGGGCTGTGCCAGAAGCTAGAAAGTTTCTAGCCGTGTATCCAGTGTTCCTCCTGTACATTTCTGTTGCCTTTCTAGTCCTAGCAAATGATTAGGAGTGATTACTCTATAATGATTGGCAGATACCTTCTGCCTTTCTTTTACCCATACGTCCTTGCATCTCTTTTTGGGGTGTGAGCTGCGAACCCTGTATGGTAGTTCATAAAGTTTCTGCATTTCCGTGGCCGCCGCTATTACTCGTTAACTCCATTAAATAGGTATCCTCATTGTTCACTTGTTTCGAGTTTATCTCTTACCGAGTACGACGGAACATTCTTGCCATAATCGACATTTCTTGTGAGGCTTTCCTTGCATGCTTGACGAATGGCGGGCTTCAGCGCCGTCAGTGCTTCTTCATGATACCCTTCGCGCTCTCTTTCCCGCTATCGGGGTTCGCGGAATCATGTATCGTTACAAGGATGCAGCACGAGCACCACGAGAAGGCGTCGACCCGCCAGCTGTCTACCTGGATCTAAGTGCCAGATTGGTGGAGGGAGCCAGCTCGACAGACTCTCGCTGCATGCGCTGTTCGCAGGGAGAACTCTGGGTGTTTGGAGGCTACTACGAGCTCGTTTTCCGGCGTGAAATGCGCCCTGGTAGAGCCCCGCAGGCCCCGCAGAGCCCCGCAGAGCCCCGCAGAGCCCCGCAGAGCCCTCGCAGAGCCCCGCAGAGCCCCGCAGAGCCCCGCAGAACCCCGCAGAGCTCCGCGGAGCCTGATGGCGGTGTCGATCGACAGCGCACCGCTTCGGCTGCGTGTGCGTCGTGGAGGTGGTGGTCCCACTCCTGCGTGAGAGGGCTGGCTAACCACTCTGCCACAGGGCCAGCCCGTCCACTAGGCCAGCGTGCGCGCCATTCCGTTTCTTTCGTGAATCGTGACAGCTCGCCGGCTCTGGTCAGCGTCCGACGTCGCAGAGAGCCCGGAAACGTTGTCGCCTCGAGAGTGAATCGTCAGGGTTGTTCACGGAGCATGGTGCTTCTTGTAAGACTGGGAGTACTGCACACGCGAGTCCTGCTGGACGAGTGAGAGACGTCGTTTCTCTGAATCCTGCTATTCCGCAGCCCGCAAAGCAGGGTCGCTGCAAGGGTTTGATACACGATTCAGTGTTCTGCACGATTTCGAGTGCTGTGCTGTGCAAGAGGTGCAAGGGGTGTGACGGAAGCTACTGATTCCGAAAGAGAGGGAGTGTGGAGACGCCAGCATGCCGACGCTCTCTGAGGATGCGGTGTATCTCGCCAAGAGGGTGCGTTGCTGTGCCCTGTTTCGTTGCTCTTCTCGTTTTATTCATCTCGTTTTATTCTGCTATTTTTTGCTGATTTTTTTTTTTTCTTTTTTCCTTGTAAACGTTTGCAGTTCATGTCAGTGGTCGCAGTTGGTTCAGCGGCCGTCGTCACTCTGCCGTTTCTTCTGGCCGCCGCCTTCGTGTTCTCGCCTCTTTTAGGCGTGCTTGCTGCGTACAGCTTTGTCAAGGTATGGCTGTTAACAGCTGGACCGTTTATTGGATACACATGTCAGTTAATGACCATTCTGGTATGGCGGTATGCAGTATGTACAGATTCATCTACTTTGATTAAAGTCGTGATTGTTTCTTTTTGTTGCATCAAATCTTACTGCTGTACTCCTCTGTACCTCTATACTCTCTGTGCGCAGTCCCGCTCGCCACAGCAGAAGCTCCTACAGGGCCCCAGCAGCAGCGCGGGTAGAAGGCCGTGGCAGCCGTCCCCAGGCGTGCCAGAGAAGCATCTCCAAGAGCCACAACCTGCCCTCCTGCCACAGCCCGCCAGCACCAGCATGGACGTGCAACGTAGTTCTCCCTTGGCTGCTGCAAGCGAGCCAGCAGCAGGCGGGGAAAGGGGACCGAGCAGCAGGGCTGGTGGATTTGGAGAGACCCAGACAAGGGAAAGGACCAACCTGGATGCTGCTCGCCGATTTCCTCCTTCTCAATTTGCCGTCCCGCTTGCTGCCCCTTCTCCAGCTGTCCCCTCTCCAGCTGTCCCCTCTCAAGCTCAACCGGCCGTATCTGGAGCTGCTCATTCCCAAGCTGCTGCTCCTCATGTGACTCCTATCCCTCCTGCTGGCATTCGAGCTTTTCCTTCAAGTCCAGAGTCTGTGCATGTATCGGGGTTTCCTAAAGCGAGGGCTGTGGCTGGGCTGGGCAGCATGGAAGGACCGAGGCCGACAGTGCGAATGAGGGTCCAGGCGATTGACTCTGATGCGGCTGAGGAAAAGGAGGCAGGAGGAAGAGGGTCAAGGGTGATGGAACAGCAGCCGGGAGGGAAGGAGGAGGAGGGAGAAGAGGAGGAAGAGGGTCCAACTCTGGTGCTTCATCACATTCCCAAGGTAAACATTCTGCTTGTCAGGAAAAAGGAATTGTTTTATCATTGGCGTTTTACCAGGAGGGTTGTCCCCCTTTACGAGTTTTTTCACTGGTATTGCTTCAGCTCTGGCTGACCCAAGCATTGTTTCGTGGTGTCCTTATGAGCAGGGCTTGACTGGCGTGGCACGTGTTCGTGGAATTGAATCAGCAGAGGCAGGGGAGGCAGGAGAGGCCGGCGAGGAAGCAGAGATAAGAGAGACAGGCGGTGAGGGGGCAGAAGTGCTCAAAGCAAACGAAGAGGAGATGACAGCAGCAGGAATGGCAGGGCAGGAAGGCGGGAAACCTGAGGCAGAAGCAGAGGAGAAGCGTGTGGTTAATGGGCAGGGTGGGGAAGCATTGGAGGAAGATGAGTTGTTGGTGGAGAAGGAAGTGCAAGAGGAGGGGGTGCGCGTTGCGAGTGAAATCAAGAAGCTCGAGAAGTTTATAACTGGTCGCACGATCCAAAGCCCTGCATCCCCCAGGCTGGAGGCTGAGCTGCTGTGCGATCTTGTGGGGGTGAAAACTCCACCGCCGCTGTCCCCTCAGCCGCAGCTGCCCAGGCAGGCACGCGCGTCGCGGAAGCAGGCTGCGGAAGGGCAGCTGTGGGAAGTGCGCCGTGCCAGCCAGCTGGTAGAAGCAACCAAGGAGCAGCTCGGTGTTGCCTAACGCATTTGTGTTTTGATGGTTACACGCTGTTAGGTGGGCAATGACACCACACCGGTAAAATGGGACTTGTGCCTAGGCGTTCATTCTTCCTTTTTATTCCCAAAAGCTCATCATCGTAGGTGTATGTAATGAGCCGAGTGATAAATGTAGGGATGTACGATACACCAATTGTAGATAAATACATTGTTATAATCTCATCAAATCCCATCTGCAAATTGGGCTTTTCTGGATAGGAAAGAATTGGAATGGAGCAGCTAGAAGACGCCAGCACAAACGCGGCAACCTTGGTAGTTCCGCATGGCCATTACCAGGCAGCGTTCTTGGTAGTCAGAACGACCATCCACTATCGTTCCTAGGCTCGTAGAGTATCGCTCTGTGGGTTCCCTAAGAGCGATACGTCCTCCGTTGACCACTCCTTCGCTCGCCGCCAAATCCAGCCTCGCGTGCTCCATGTCGTCCTGCACTGCCGCCGTTGCCGTCGTCGCCCTTCCTCCAGTTGATTCCACGCGAATCCCTCGCGCGTGGACCAATCATCGAAGCCAACGGCTAGGTTGTAGAGTGAATTCGCGATGGTGGGATAAGCGTGTCTTCGTGGAGCCGCCAGCCAGTCCGCAGCCAGCCAAGCAGGGTTATGGTGTATGCCGGAATTCGCCAGTCCGGGCTAAGAATTTCACATCCGACCCATATTGTAGGGAGGTTGATGTGTGTTTCTCTTCGGTGTTACTGCTCTATCGCATGCATTAGCTCCCGCATTATCCTCTTGTTCGATTAAAATCAGCTGTGCTGTTGAATAACTGGACCTTGTCATGCATCCTGACCGTACATGGCATCTCACATGGTTTGACATGGTGCGACGTGGAATCCCATGGCATTAGCTCATACGGCCTCATCCATGACGTGGCATTACATGCATGTATTCGGCACTGGCATGGCATGGCACTGATTGCTCCCATCAGTGTCATGCAGAGAGGACATGTTGGACCGGCACCTGGTGTTCCGCACGGCAGCACCTGGCGACCCACTATTGAGTCGACTCAAAAGTCACCTCTGATTGCTTCCACCAGTGTCATGCAGGGAGGACATGTTGGACCGGCATTTTGCATTCCACACGGCAGCACCTGGCGACCAATTGAGTCGACTCAAAAGTCACCTCTGATTGCTTCCACCAGTGTCATGCAGGGAGGACATGTTGGACCGGCATTTTGCATTCCACACGGCAGCACCTGGCGACCAATTGAGTCGACTCAAAAGTCACCTCTGATTGCTTCCACCAGTGTCATGCAGGGAGGACATGTTGGACCGGCATTTTGCATTCCACACGGCAGCACCTGGCGACCAATTGAGTCGACTCAAAAGTCACCTCTGATTGCTTTCACCAGTGTCGTGCAGGGAGGACATGTTGGACCGGCACCTGGCTTTCTGCACGGCGGAACCCGGCGACCTGCAGCGTGTGCATTCCCTGGAAGAGGCCGGGTACCCCGCAGATGAAGCAGCCTCCCTCGAATCCCTCACCTACCGCATCAACCAAGGTGCCTGCCTCTACAAAAATGTTTTATTTGAGTAGTGTTTTTCCAGTCTGGCCTGGCTGAATGTCGGCCGGTTTTCATGTTTCACCTATTCTCACACCCTTCCCCACCATTCTTCTTCTCCTCCCCCCTCAACACCCTCCCCCCCCCCAGCTTACCCCCCTTTCCCTCCCATCCCCCCCCTCGCCTTCCCCTGACGCCTTCTGGAAGACACTGACAAGAGCTGATATGGTGCGCTTGTGTTGTGCAATCCAGGCCTTACTCGCCTTTACATGATTTTTCGTCTCCCTCCCTCCTCCTTCGCAGCCAGCTCGGTGTTTCTGGTGGCAACACTTGCCAGCGAGCTAGTGGGCTTCGTGTGCGGCACTCAGACGCCCAGGGACGAGCTGGACCATGCCTCAATGTTCACCCACGACCCAACCGGCAGTATGTATATTCCCCACAAGTAGCACTTAGTGGCACCTCCCTTGCATCCCTTGATCCCTGGTTAGCTGGTGCTGTAAGAGCCGCGTGGGCTTCGTGTATGGGACTCGGACGGGCAGGGACGAGCTGGACCATGCTTCAATGTTCGTCCATGATCCCACACGCAGTACGTGCATTACCCGCTTGCAAAACGCTCATTTTTCTCAAGCAGTACTTTCCCTCAGCCCCCTCGCTCCGTGGTTAGCTGGGGCTGTGAGTGGCTTGTAGAAAGCAAGAACTTCTGTCATACATCTTTCAATAAAGGTACTTCTGATTGGCCCTCATTTGACCTATGCTTGCCCGTGAAGCGTCTTCATTTACACGATATTGCACAATGTCGTGTGCAGGGACCTTGTGCATTCATTCTGTGTGTGTGGGTGAAAAGCACCGTCGTCAGGGCATTGGTTCGCGTCTCTTGAGAGCATACATCAAGCACGTATCGACCATTGAACAACCTAGATTGCACTCCATCCGACTGTTATGCAAGGAGGTAATAATAATCATGTTGATGTTTGTATATATGTTCAATGTCATTGATTCTGATTCGTCATTTACACTTTTGATTTGATTCCATTTATTGGATGTGTGCAGCCACTGATAGGGTTCTATGAAAAATCTGGCTTTACCTTGGTGGGGCCTTCAAGTGTAGTTCATGGAAGGGACATGTGGTTTGAGTGCTTGCACATTATTCAACGAAATTAATGTGAGTGAGTTGGGGATTGACTGCCAAGAAATTTGCTCTGTTTCGCTAACGCGTTTTCTGTTGTACAATTTCAGGGCGTGGTTGCCAACAAATAATTGCCTATATCGAAATCGCAAATCCGAGCGTGCGAAAGCGTGACCTCATTGACCACGCGGCGATTTGGTTTTACGATTGCCCCAGCGACGGTTGCGGTAGTTCGCAACCGCAAGTTCGCGTTTCGCCTGCGAGCCGCGATTCAAGTCGCCGCGCAACCGCAAATCTGCGCCACACGGCATTTCGCATGCACCTCCTCCCACCAATTTCCGAGATTTCAAGGGGAACCATTTGTTCCACCATCTTCCCTCCTTTGTATCCACGTCCCCAGTCAAAGCGGTTGCTGTTTCAAGGTTACGCACAGCGGCGATTCACGTAGCAACCGTCTTGTGCTGACTGGATTCCATTCGTGCGGATCGACAGTCGACCTTGGACCTGTAAGGAATCGTGAGTCGACAATCGTCCCTGCAGCTGCAATTTGGCGAGCTGCTTCCTCCCAACAACTCCGAGTCGACGACCAAAACTTTCCAGCATCCCCCCGTCTTATTTCGCTTCAGAAGCTCCGTTAGTCACGTTTTGACGTAGCTGAAGGATTTTTCTTCCAGGCAAACTTGGTGACGCTGCTGTATTTGATTCCATGGCGCCATAGTATCTAGACTGAAAGGTCCCCATTCCCGTGTCTGAGACAGTAGCAGCTGCTTCTCTCCTCCCTTTTAACTACGACCTACCCCCACTTAACTAGGACGAATTCTCGCCTGCGCGTCAAGAGTTATGGCAGCGGGGAGCAGTTGCGTCAACACGCTCCTGCTGATGCTGCCACTGCTTGCCGTGGTAGCAGTTGGGAAGACGTCCCATGGTGATGGTGGCAGCACTATACAGCTACAGCAGCAGCATGATCACAGCGGACTCGAACCCACGTCCACAGCGATCAAACTGCGGGGAGGAGTGGCGAGCAGCGGCCGGCTCCTAGCATCCTCAAATCCTCCAGCAGCGGCGAGCAGCGGCCGGCTCCTAGCATCCTCAAATCGTCCAGCAGCGGCGAGCAGCGGCCGGCTCCTAGCATCCTCAAATCCTCCAGCAGCGGCGAGCAGCGGCCGGCTCCTAGCATCCTCAAATCCTCCAGCAGCGGCGAGCAGCGGCCGGCTCCTAGCATCCTCAAATCCTCCAGCTCCTCGACCTTCCACAAACTCTTCCCCTTCCTCTCCCTCTCAACGAAAATCCCAATCGCCGCCACGTTCACCACCCTCCGCCGCCGCGGCCATCGACTCCTTGTCCCGCGCCCCCCCCTGCCCCTCCGAGTGCCCCTCGGGCTATGTGTTGGAGCCTGTCGCTTCGGGCCTGGTGGACGACCTGTATGGCACTGTGTTGGTTCTCCTGGACGACGTGCCAGACACAGTCACGGACACAGACGGGGCAGCACAGGGCGGGGCTGGCGGCAAGGGTGATAGGCGGACTGGCGGCAACGGCGGGGCTGGCGAGGAGAGTGGGGAGGACGAGGATGATAGGGAGGTTGGGAACGGGCGTGGTGGAGGGGATGTGGATGAGGTGGAGAGGGAGACCGAGAGCGATAATAGTTGGGCGGATGAGTTGGTGGAGCAGGGGCAGGCTCAGGGACAAGGGCAGGGGCAGGGGCAGGGACAGGGGCAGGGGCAGGGACAGGGACAGGGACAGGGGCAGGGGCAGGGGCAGGGGCAGGGGCAGGGGCAGGGCAAAGGACAGGGGGAGGTGAAGAAGCGGAGTTGCAAATGCGTGGAGCCGTTTCTGTTGTCGCTGCAGTTCAAAATCTGCTCCTCCAACATCACCCTCTCGCCCCTCCTCAACCCTGCCATCTCCTCTCCACCCGGCCGCCCTGCCCCAGTTCCTCCATCACCCCCCTCCTCATCCGGTCCCCCGCATGCGCCTGACAAGCGGGCAGCAGACGGTGGCACTGACGCTTTCTTCCCGTGGTTCAAACCCAAGGGGCGCAACGGGCGCAATGACCTGCCCCGATCACAGCAAGACGAGGACGACGATGATCAGAGCCTTTCTTATCAGGGCGACAGGCAGGGCAGGGCAGGGCAGCAGGGGGGTGATGCAGCAGGGCGGGGGAGTGCTCCCCCGGCAGCCATGCCCCTCAACCTACCAGAGCTTGAATTCCACTGCCTGCCGCTGCTGCTCCCCCCCTCCCCGCCCCTCTCCACTCCTCCCTCGCGAAACCCGCCTGCCACGGAAGCAGTGCGGAATGCGACAACAGCAGCAGTGGCGAAGCTGTTCACGCCGCCAGCACTCGCCCGCTTCGCAGGCAGCCTCATGGTGCTGCCGGCGCGCAACATCCCCGCCACCGCCGTGGCCGTCACTCCCCGCGGCCTCACAGGCGTGGTTCTCAAGATCTTCCCCCGCCCCGGCTTTGAAGGCTTCCTTCCCGAGGAGGAAGAGGCGATGTGGGAGAATCTTGCAGCCATCGGCCGGGGCGTGTTTGACCAGGATGTGAGGCCGTGGGGTTCTGGTGCGGTGCGGGACGGTTCTGAGGGGTTCCGGAACGGTACTAGTGGGTATGGGAGATTGGGTAAGGGTTCAGGAAGGGGGAATGGGAGTATGGGTCGTACCCTTCCTGGTGGTGCGTGGGAAGAGAAGTTGCCTACCGGGCCGTCTCTCTTTCGGGTGTTCTTTGAAGTGTTCGATGTTACAGTGCCGGCTCCCAACAGCAGCAACAGCAGCAGCAGCAGCAACGTCACGGGCAACAGTATTGCCAGTACCAACGGCCCTGCTGCTGCTAACGACCAACGACCAACAGCGGGAACATCCCCTGAGGAAGGCTGGCCTGTCCCAACTGCTGGTTCTTCCAGCAGCAGTGGCAGCAGCAGCACTGCTGATTCTGCAGCACCTGCAGGCCTCTCCGCACCTTTGATTGCAGCCATTGCTCTCGCTGCTGCAGCTGCTGCCGCCACTGCCGCCATTGCTGCTGTCCTGCTCTTCTGCCCCTCCTGCTGCTGCCGCGGCAGGAGGAAGCACCGCAGGAGTGACAGCGCGAGCAGCAGCGGTGGTAAGGGCGGGGGGAAGCTGTTTGCAGCAAATCTGCGGGTGTTTGGAGGGAAGGGGCTGAATGGAGGGGCGGGGAAGCTGAATGGCTTCCGCAAGGCATTTGGAAGCAAAGGTACGCCTTCCTGAGATGAGCTTTATTCAGAGTCAACTGCTATGAGGTAGGCGGTATTCAGATGAGTTGATCTTGATGAGTTGAACTTGATGAGTTCAACTTGATGAGTTCAACTTGATGAGTTCAACTTGATGAGTTCAACTTGATGAGTTGAACTTGATGAGAAGCAGCTGTTATGTTACTTGATCCCGCTTACTACTCTCGTATGAAAAATGTTGCACTTTATTTTCTGTGGTAAAACCCCTTCGTGAGCGTGCACATACACAAAAGTGTTTGTGACCCATCTGTTTTCCTCGATAACCCTTCCCACCCCTCCATCCCCACATGCTCACCTCTCAGCCTTTGCTCGCCTCGTCCCAGATCCAGAAGCCATCCTCGCTGCAGGCGCACTCGATATAAGCTACACTGCCATAGAGGCCGCCACGCACCGCTTCAGCGAGAAGAACCTTCTGGGAAGGGGCACGTTCGGGCGCGTGTACAAGGCCACGCTGCCCAACGGCCTGAGGCTCGCTATCAAGAGGCTGGACCTGTTCGTTGCTGGGGGGGACGTGGGCCGAGCGGGGGGTGCCGGAGGAGGGAGAAGGAGTGGCCAAGCAGGGGTGGTGTCCAGGGAAGCTGCCAGGAAGCTGTTCGTGCAGCAGGTGGGTGGTTTGTCCCTTGTGGTTCGTGATGATCTCGCGTGTTTTGTGTTGTGCTTGCATGGGCCACTCTGCCCAACGGGTTGAGGCTTGCTATCAAGAGGCTGGACCTGTTCGTTGCTGGGGGGGACGTGGGGCGAGGGGGGGGAGCTGGAGGAGGGCGAGGGAGTGGGCAAGCAGGGGTTTCAAGGGAAGCTGCCAGGAAGCTGTTCGTGCAGCAGGTGGGTGGTTTGTCCCTAGCGGTTTGTGTTGTGCTTGCATGGCGGCGGTGCTCACGTTGCTGCTCTCGCACATCACCACTCCTTGCCGCCCTTCCCGCTGCTCTTTTCCCTCCTCCCCTTCATCTCCTTCTTCCTCCTTCTTCGTGCCCTCACTTCCCCGCCGCCCCCGCCACCCTCAGGTTGAGGTGCGCTCTTTCATGCGCTGCCCGTATGTCGTGCCACCGGTGGGCTACTCCACTGATAAGCGCTGTCTCTCATGCGCTGAACTGGCGTACGACTTTGTGCCGTGATGGCGTCAGTGCCCAATGGGCTACCAAATCTCCCTTCTCCCGCATCGCTGCTCCTCTCTACTCTTCCGCCACACCTCCCTTCCTTCTCCCACCCAAACAGGTGGAGGCGCTCTCTCTTATGCGCTGCCCGCACGTGGTGCCGCTGCTGGGTTACTCCACGGACGGTGTCAGTGCCGTGCTGGCGTACGAGTTTGTGCCCAACGGCAGCCTGCATGACCACCTGCATGGTACGTGATGTGAGGTGTTGAGGGGTGCTCTGCGGTGCTGTGGGGTGCTGTGCTGTTCTGCCCAGGCGTTCGTGCCAGGCGGTTACTCCCCCAGAGGCTAATGGCCTGTGCTGTGTGGAGGGCTGTGCTTTCCACCTGGTGCTGGTTACCATGAAGAGTGGCAACCAGCACAGGGTGGCAAGCACATGACACACAGGGTGGCAAGCACATGACGCACAGGGTGGCAAGCACATGACACACAGGGTGGCAAGCACATGACACACAGGGTGGCAAGCACATGACGCACAGGGTGGCAAGCACATGACACACAGGGTGGCAAGCACATGACACACAGGGTGGCAAGCACATGACACACAGGGTGGCAAGCACATGACACACAGGGTGGCAAGCACATGACACACAGGGTGGCAAGCACATGACACACAGGGTGGCAAGCACATGACACACAGGGTGGCAAGCACATGACACACAGGGTGGCAAGCACATGACACACAGGGTGGCAAGCACATGACACACAGGGTGGCAAGCACATGACACACAGGGTGGCAAGCACATGACACACAGGGTGGCAAGCACATGACACACAGGGTGGCAAGCACATGACACACAGGGTGGCAAGCACATGACACACAGGGTGGCAAGCACATGACACACAGGGTGGCAAGCACATGACACACAGGGTGGCAAGCACATGACACACAGGGTGGCAAGCACATGACACACAGGGTGGCAAGCACATGACACACAGGGTGGCAAGCACATGACACACAGGGTGGCAAGCACATGACACACAGGGTGGCAAGCACATGACACACAGGGTGGCAAGCACATGACACACAGGGTGGCAAGCACATGACACACAGGGTGGCAAGCACATGACACACAGGGTGGCAAGCACATGACACACAGGGTGGCAAGCACATGACACACAGGGTGGCAAGCACATGACACACAGGGTGGCAAGCACATGACACACAGGGTGGCAAGCACATGACACACAGGGTGGCAAGCACATGACACACAGGGTGGCAAGCACATGACACACAGGGTGGCAAGCACATGACACACAGGGTGGCAAGCACATGACACACAGGGTGGCAAGCACATGACACACAGGGTGGCAAGCACATGACACACAGGGTGGCAAGCACATGACACACAGGGTGGCAAGCACATGACACACAGGGTGGCAAGCACATGACACACAGGGTGGCAAGCACATGACACACAGGGTGGCAAGCACATGACACACAGGGTGGCAAGCACATGACACACAGGGTGGCAAGCACATGACACACAGGGTGGCAAGCACATGACACACAGGGTGGCAAGCACATGACACACAGGGTGGCAAGCACATGACACACAGGGTGGCAAGCACATGACACACAGGGTGGCAAGCACATGACACACAGGGTGGCAAGCACATGACACACAGGGTGGCAAGCACATGACACACAGGGTGGCAAGCACATGACACACAGGGTGGCAAGCACATGACACACAGGGTGGCAAGCACATGACACACAGGGTGGCAAGCACATGACACACAGGGTGGCAAGCACATGACACACAGGGTGGCAAGCACATGACACACAGGGTGGCAAGCACATGACACACAGGGTGGCAAGCACATGACACACAGGGTGGCAAGCACATGACACACAGGGTGGCAAGCACATGACACACAGGGTGGCAAGCACATGACACACAGGGTGGCAAGCACATGACACACAGGGTGGCAAGCACATGACACACAGGGTGGCAAGCACATGACACACAGGGTGGCAAGCACATGACACACAGGGTGGCAAGCACATGACACACAGGGTGGCAAGCACATGACACACAGGGTGGCAAGCACATGACACACAGGGTGGCAAGCACATGACACACAGGGTGGCAAGCACATGACACACAGGGTGGCAAGCACATGACACACAGGGTGGCAAGCACATGACACACAGGGTGGCAAGCACATGACACACAGGGTGGCAAGCACATGACACACAGGGTGGCAAGCACATGACACACAGGGTGGCAAGCACATGACACACAGGGTGGCAAGCACATGACACACAGGGTGGCAAGCACATGACACACAGGGTGGCAAGCACATGACACACAGGGTGGCAAGCACATGACACACAGGGTGGCAAGCACATGACACACAGGGTGGCAAGCACATGACACACAGGGTGGCAAGCACATGACGCACAGGGTGGCAAGCACATGACGCACAGGGTGGCAAGCACATGACACACAGGGTGGCAAGCACATGACACACAGGGTGGCAAGCACATGACACACAGGGTGGCAAGCACATGACACACAGGGTGGCAAGCACATGACACACAGGGTGGCAAGCACATGACACACAGGGTGGCAAGCACATGACACACAGGGTGGCAAGCACATGACACACAGGGTGGCAAGCACATGACACACAGGGTGGCAAGCACATGACACACAGGGTGGCAAGCACATGACACACAGGGTGGCAAGCACATGACACACAGGGTGGCAAGCACATGACACACAGGGTGGCAAGCACATGACACACAGGGTGGCAAGCACATGACACACAGGGTGGCAAGCACATGACGCACAGGGTGGCAAGCACATGACACACAGGGTGGCAAGCACATGACACACAGGGTGGCAAGCACATGACACACAGGGTGGCAAGCACATGACACACAGGGTGGCAAGCACATGACACACAGGGTGGCAAGCACATGACACACAGGGTTGCAAGCACATGACACACAGGGTGGCAAGCACATGACACACAGGGTGGCAAGCACATGACACACAGGGTGGCAAGCACATGACACACAGGGTGGCAAGCACATGACACACAGGGTGGCAAGCACATGACACACAGGGTGGCAAGCACATGACACACAGGGTGGCAAGCACATGACACACAGGGTGGCAAGCACATGACACACAGGGTGGCAAGCACATGACACACAGGGTGGCAAGCACATGACACACAGGGTGGCAAGCACATGACACACAGGGTGGCAAGCACATGACACACAGGGTGGCAAGCACATGACACACAGGGTGGCAAGCACATGACACACAGGGTGGCAAGCACATGACACACAGGGTGGCAAGCACATGACACACAGGGTGGCAAGCACATGACACACAGGGTGGCAAGCACATGACACACAGGGTGGCAAGCACATGACACACAGGGTGGCAAGCACATGACACACAGGGTGGCAAGCACATGACACACAGGGTGGCAAGCACATGACACACAGGGTGGCAAGCACATGACACACAGGGTGGCAAGCACATGACGCACAGGGTGGCAAGCACATGACACACAGGGTGGCAAGCACATGACACACAGGGTGGCAAGCACATGACACACAGGGTGGCAAGCACATGACACACAGGGTGGCAAGCACATGACACACAGGGTGGCAAGCACATGACACACAGGGTTGCAAGCACATGACACACAGGGTGGCAAGCACATGACACACAGGGTGGCAAGCACATGACACACAGGGTGGCAAGCACATGACACACAGGGTGGCAAGCACATGACACACAGGGTGGCAAGCACATGACACACAGGGTGGCAAGCACATGACACACAGGGTGGCAAGCACATGACACACAGGGTGGCAAGCACATGACACACAGGGTGGCAAGCACATGACACACAGGGTGGCAAGCACATGACACACAGGGTGGCAAGCACATGACACACAGGGTGGCAAGCACATGACACACAGGGTGGCAAGCACATGACACACAGGGTGGCAAGCACATGACACACAGGGTGGCAAGCACATGACACACAGGGTGGCAAGCACATGACACACAGGGTGGCAAGCACATGACACACAGGGTGGCAAGCACATGACACACAGGGTGGCAAGCACATGACACACAGGGTGGCAAGCACATGACACACAGGGTTGCAAGCACATGACACACAGGGTGGCAAGCACATGACACACAGGGTGGCAAGCACATGACACACAGGGTGGCAAGCACATGACACACAGGGTGGCAAGCACATGACACACAGGGTGGCAAGCACATGACACACAGGGTGGCAAGCACATGACACACAGGGTGGCAAGCACATGACACACAGGGTGGCAAGCACATGACACACAGGGTGGCAAGCACATGACACACAGGGTGGCAAGCACATGACACACAGGGTGGCAAGCACATGACACACAGGGTGGCAAGCACATGACACACAGGGTTGCAAGCACATGACACACAGGGTGGCAAGCACATGACACACAGGGTGGCAAGCACATGACACACAGGGTGGCAAGCACATGACACACAGGGTGGCAAGCACATGACACACAGGGTGGCAAGCACATGACACACAGGGTGGCAAGCACATGACACACAGGGTGGCAAGCACATGACACACAGGGTGGCAAGCACATGACACACAGGGTGGCAAGCACATGACACACAGGGTGGCAAGCACATGACACACAGGGTGGCAAGCACATGACACACAGGGTGGCAAGCACATGACACACAGGGTGGCAAGCACATGACACACAGGGTGGCAAGCACATGACACACAGGGTGGCAAGCACATGACACACAGGGTGGCAAGCACATGACACACAGGGTGGCAAGCACATGACACACAGGGTGGCAAGCACATGACACACAGGGTGGCAAGCACATGACACACAGGGTGGCAAGCACATGACACACAGGGTGGCAAGCACATGACACACAGGGTGGCAAGCACATGACGCACAGGGTGGCAAGCACATGACGCACAGGGTGGCAAGCACATGACGCACAGGGTGGCAAGCACATGACACACAGGGTGGCAAGCACATGACACACAGGGTGGCAAGCACATGACACACAGGGTGGCAAGCACATGACACACAGGGTGGCAAGCACATGACACACAGGGTGGCAAGCACATGACACACAGGGTGGCAAGCACATGACACACAGGGTGGCAAGCACATGACACACAGGGTGGCAAGCACATGACACACAGGGTGGCAAGCACATGACACACAGGGTGGCAAGCACATGACACACAGGGTGGCAAGCACATGACACACAGGGTGGCAAGCACATGACACACAGGGTGGCAAGCACATGACACACAGGGTGGCAAGCACATGACGCACAGGGTGGCAAGCACATGACGCACAGGGTGGCAAGCACATGACGCACAGGGTGGCAAGCACATGACACACAGGGTGGCAAGCACATGACACACAGGGTGGCAAGCACATGACACACAGGGTGGCAAGCACATGACGCACAGGGTGGCAAGCACATGACACACAGGGTGGCAAGCACATGACACACAGGGTGGCAAGCACATGACACACAGGGTGGCAAGCACATGACACACAGGGTGGCAAGCACATGACACACAGGGTGGCAAGCACATGACGCACAGGGTGGCAAGCACATGACGCACAGGGTGGCAAGCACATGACACACAGGGTGGCAAGCACATGACACACAGGGTGGCAAGCACATGACACACAGGGTGGCAAGCACATGACGCACAGGGTGGCAAGCACATGACGCACAGGGTGGCAAGCACATGACACACAGGGTGGCAAGCACATGACACACAGGGTGGCAAGCACATGACACACAGGGTGGCAAGCACATGACACACAGGGTGGCAAGCACATGACACACAGGGTGGCAAGCACATGACACACAGGGTGGCAAGCACATGACACACAGGGTGGCAAGCACATGACACACAGGGTGGCAAGCACATGACACACAGGGTGGCAAGCACATGACACACAGGGTGGCAAGCACATGACACACAGGGTGGCAAGCACATGACACACAGGGTGGCAAGCACATGACACACAGGGTGGCAAGCACATGACGCACAGGGTGGCAAGCACATGACACACAGGGTGGCAAGCACATGACACACAGGGTGGCAAGCACATGACACACAGGGTGGCAAGCACATGACACACAGGGTGGCAAGCACATGACACACAGGGTGGCAAGCACATGACACACAGGGTGGCAAGCACATGACACACAGGGTGGCAAGCACATGACACACAGGGTGGCAAGCACATGACACACAGGGTGGCAAGCACATGACACACAGGGTGGCAAGCACATGACACACAGGGTGGCAAGCACATGACACACAGGGTGGCAAGCACATGACACACAGGGTGGCAAGCACATGACACACAGGGTGGCAAGCACATGACACACAGGGTGGCAAGCACATGACACACAGGGTGGCAAGCACATGACACACAGGGTGGCAAGCACATGACGCACAGGGTGCAAGCACATGACACACAGGGTGGCGTATCGATTACATGCTACAGGTTAGCAACAGGGTGATCCGTGGCCGTGGCCAGGGGCCTGCAGAGCCTGCACCTATCTCACGCCCCCCCCCTTTTCCGTCCCTCTGCCCCTCCACGCCAAGCCAGGCTTGGGGAGGCTGGAGTGGGCGCACAGGGTGAGAATCGCTATTGCCGTGGCCAGAGGCCTGCAGGGCTTGCACCCATCTCACCCCACACCACACCCCCGCTTCTGACACTCTGCCCCATGGTATGCATGGCAGGCTCTGGGCGGCTGGACTGGGCGCACAGGGTAAAGATCGCCGTGGCCGTGGCCAGAGGCCTGCAGAGCCTGCACCTATCTTACACACCCGCCACTCTGTCCCTCCACCCTTCCACCCCATGGCCGCACATGCCAGGCTCGGGGCGGCTGGACTGGGCGCACAGAGTGAAGATCGCAGTGGCCGTGGCCAGAGGCCTGCAGAGCCTGCGCTGCGCCCATCCCACTCCTCCCCCACTCTGCCCCTCCGCCCCTTGACGCACATGCCTGGCTCCGGTCGGCTGGACTGGGCGCACAGGGTGAAGATCGCTGTGGCCATGGCCAGGGGCCTTTAGAGCCTGCACCCATCTTTACCACCTTTCCCCCTCCCCACCCCTCTTTTCTGCCACTCTGCGCCTCCACCCCATGGCAGGCTCGGGTCGGCTGGACTGGGCACACAGAGTGAAGATAGCCGTGGCCGTGGCCAGGGGCCTGCAGAGCCTGCACCAGCGTCTCGTGCCCATCGGCCCCGCCTCGCCCCTTTCCCCTCACCACGAAGCCACTGCCGCCCGGGACCCGGCCCACGGCCACCCAGCAGCAGCAACCGGCCAATCAGCTTCATCCACCTCACCTTACACCACAAACCCCGGCTACAGCTCCAATCCCACTGCTCGTATCACCCCATCCGACACCTCCTCTGAACCGCTACAGAGCAGTGCCTATGCCTCTCCACACAGCTCCCTGCCCTCGTCCCTCGGCGGCTCCCCCCACAAGCTGGACACACTGCAGGAGAGTCCGCTGGAGGGCGAAGGGGATGGGGAGGGGGAGGGGTATGGAGACGGGGAGGAGGAGTTTCTTGTTTCTGTGGGTCAGGGGAATGGGCCGAGTGACAGTGATAGCTACAGCAGCAGTGGGGAGTTCGAGGGCGGGGTGGGGGGCGGTGTTGGTGGGATGGGAATGGGCGGAGAGGGGGGGGAAGGCGAAGGGGAGGGCGCGGGTGGGAGGGAGGAGGTGGTGGTGCGGGATGGGCGGCGGTGGGTGCGGGCAGTGCATGCCAACCTTAAGAGCGCCAACGTGCTGCTTGATAACTCGGGGAACGCCAAGGTCAGTTTCTGAGTCGTCTCAAAAGTGGGTGCTGGCGGTAGGTGTAGACGGTGTGTGCGGGTGGTGGGTGCAGGCAGTTGATGCCAACCTCAAAAATGCCCACACGCTGCTTGATAACTCATGGCAACTTGACAACGCTGCTTGATAACTCATGGCAACTTAACAACGCTGCTTGATAACTCATGGCAACTTGACAACGCTGCTTGATAACTCATGGCAACTTGACAACGCTGCTTGATAACTCGGACAACTTTGGTCGTATTCTCATGCTGGCCAATCCCAGGGTCCCGAGGTCGCATGCCTCTCTCCCTTAGCGGAAGATGCTCTTCTCACCAGGCGGGGTAGCAGAGCCACCGGCAGTTCTGAGTACAACACTCATCGATGCGTGTCTTCTTTCCCTCCTCTTCCCCCTCAACCTCCCCTCCCCTCAACCTCCCCCTCCCCTTGCCCCCCGATCCCCCTTACAGGTGACGGACTATTGCCTCTCGCGCCTGGCAGAGGACGCTCTTCCCACCGGGCGGGGATGAAGAGCCTTCGGGTATCACAATCGTCGACACATGTCCTCTTCCCTCCCCATCCCTCTCCCCTTTCCCCACTCCCCATCCCCGTTACAGGTGACGGACTATTGCCTCTCGCGCCTGGCAGAGGACGCTCTTCCCACCGGGCGGGGATGAAGAGCCTTCGGGTATCACAATCGTCGACACATGTCCTCTTCCCTCCCCATCCCTCTCCCCTTTCCCCACTCCCCATCCCCCTTACAGGTGACGGACTATTGCCTCTCGCGCCTGGCAGAGGACGCTCTTCCCACCGGGCGGGGATGAAGAGCCTTCGGGTATCACAATCGTCGACACATGTCCTCTTCCCTCCCCATCCCTCTCCCCTTTCCCCACTCCCCATCCCCCTTACAGGTGACGGACTATTGCCTCTCGCGCCTGGCGGAGGACGCTCTTCCCACCGGGCGGGGATGAAGAGCCTTCGGGTATCACAATCGTCGACACATGTCCTCTTCCCTCCCCATCCCTCTCCCCTTTCCCCACTCCCCATCCCCCTTACAGGTGACGGACTATTGCCTCTCGCGCCTGGCGGAGGACGCTCTTCCCACCGGGCGGGGATGAAGAGCCTTCGGGTATCACAATCGTCGACACATGTCCTCTTCCCTCCCCATCCCTCTCCCCTTTCCCCACTCCCCATCCCCCTTACAGGTGACGGACTATTGCCTCTCGCGCCTGGCGGAGGACGCTCTTCCCACCGGGCGGGGATGAAGAGCCTTCGGGTATCACAATCGTCGACACATGTTCTCTTCCCTCCCCATCCCTCTCCCCTTTCCCCACTCCCCATCCCCCTTACAGGTAACGGACTATTGTCTCTCCCGCCTGGCGGAGGACGCTCTTCCCACAAGGCGGGGCGGCAGAGCCACCGGCACATTCGGCTACCTCGCTCCAGAGTAGGTTCAAGACGGGGGTGGGCGATGTGAGTGGGGACGGGAAGCCATCAGATGGGTGTCTGGGAAGGGTGTATGAAGGGCATGAGGCTAGGCTTTTGAGAATTCTCAAAAACCAACTCGTGTCTGGGAAGGGTGCATGAAGGGCAAGGGGCAAGGCAGCAGAACCAGCTACCACTTGTGAGTAGCCCGCTCCAGAGCAGGGAGACGGGTGAGCAGGCAAGGAGGGGAGCAAAGGGAATGGTAGGCGAGTTCCTGGCGTTTGGCTCTGTGGAAGGAACGAAGGTGGGGGGTGCCTTGCCTCGGGGTGGGTGTTGGGGAATCTATAGGTAGATTCTGTCAGAGTAAGGTATGTATAGTGCAGTAGTGGTGAAACTGTGGTATGGTGGTTGTGGTGGTGGCCGTGAATACTACATGTGGAAGTCTTATCCCGTCGCGCCCTGCCCCTTCACCGCTTCCCATGCACCCTCTGCTGTGTGCGGTGCAGAGGGGTGCTGTTCGGTGTGAACACGCAGCGCAGTGACGTGTACAGCTTTGGGGTGATCCTACTGGAGCTGATAACGGGTCGGCGCCCCATCGACCTTTCCAAGCGGCCAGACGAGCAGTCCCTCGTCTCATGGGTATGTTGCCCTTCTCTAGTACGAGTCGCATGCACTCACCACCCACATGCATGTTGCATGCACTCACCACCCACATGCATGTTGCATGCACTCACCACCCACATGCATGTTGCATGCACTCACCACCCACATGTATGTTGCATGCATTCACCACCCACATGCATGTTGCATGCACTCACCACCCACATGCATGTTGCATGCACTCACCACCCACATGCATGTTGCATGCACTCACCACCCACATGCATGTTGCATGCACTCACCACCCACATGCATGTTGCATGCACTCACCACCCACATGCATGTTGCATGCACTCACCACCCACATGCATGTTGCATGCACTCACCACCCACATGCATGTTGCATGCACTCACCACCCACATGCATGTTGCATGCACTCACCACCCACATGCATGTTGCATGCATTCACCACCCACATGCATGTTGCATGCACTCACCACCCACATGCATGTTGCATGCATTCACCACCCACATGCATGTTGCATGCACTCACCACCCACATGCATGTTGCATGCACTCACCACCCACATGCATGTTGCATGCACTCACCACCCACATGCATGTTGCATGCATTCACCACCCACATGCATGTTGCATGCACTCACCACCCACATGCATGTTGCATGCACTCACCACCCTTCGACCTCTCCAAGCGGCCAGACGAGCAGTCCCTTGTCTCATGGGTGTGTTCCTTCTTTTCAATGAGTGCATCCCCAATCGTTCACTGATAGGTCCCGTTCTGCTGTGGTTTGGTTCTGAGTCTGCTTACAATCTCTCAATTGTACGCTGAGTTATCAGGCTGCCGAGCATGCCCTTGTGTATGGTTCCCTCGTGCCCCCACCGTCACCACTACCTAATGTCCCACTCCCATGCCATGCATGTTGCATGAACTCACCACCCACATGCATGTCCTCTTTCAAAAGCAACATGCCGCCAATGCAGCGAATACCCATTCCACTTGCCCATCTACCATGCATATGTCCCCATAAACCATTTTCACTCACCGATTTCGCTCGCAATTCCTGCCACCCACCCCACCCCACCAGGCCGTGGCGCTCCTCGTCCGGGACCAAGCATTCGCCATCACAGACCCTGCCTTGATGGTTTTTTAGTGGACTAGAAACCCGTTCCCATGTCTCCCCCCCCCTGTCACACCAGGCCGTGCCGCTCATTGACAAGGATGAGACGCTCGCCATTGCAGACCCGGCCTTGAGGAACCGCTTTCCACCAACCAGCTTCCACCACCTGGCCACTGTTGCCGCCGTGTGCGTGCAATCCGAGCCGTCCTTCCGGCCAACAATGACGCAGGTGCTCGGGTCGTTGGTCCCTCTCATAGACCTTGCAGAGCAGTGGAAGAGCCAGGGGAAGCCTCATGCCGGGCCCCTCAAGTCTGCTTCTCCACCTTCGTCTGGATTGGCGGAGAATGGTGAGCATGGTCCTGGTGGCTCTCCCAGGCCATCGTTTCCTATTGCGAAGTGTCTGATTTGCCACGAGCATCCGCGTAACACGACGGTGCAGCCGTGCTCGCACAATGTTACGTGCGAGCAGTGTGCGTCGCTGCTTGTGTCGCGGAAGAAGCAGTGCCCTTTGTGTCATCAGAAGATCGAGCGAGCTGTGACGAAGGGAGGAATGGTGTTTTCACGTAACTAGTATGACTGATATGCATATGTATATTAATTCGGCTGTTCAAAGACCCTTTGCGCAAACAACCATGTTTTTAGTAATTTGTTTGTCTGACCTATGTACGAGGAAGGACAGAAGGTGTATTTTTCCTAAGTGTACCTCCACATGCAACCGTACCTGCGCCAGTCCCGGCGGCCCTGCTTGTCGTGAGGTACCAGTCGTTGTTATCGAGGCAACCAGAATGGCGGTTGATTTGTCGGTCTGGGCCACCAGCCAGTCATATTCATGCCGAAGCACTTCGGCGGATCTGGTTTGGGCGCGGCGTGTCAGGTCTGCAAGCGACCGTCAAAACAGCTGCACTGCACCTCGAGCATTGTCAGCCACACACCAACTACACGGCAACAAGAACCTTCCATCGCCGCTCAGCTGGCGATCGTCTGCGACACCCCGAGAAACACCCAACCAATCGAAGTGCTCTCCCGTGCCTCGACGACAAACTTCACGTGCAGAAGCAGACGGGCGTAACTTTCTGTTCCGTCAGTTTCTTGGGACCCCCTTGTTCATCAATTCTGTTGACCTTCCCCTGCATATTCTCCCTGCCAACCAGCCAACAGCCCTCGCCTCGATATTTCCAATTCCGCTGCTTTTGTGGTTTCACTTTCTTCCGTTTTTCGAATACAACCTCCAATACAGCACATACGATAGAAGACAGCCCAGACAGTCTCGAGGGGGGGGTTTGCGGGATAGCCTTGAGATTCTTTACTCACCTACATCTCGTCCGCCACTGGCTCTGAAGGCGGGCTCTTTTTCGCACTCGACTAGCCGTTCCCAGCCCCCGAGTCACCATCAACGACGATATCAACGTTTTTCGTCCCAGCAGCGACGACAAAGCGTTCAAATCGTCCGCCTTAATTCGTCCGTGGCTTTCAATCTCAGAATTTTATCCAGTCTCGACCTCTTTTGCTTTGAAAGGATCAGTATTTCCCGAGCATCTAGACTAGACAGCGGGCTTGCCAGGGTTACAGATGGTAGTTCACCGGCCGAAACAGCACTGCAAGCAAGAGCTCCGAGAGCTCGACGTGTTGCCAGTCAGCACGTCGAAAAAGAACCACCACCACCACCACCACCACCACCACCACCATCACCATCACCACGAGCAACAGCAGCAGCAGCAGCTACAGACTTACCGGCAGGGCTACGCAAACGAGGCGGCAGACAGTAACGATAGCGGCGACGACGATCCGCTGCCGGTGGGCGTGAGCGCGCTGGATTGGGCGTTCAACATGCTCCGCTGGTGCCCCGCCAGCGACCTCGAGCTCCGTTCCTGCGAATGCCGACTGCTCTCGTTCGTTAGGTGCGAATACGTGCCGGATGTGGACCATTTTCTCGTTTTGCCATTTTCTCGTTCCGGCAGCCGGTGCAAATACCATTTTCTCGTTCCGGCAGCCGGTGCAAATACCATTTTCTCGTTCCGGCAGCCGGTGCAAATACCATTTTCTCGTTCCGGCAGCCGGTGCAAATACCATTTTCTCGTTCCGGCAGCCGGTGCAAATACCATTTTCTCGTTCCGGCAGCCGGTGCAAATACCATTTTCTCGTTCCGGCAGCCGGTGCAAATACCATTTTCTCGTTCCGGCAGCCGGTGCAAATACCATTTTCTCGTTCCGGCAGCCGGTGCAAATACCATTTTCTCGTTCCGGCAGCCGGTGCAAATACCATTTTCTCGTTCCGGCAGCCGGTGCAAATACCATTTTCTCGTTCCGGCAGCCGGTGCAAATACCATTTTCTCGTTCCGGCAGCCGGTGCAAATACCATTTTCTCGTTCCGGCAGCCGGTGCAAATACCATTTTCTCGTTCCGGCAGCCGGTGCAAATACCATTTTCTCGTTCCGGCAGCCGGTGCAAATACCATTTTCTCGTTCCGGCAGCCGGTGCAAATACCATTTTCTCGTTCCGGCAGCCGGTGCAAATACCATTTTCTCGTTCCGGCAGCCGGTGCAAATACCATTTTCTCGTTCCGGCAGCCGGTGCAAATACCATTTTCTCGTTCCGGCAGCCGGTGCAAATACCATTTTCTCGTTCCGGCAGCCGGTGCAAATACCGCCTGCCGCTCATCTGATGTTTCTACGCGTAGCTCTTGCCTTTCGTCCTACATCCCCCACTCCTTCCCCTCACTCACACCGCTTCCTCCTCCACCTCCCCTCCCCTTCCATCAAAGGTCCTCGCTCCGTCCTCCCCGCGGCCCGTCTCTGGCGTTATAAGCGAGGCATGTCGCTTTTCATTAGTCCCTCGTGGCGCGATGAGCGAACTTGTTTCCGGCAGGCCATGCGCCATAGCTGCTCAAACCACGTTGTATTCCTGCTCGACTATAGTGCACATCGTTACTGAGAGTAGTAAAGCAAAGCGGGTTATTCTAGGCGTACTTCCATTCATCCCCTTCTTTCCCATCTTCCCGCGTACCCCGCGTCGCGCAGGACCCCGCATCGCGTGATCCAAATAGACATCGGCCACCCGCCGGCCGTCCGCAAGAAAGCCACCGTCTGGCCGTCAGACAAACCGCTGGAAGACACTCTGTCGTGGGGCTGGCAGAAGGCGGCGGAAACCGACGGCGGAAGCGGCGGCGCAGGCGGTGGCGACGCGGCGGAGAACTGCTTCATCAACACGCTGGTGGTGGGGGCGACGACGTGTCGCGGCGACGGGCGCGGCGACGAGGAGGAGGTGAACGGCAAGCCGAACCTGGTGATGATCCACGGGTACGCGGCGGCGCTGGGGTTCTTCTTCCGCAACTACGACGCACTCGCGGAGCACTTCAACGTCTACTCCATCGACCAGCTCGGGTGCGGGCGTGGCTTACGGGAGGAAGTAACCAGGTGTGCGTGAGTTTGTTAGGGAGGAGGGGGGAGAGAGGGGAAGAAGGGGGGGAGAGGGGGAGCAGAGAGGGGGAGCCGAGTGGGGGAACAGAGAGGGGGAAAGGGGGAACAGAGACGGGGAACAGAGAGGGGGAGGTGAACGGGAAGCCGAACCTGGTGATGATCCACGGGTACGCCGCCGCGCTGGGGTTCTTCTTCCGCAACTACGACGCGCTCGCGGAGCACTTCAACGTCTACTCCATCGACCAGCTCGGGTGTGTTTACTAGCTTTACAACTACGTGTGCGTTCCTGACTACAAACGCGGCTTCAAAATCAGCGCAGTAGGCACTCATTCAACGTCGACTCCTCCGACCAGCGTGGGCGTGTCGGGTTTGACTAGCTTGGGTGTGTCTCGAATGGGAGGAACTGACCCTGTGCTTGCTCAAGAGAGCAATTGAGCTGAAAGGTGGAAGGCGTGCTTAGGTCAAGAAGGGAAGAGACAAATGGGTCAGTCAGCCCACGTGCTGCTGCTGCAACCCGTTTGCGCTTGCTGCTTGGCTCGATGCAATCAATGCAATCAAAGCAATCAGTGCAATCAAAGCAATCAGTGCAATCAAAGCAATCAGTGCAATCAAAGCAATCAGTGCAATCAAAGCAATCAGTGCAATCAATGCAATCAGTGCAATCAATGCAATCAAAGCAATCAAAGCACCTCTTCCATTCCCACGTGGCTGCGTGGCAGGTGGGGAGCATCTAGTCGGCCCACATTCACGCCTGCTTCTCCTGAAGGTACAGCATCAGCAAGGCGGCAAGGCGACAACGGGCACAAGGCGAAACAACGTCTTGTCGTCCTGAAAACGTCTGACTTTGTTGTCGCTGGTTCTTCTGTGTCCTAACTTTTGTATTCAGCTTCCTTGCGTTCGTGCCGGTTGCTCATCTTGGCCTCTGCTCTTGTCGATTGATTCATTGCCACACATGGTCACGCGCCCCTCACTCAATCAATTGAGTTTGATCATGCCACACTCAATCGCACCCCTCACTCCCCCCGTCATTTCCCCGCTAACTGCTCCCCTTCACCCCTCCTTCACTACCCTCTTAACTTCCCCGCTCACTCCCCCTCTCACCTCCCCCCTCTCCCCGCACACCCCACACACTCGACCCGCACACAACCCTCATCCCCCTGTGCGCGCGCCCACCCACCAGAGGTGGAGTCATGGTTCGTGCGTGGCGGAAGGAGATGGCGTTCAGGGGAGGCGACTCACACATCTCACTCCCCCCTCAACTTCCCCTCTCCCCCATTCATCCCCCTGTGCGCGCGCCCACCCACCAGAGGCGGAGACGTGGTTTGTGGAGGCACTGGAGGCGTGGCGAAGGGAGATGGGGCTGCGGCGCTTCGTGCTGCTCGGCCACTCCTTTGGGGGATTTGTCGCCTCTAGATACGCCCTCAAGGTGGGCGCTCGCACACCTGGTGCTGACGGTGCTGCGGAGGGCGCTCAGGCCAACTCGGCTTGAAAACTTGGTGCATTCGATAGTGCCTCCCCCCACGCTGCCTCCCCCCACGCTGCCTCCCCCCATGTCGCCCTTCCACATGCTGGCCCCCTCACATGCTGCCTCCCCCCATGTCGCCCTTCCACATGCTGGCCCCCTCACATGCTGCCTTCCCCCATGCTGCCCGTTAATTCTGCCTCCCATGCGGCCTCCCCTCTCTGCCTCCCCCACAACAGTACCCCTCGCGTCGCGGGTGCGCCATCTAGTGCTGGTGAGGCCAGCCCAGCGGGGTTGAGCCACGAGACAGCCAAGATGCACCAGTTCCGCTCCACCTCAAAATCCCCCATGCTGTCGCCTCCTATACTGCCTCCACTCCACTTATGGCGCCTCCCTTCCCCCTGCATGCCCTACTGCAGTATCCCTCGCGCGTGCGGCATCTAGTGCTGGTGGGGCCAGCGGGGTTCAGCCACGAGTCTGCCAAGATGCAACAGTTCCGCTCCACATGGAAGGGCTTTGCCTTCCAGTGCTACTGGGACACCAACATCCCACCCCAGCAGTTCATTCGGTACGCTCTAACTCCACCCCCACTCCCCCCACAATAATATATTTGTATATGTATGTATGTATAAAAAAAAAAGCGAGAGATTTTTTTTGCTTGTACAGGACAATGTTTTTTTTTGTTATTATTATTATTATTATTATTATTATTATTTTTCCACCTTGTTCCTGTCCACTCTCGCCTTATGGAGTCCCGCCACTGCAAAGAATCTCTTGTTGGCTGAAAGTCACCCTCCCCTCCCACAGGTGGCTGGGACCATGGAGTCGGGACATTGTGAAGAGTGCCACAACACAGCGATGGTCCGACCTGCCAACACCGCAGGAGAACATGACTCCCGAGCAAGTGGACGCCTTCTGTGGTACGATCACAAAACTCCCCTTTTATCCAAGGAACCTCGACTGTTGAGCTAATCGGTGCCTTTGGTGGTGGTATGTATGGTCGTGAGAACAATTGCCCTTTTTCACCGCTCATTTGCGGCGAGACGTGGACGGACCTGCATGGATGTGCATCAACATAACTTACTGCTCTCCCTTCCCTTCCCCTTCTCTCTTCCCCCCTCTCCCTCCCCTCCCCGCCAGACTACATATACCAGACGCTATCAGCGCCCATGAGTGGCGAGCAGTGCACCTTGAACAGTCCCCACCCCCCCCCGTCCCCCTTCCCACCCCTGCATGCAGACTACATATACCAGACGCTATCAGCGCCCATGAGTGGCGAGCAGTGCACCTTGAACAGTCCCCACCCCCCCCCCGTCCCCCTTCCCACCCCTGCATGCAGACTACATATACCAGACGCTATCAGCGCCCATGAGTGGCGAGCAGTGCACCTTGAACAGTCCCCACCCCCCCCCCGTCCCCCTTCCCACCCCTGCATGCAGACTACATATACCAGATGCTATCAGCGCCCATGAGTGGCGAGCAGTGCACCTTGAACAGTCCCCACCCCCCCCCCCGTCCCCCTTCCCACCCCTGCATGCAGACTACATATACCAGATGCTATCAGCGCCCATGAGTGGCGAGCAGTGCACCTTGAACAGTCCCCACCCCCCCCCGTCCCCCTTCCCACCCCTGCATGCAGACTACATATACCAGATGCTATCAGCGCCCATGAGTGGCGAGCAGTGCACCTTGAACAGTCCCCACCCCCCCCCGTCCCCCTTCCCACCCCTGCATGCAGACTACATATACCAGACGCTATCAGCGCCCATGAGTGGCGAGCAGTGCACCTTGAACAGTCCCCACCCCCCCCCCGTCCCCCTTCCCACCCCTGCATGCAGACTACATATACCAGATGCTATCAGCGCCCATGAGTGGCGAGCAGTGCACCTTGAACAGTCCCCACCCCCCCCCCCGTCCCCCTTCCCACCCCTGCATGCAGACTACATATACCAGATGCTATCAGCGCCCATGAGTGGCGAGCAGTGCACCTTGAACAGTCCCCACCCCCCCCCGTCCCCCTTCCCACCCCTGCATGCAGACTACATATACCAGATGCTATCAGCGCCCATGAGTGGCGAGCAGTGCACCTTGAACAGTCCCCACCCCCCCCCGTCCCCCTTCCCACCCCTGCATGCAGACTACATATACCAGACGCTATCAGCGCCCATGAGTGGCGAGCAGTGCACCTTGAACAGTCCCCACCCCCCCCCCGTCCCCCTTCCCACCCCTGCATGCAGACTACATATACCAGATGCTATCAGCGCCCATGAGTGGCGAGCAGTGCACCTTGAACAGTCCCCACCCCCCCCCCCGTCCCCCTTCCCACCCCTGCATGCAGACTACATATACCAGATGCTATCAGCGCCCATGAGTGGCGAGCAGTGCACCTTGAACAGTCCCCACCCCCCCCCGTCCCCCTTCCCACCCCTGCATGCAGACTACATATACCAGATGCTATCAGCGCCCATGAGTGGCGAGCAGTGCACCTTGAACAGTCCCCACCCCCCCCCCGTCCCCCTTCCCACCCCTGCATGCAGACTACATATACCAGATGCTATCAGCGCCCATGAGTGGCGAGCAGTGCACCTTGAACAGTCCCCACCCCCCCCCGTCCCCCTTCCCACCCCTGCATGCAGACTACATATACCAGATGCTATCAGCGCCCATGAGTGGCGAGCAGTGCACCTTGAACAGTCCCCACCCCCCCCCCCGTCCCCCTTCCCACCCCTGCATGCAGACTACATATACCAGATGCTATCAGCGCCCATGAGTGGCGAGCAGTGCACCTTGAACAGTCCCCACCCCCCCCCGTCCCCCTTCCCACCCCTGCATGCAGACTACATATACCAGATGCTATCAGCGCCCATGAGTGGCGAGCAGTGCACCTTGAACAGTCCCCACCCCCCCCCGTCCCCCTTCCCACCCCTGCATGCAGACTACATATACCAGATGCTATCAGCGCCCATGAGTGGCGAGCAGTGCACCTTGAACAGTCCCCACCCCCCCCCCGTCCCCCTTCCCACCCCTGCATGCAGACTACATATACCAGATGCTATCAGCGCCCATGAGTGGCGAGCAGTGCACCTTGAACAGTCCCCACCCCCCCCCGTCCCCCTTCCCACCCCTGCATGCAGACTACATATACCAGATGCTATCAGCGCCCATGAGTGGCGAGCAGTGCACCTTGAACAGTCCCCACCCCCCCCCGTCCCCCTTCCCACCCCTGCATGCAGACTACATATACCAGATGCTATCAGCGCCCATGAGTGGCGAGCATGCATGAAGTTCATCGTCTTCCCTCTCGTGTTGTTATTGCCCTCTCTCTCCCCAACCCCCTCCTTTTCTCTCCCCCTCCGTGCAGACTACATATACCAGACGCTATCAGCGCCCATGAGTGGCGAGCAGTGCACCTTGAACAGTCCCCACCCCCCCCCGTCCCCCTTCCCACCCCTGCATGCAGACTACATATACCAGATGCTATCAGCGCCCATGAGTGGCGAGCATGCATGAAGTTCATCGTCTTCCCTCTCGTGTTGTTATTGCCCTCTCTCTCCCCAACCCCCTCCTTTTCTCTCCCCCTCCGTGCAGACTACATATACCAGACGCTATCAGCGCCCATGAGTGGCGAGCAGTGCACCTTGAACAGTCCCCACCCCCCCCCGTCCCCCTTCCCACCCCTGCATGCAGACTACATATACCAGATGCTATCAGCGCCCATGAGTGGCGAGCATGCATGAAGTTCATCGTCTTCCCTCTCGTGTTGTTATTGCTCTCTCTCTCCCCAACCCCCTCCTTTTCTCTCCCCCTCCGTGCAGACTACATATACCAGACGCTATCAGCGCCCATGAGTGGCGAGCAGTGCACCTTGAACAGTCCCCACCCCCCCCCGTCCCCCTTCCCACCCCTGTATGCAGACTACATATACCAGATGCTATCAGCGCCCATGAGTGGCGAGCATGCATGAAGTTCATCGTCTTCCCTCTCGTGTTGTTATTGCCCTCTCTCTCCCCAACCCCCTCCTTTTCTCTCCCCCTCCGTGCAGACTACATATACCAGACGCTATCAGCGCCCATGAGTGGCGAGCAGTGCACCTTGAACAGTCCCCACCCCCCCCCGTCCCCCTTCCCACCCCTGCATGCAGACTACATATACCAGATGCTATCAGCGCCCATGAGTGGCGAACATGCATGAAGTTCATCGTCTTCCCTCTCGTGTTGTTATTGCCCTCTCTCTCCCCAACCCCCTCCTTTTCTCTCCCCCTCCGTGCAGACTACATATACCAGACGCTATCAGCGCCCATGAGTGGCGAGCAGTGCACCTTGAACAGTCCCCACCCCCCCCCGTCCCCCTTCCCACCCCTGCATGCAGACTACATATACCAGATGCTATCAGCGCCCATGAGTGGCGAGCAGTGCACCTTGAACAGTCCCCCCCCCCCCCGTCCCCCTTCCCACCCCTGCATGCAGACTACATATACCAGATGCTATCAGCGCCCATGAGTGGCGAGCAGTGCACCTTGAACAGTCCCCACCCCCCCCCGTCCCCCTTCCCACCCCTGCATGCAGACTACATATACCAGATGCTATCAGCGCCCATGAGTGGCGAGCAGTGCACCTTGAACAGTCCCCACCCCCCCCCGTCCCCCTTCCCACCCCTGCATGCAGACTACATATACCAGATGCTATCAGCGCCCATGAGTGGCGAGCAGTGCACCTTGAACAGTCCCCACCCCCCCCCGTCCCCCTTCCCACCCCTGCATGCAGACTACATATACCAGATGCTATCAGCGCCCATGAGTGGCGAGCAGTGCACCTTGAACAGTCCCCACCCCCCCCCGTCCCCCTTCCCACCCCTGCATGCAGACTACATATACCAGATGCTATCAGCGCCCATGAGTGGCGAGCAGTGCACCTTGAACAGTCCCCACCCCCCCCCGTCCCCCTTCCCACCCCTGCATGCAGACTACATATACCAGATGCTATCAGCGCCCATGAGTGGCGAGCAGTGCACCTTGAACAGTCCCCACCCCCCCCCGTCCCCCTTCCCACCCCTGCATGCAGACTACATATACCAGATGCTATCAGCGCCCATGAGTGGCGAGCAGTGTATAAAGTTCATCTTCTCCCTCGGGGCCGTACCCTCTAGTTCTGTTATTCCCCACCCACTCTCTTCCCAACCCCCCCTCCCCCTCCTCCCCCTCTCCCCTATTCCCCCGCACCAGACTACATATACCAGACGCTCTCAGCGCCCATGAGTGGAGAGCAGTGCATGAAGTTTATCTTCTCCCTCGGGGCCTTCGCTCGCCGCCCACTCATCGACAGGTGTGTGTGTGTGTTTCTGTGTGTGTGAGAGAGGGAGGATGGTGGGGAGGGGGGGCTCTATGCTGGTTGGCTGTGGCGTGTTGCAGTGTGCTTCCTGTGTAGCGCATCACCTTACGTGCTCTGCTTTTGAGGCGCCTCAAAAGTCGTCTGTGTAGCGCATCACCTTACGTGCTCTGCTTTTGAGGCGCCTCAAAAGTCGTCTGTGTAGCGCATCATCTTACATGCTCTGACTGCCCGGGTCCTCTAAACAACCACTGCATGCTTGCCAGTACATCCCTCGGCAATGTCAAATTCCCTTCCTGAATGGATTGGCGGTTTGCATGCTTGCTCCCGCTGCCATGTGTGTATGGACATGTGTGTGTTTTTGTGCCCATGTCATGTGGTTCGGTACGTGCCGGTGCAGTGCGGTGCACTGGAAGGCGCCCACAACGTTCATCTATGGGGAGCAGGACATCATGGATCATCGGGCAGGGCTGGCAGCCGCCAAGCAGATGCCCGTGCCAGCGGAGGTCTTCAACGTGCGCGAGGTATGTGTGTGCTTGCAGCGCGGTGCGGTGCGGTAAGTAATGGTGCAGTGCGGTGCACTGGAAGGCGCCAACCATCGGGCAGGGCTGACAGCCACCAAGCAGATGCCTGTGCCTGCAGAGGTGTTCAACATGCGAGAGGTACGTGCGAGAGATACGTGCGAGAGGTACGCGCGAGAGTGTGTGGCTGTGCCCTCATGGCGCCCGTCTGGTGGTGTAACACCAAAGAGTGGGCAGAGAATGGCAGAGAATGGCAGAGAATGGCAAGTACTGTCAAGGCACGTGAGTGGTGTAACCTTAACAAAGCAATTCACATAGCAGACTCTCGTGTTCAAATCCTTGGCCCCTGTAGATGCCTTCAGTGGATAACACTCAACCTGCCATATTCGCCTCTCCTCTCCACCACATCCTTGGACTCATCTCCAGGTTGGCCACATGCTATTTTTGGAAAAGCCTACCATTTTCAGGGATGCTATTCTGTATGCGTGTCGAGACATTCTCCCTGCAAGCTGCTCCACTGTGGATGCGGCGTGGAAGCATGTGGAACCTCACCATATCCCCCTCACCACCTGCCACAAGATTCACCTCGATATGACATCAACGGTTCTGATCGCGCCGCAAGGGAACAGTGGTGTGAGACGATTAGCCAGCGGCTGGGGGATTGGTTGAGAGGAGGGTAAGTGAATGGTGTTTCTTCTGCTAACGCGGCTGCTTTGAATTGGCTGATTGTGGAGTTGATATTATTTGTGTACATTTCAATGATCAAGAAAATAGTCTCTGGCATCATATGACCTGCTTTTTCACTACTAATTTACTTATCGTAGCAGGGAGGGATGGCATTCTGTATGAGTTTTGTGTTTTGCTAACTGTTCAACCTGTGTGCTAGTAATGAAGTTGGGTTCTTCTCCCGCTGCTTCAGAAGTTGCCTCTTTAGACGCCCAAAACCCTCTCAAGCCAGCCACCAGTTTGTGGTGCTATTTATCTCAAGTTGAGATTCTCAACCACTCGTTCTATTCATCACAAGCACACTCCGCTATAACAAGCGTCCACTTCGATGATAGCGGTGTGTGTTTCGCGCTCGTCTGACACGCCCAGGCAAACCCTAGGCGAACGGATTCAATTCGTCAAATTCAGATTACCCAAGTTTGAACCCAGACTCGAGGGGTCTGTCTCTTTCTCTCCCCCTGGTTTTGTTGTGATCGCTTCGTAACTCACGGGGCGTGCTTGTGACTGTTCCTGCTTCCATGGTCTTTCTTCGAGTATCAGTAATCAAGCACAGGTGTTTGCGTGAGGAACGTCAGTCGCCATTCCTCCATCACCTCCTGCCGCCTGTGAATCCGAGCGAGAAGAATTGCTCTAGTACCGTACTTCTTAGTCCCTGACTCGATCCGTCTCGTTATCTTCTTTCGAGCTTCACTTGTGCTGCTGAGCTGCTATCGTCTGATTCTTTCGACTTGCAGTCTACCATGACATTTCGCTTTCGCCTTTCTGGTGTAAGGTAGGCCTGATCGGTTGTGTGCGGTGGCCGACTGGTCAATGCAGCTTCCACCGCGGTTGCGATACGATCGCGAGTCGGTCAGATAGGCCCGCCCGATGATGAGGGATCGGCCATGGAGGGGAACAGAGACGAAGCCAACTTTTGAGTTGACCCAAACGTGATAACGAGCCGTTCAGATAGGCCCGTCCGATTGCGAGCCGTTCAGATAGGTCCGTCCGATTGCGAGCCGTTCAGATAGGGCAGGTAGCCGTTCAGATGTGGGATCGGCCATGGAGGGGAACAGAAACGAAGCCAACTTTTGAGTCGACCCAAACGTGATAACGAGCCGTTCAGATAGGGCGGGTAGCCGTTCAGATGTGGGATCGGCCATGGAGGGGAACAGAGACGAAGCTCAGAAGGCGAAAGGCCTCGCCGAGACGAAGCTATTGGCTGGCGACGTTGCAGGAGCCCGGCGTTTCTGGGAGAAGGCCAGTCGCATGTACGCGTCGCTCGACGGCCTTTCGCAGATGCAGGCCGTCCTCGACGTCCACGAAGCCGTCGCGAAGCGGTTACCCGGTGTCGGTCAAGGCGAGGTGGACTGGTACCTCGTTTTAGACGTTCCCGATTTCTGCGACGACGACGCGTTAATAAAGAAATCGTACCGAAAGAAAGCGCTGCTGCTGCATCCCGATAAGAACAAAGGCGCGGGGGCGGAGACCGCGTTTAAGTATGTCTCAGAGGCGTTCGGTTGCCTGTCCGACAAGGTGAAAAAGTCGCAGTTTGACCTAAGAAAGCGAGCCAGAGCAGCCATCGGAGCGCGCGGCGGGCACCACTCCGCCGCCGGCGCAGCCGCCGCCGCCGCCGCGAGTCGGCATCACACCGCGGCGAATCGGCAGCATGGGGGCAGCGGTCGGGGGCACGGAGCGGGAGGGGGAAGCAGCGGCGCAAAAGGTGGCGCCGCGGCGGGCGGTGCGGCGGCTCCGCAGTTCTACACGCGGTGCCACCATTGCTGCGCGAGCCTGCTGTGTAAGCAGGACTCGCGCGGGCAGATAGTGAAGTGTCTGCTGTGCGAAAAGATGTTCCTCGCTCTCGAAGTCGATCCTCCCGCCAAGGCGAAAGCGGCTGCTGCCAGTGGTGCTCCTGCTGGCGGTAAGGGGCGCGCGCAGCAGCAACAGCAGCAGCAGCAGCAGCGGCAGCAGCGGCATCAACAGCGGCAGCAGCAACGGCAGCAGCAGCCACACCAGCAACAGCAGCAACAGCAGCAGCAGCAGCAGCAACAGCAACAACAACCGCAGCAGCAACAACAGCAGCAGCGACAGCAGCCGGTGCCACTGCGGCCGGCCCCCCAGCCGCCGCCACCTCAGCCGCAACAACCACCACCGCCGCCACCCCAGCAACAGCAACAGCAACAACCGCAGCCGCATCCGCAGCCGCAGCAGCAGCAGTTTCAACAGCCGTGGTGGCAACCGCAGGCAGGCGGGCAGCAGGGCTCGGCGGTTTCGCAAACGGAGACCGAACGGGCAAGTTTCATGAAAAACATGACTGAGAGCGAGCGCGTGAGTTTCATGAAGAATATGCATGCGCAGTTCTGCGCCGCCGGCATGATGGGGCGCGGGGGGCCCGCGGATCGTTGGCAGCACCCGGCGCAACCTGCGCACCCGCCCCACGCGCCCAATGGTTTCTCTTCCGCTGCCGCCGCTGCTGCCGCCGCTGCCGCTGCCGCAGCAGGTGGTGCGGGAGGTGGTGGCATAGGAGGCATGGCGGCTGGGATTCCTGCGTTCGGCGTGCCTTCGTTTCCGAAGCCCCCAGCCTCGTTCGGGGGACAGCCGGCGGGTTTGAACCGACAGCAACAGCAGCAACCACAGCCGCAGCAGCAGCCACAGCCGCAGCAGCCACAGCAGCCACAGCCACAGCCGCAGCAACCCGGCCAGTCGCAGCAGCAGCAGCAGCAGCAGCAGCAGCAGCAGCAGCAGCACTATCCAGGCCCGTTCTCCCAAGCACCGTCAAACCCCACACCTGACCACACCGCCCCACACCCTTCCCAACCTTCCGAGCAACCTTCCCACGCGCAGCAGCCGCAGGCACAGGGCAGCCTCTTCGAGCGGTTCTGCTCGCCGGGACCCGCCGCGTCGGGGTTCCGCCAGGCATTCGTGAACGACGTGTGGGACAAGGTGCAGCGGGAGCGCATGGAGGAGCAGGCGGAGGGGCGGCGCAGGGACCGCGAGCGGAAGGAGGCGGAGGTGGCGGAGCGGAAGCGCGTGGCGAAGGCGGCTAGGGACGCGGAGAGGGAGCGGAAGAAGGCAGCTGCTGCTGAAAAGGCGGCGGCGGTTGTTGCGGCGGCTGTGGCGGCCATGGGGGCTGGCGCGGGGAGGGAAGGCGGAGGTGGGCAAACGAAGGGGATGGCGGGTGAGGCGGTGGGGGGAGAGGGAATGGGCGCGCCTGGTGCAGGGGCGGGCGGGGTGGGGGTGGCGGGAGACGCGGGAGGAGGTGAGGCGGGAGGAGAAGGGCGGAGCACGCGGAAGAGGCAGAGGGGGAGGGAGGGGAAGGAGGATGTGCTTCTAGGCGACATGTCTGCTGCCGTTCATGCTGCCATGGCTGCTGCGCGCGCTGCTCTTGGGACGGGCGCGATGAATGGGGTGGGGGAACGCGGAGGGCATGAGGCGGAGGGGGAGGAGATGGGGGGCGCGGGGAGGAGGGCGAAGAGGACTCGCAGAGAGGAGGAGCAGCCGTCGGTTATCAATTTGGATTCGGATGAGCCGGCTGAAATGGAGGTGGATGGGGTAGAGGTAGGCGGTGTGGCAAGCACAGCAGCGCCAGCGGCAGGAACAACAATGGCAGCAGCAGCAGGGGGAGCAGCAGCAGGGGGAGCAGCAACAGCTGCGGAGGTCACGGTAGAGGTGGTGGCGGATGCAGCAGCAGGTGTGACAGCGGAGGTAGTATCAGGCGCGGGAGTGGCAGCAGCAGCTGTAGCGAGCAGGGGGCGTGCTGCGACTGCTTTCCCTGCTACAGCTGCTACAGCTGCCACAACTTCCCTCTCTGGGAGAGACGCAAGGGCGGCTGCTCAGTCCCTGCGACAGGCGTCCCTGTTTGAAGTCATGGGGAACACTGCCCAGGGGCCGAACCTCGTTTCCTCCTCTGCACCTGCTCCTGCTCCTGATCCGACTTCTGCGCATGCTCCTGCACCGGCTGGCACCGCTGGTAACCGCTTTAACGCGACAGCTGCAGCTGCGGGTCGCAATGGTCGGCCGAGTGTGCTCGACCCAGCAGCACCAGCGGCGGCTGCGGCTGCTGCTGCTGCAGTGAGAAGCAAGGAGGCGAGTGGGGAGGGCGGGGGGGCTTCTGCTGCTGCTGCTACTGCTGCTGCTGCTACTGCTATTGGGGGAGCTGCAAATGGTGGTGCTCCTGCGAATGGGTTGGTGGGTGAGAAGGGCGGACAGAAGGGGGAGGGGAAGACGGAGGGGGAGGAGGAGGATGAGGAGGAGGAGGGAATGGAAGTGGCGGATCCGGATTTCTACTGCTTTGACAACGACCGTGAGGAGGAGAGCGTGCAAGAGGGGCAGGTGCGTGCAAGAGGGGCAGGTGCGTGCAAGAGGGGCAGGTGCGTGCAAGAGGGGCAGGTGCGTGCAAGAGGGGCAGGTGCGTGGTGAGGTGGTTTTTGAGTCGACTCAAAAGTGATTGCGAGGAGGAGAGCATGCAAGATGAGCAGGTATGTGGTGAGGTGGTTTTTGAGTCGACTTAAAAGTGATCGCGAGGAGGAGAGCGTGCTAGAGGGGCAGGTACGTGCAAGTGTGGACAACGGGAGTCATGGTAGTGACTGCCGGCACCCCACATACGCCCCCACACCTCCCCTCCTCCCCTCTCGCCCTATTGCCCTCCCCCCTGCTCTCCCATCCTTCCTCTTCCCCTTTTTCCCCTTTTTCCCTTCTCCCACACTTCCGCGCCCTCACGCACAAGCCCTCCTTCCTTTAACGCCACATGTTCCCGTCTTTCCTTACCATGCTCCCTCCTCCCGTGTGCACACTCCACCTGCCAGGTTTCGGTGGTGTGTGCGTTGACTGTGCCCCCCTGCCTCCTCCCACTTCGCCCCACCCCTTCCATGCCACATGCTCAAAGTTCCTCCAGGCTATGACAAAGCAATGTTCCAACCCAATGTTCCTCCTCCAATGTTCCTCCTCCAATGTTCCTCCTCCAATGTTCCTCCTCCAATGTTCCTCCTCCAATGTTCCTCCTCCAATGTTCCTCCTCCAATGTTCCTCCTCCAATGTTCCTCCTCCAATGTTCCTCCTCCAATGTTCCTCCTCCAATGTTCCTCCTCCAATGTTCCTCCTCCAATGTTCCTCCTCCAATGTTCCTCCTCCAATGTTCCTCCTCCAATGTTCCTCCTCCAATGTTCCTCCTCCAATGTTCCTCCTCCAATGTTCCTCCTCCAATGTTCCTCCTCCAATGTTCCTCCTCCAATGTTCCTCCTCCAATGTTCCTCCTCCAATGTTCCTCCTCCAATGTTCCTCCTCCAATGTTCCTCCTCCAATGTTCCTCCTCCAATGTTCCTCCTCCAATGTTCCTCCTCCAATGTTCCTCCTCCAATGTTCCTCCTCCAATGTTCCTCCTCCAATGTTCCTCCTCCAATGTTCCTCCTCCAATGTTCCTCCTCCAATGTTCCTCCTCCAATGTTCCTCCTCCAATGTTCCTCCTCCAATGTTCCTCCTCCAATGTTCCTCCTCCAATGTTCCTCCTCCAATGTTCCTCCTCCAATGTTCCTCCTCCAATGTTCCTCCTCCAATGTTCCTCCTCCAATGTTCCTCCTCCAATGTTCCTCCTCCAATGTTCCTCCTCCAATGTTCCTCCTCCAATGTTCCTCCTCCAATGTTCCTCCTCCAATGTTCCTCCTCCAATGTTCCTCCTCCAATGTTCCTCCTCCAATGTTCCTCCTCCAATGTTCCTCCTCCAATGTTCCTCCTCCAATGTTCCTCCTCCAATGTTCCTCCTCCAATGTTCCTCCTCCAATGTTCCTCCTCCAATGTTCCTCCTCCAATGTTCCTCCTCCAATGTTCCTCCTCCAATGTTCCTCCTCCAATGTTCCTCCTCCAATGTTCCTCCTCCAATGTTCCTCCTCCAATGTTCCTCCTCCAATGTTCCTCCTCCAATGTTCCTCCTCCAATGTTCCTCCTCCAATGTTCCTCCTCCAATGTTCCGGCGGAGAGAGGGGGAAGGTGTTCCTTCCCCCTCCTGTTCCCTGTTTCCTCTCCCTCGTCCCCAACCCTCACCCACGCTTGTGTATGTTCTACTCTATGACGATCGGGATGGCCTCCCATGTGTCTACACGCTTGTGCACAAGGTCTCCCACCGCCCCACCCCTCTTCCTCCCTTCCTCCCCTCCCCACCCCACACCACACCCTTCACCAGGTGTGGGCTCTATATGACGACCAGGATGGCCTCCCACGTGTCTACGCGCTTGTGCTCAAGGTCTCCCACCGCCCCGCCTGCCCTCCCGTCCCTCCGCCCCCAAACCCTTCTGCCAGGTGTGGGCCCTCTATGACGACCGAGATGGCCTCCCACGTGTCTACATGCTCATGCACAAGGTCTCCCACCGCCCCGCTTTCAAGTGCCCTCCCGTCCCTCCGCCCCCAAACCCTGGTGCGGGCCCTCTATGACGACTGAGACGGCCTCCCACGTGTCTACGCATGCTCAAGGTCTCCCACCGCCCCACCCCTCTTCCTCCCCTCTTCCCCTCCCCCACCCTTCACCCGTCTTGCCAGGTGTGGGCCCTCTATGACGACCGGGACGGCCTGCCACGCTTCTATTGCCTCGTGCTCAAGGTCTCCCACCGCCCCGCCTTCAAGTGCCGCATGCAGTGGCTCACGCCCCTCCCCTCCTCCTCCCGCCGCTCCGCCTCCTCTTCCCTCGTGCCCCCATGCGGGTGGTTCCGCTTGGTAGCCCGAGCCAAGACAATGGACAACATCAGTGTCTTTGCCTTCCGCTTGCCGGGTGTGAATCTTCATCCGAACTTTCCTCTCGCTGTGTTTCCGCAGCCGGGGCAGGTCTGGGCGGTGTTTACTGACCGGGTGCTGCTGCAGCAGCGGCGGAACGGGGCAGGTTCGGGGGGAGGTTCGGGGGTAGGGTTGGGGGAGGGGTTGGACAGGTATGATATGGTGCAGGTGGCTCGGGAAGGGGAGGTGAAGGGGGGTGTGGCAGCGGTGGTGGGAGCGGCTGGGTTGATTGGGCTGCCGGAAAGGCCGGAGGATGGGGTGAGAGGGCAGGTGGTGGTGTGGTTGCTACGACGCATGGAAGGATACACGAGCATTTTCCAGGTACGCCCCTGACCTGCCTCCCACATCTCTGTTTTGAGTGGACTCATAAATCGACTTATTACACGTGGCTGCTACGACGCATGGAAGGATGCACCAGCATTTTCCAGGTACGCCCCTGACCTGCCTCCCACATCTCTGTTTTGAGTGGACTCATAAATCGACTTATTACACGTGGCTGCTACGACGCATGGAAGGATGCACCGGCATTTTCCAGGTACGCCCCTGACCTGCCTCCCACATCTCTGTTTTGAGTGGACTCATAAATCGACTTATTACACGTGGCTGCTACGACGCATGGAAGGATGCACCGGCATTTTCCAGGTACGCCCCTGACCTGCCTCCCACATCTCTGTTTTGAGTGGACTCATAAATAGACTTATTACACGTGGCTGCTACGACGCATGGAAGGATGCACCAGCATTTTCCGGTAGGCGCCCTCTGTCCCCGCTTCTTCTGCTCCTGCTGCCGCATTTTTCCATCTTATAGGCCACATCTTTCCATCCCCATCCCGGATATCAATCACTTCTTTCTGTTGCTGAAGCACTGACTCGTGTAGAGGGAACCGCATGATGATACGAAAAGCTCCCTCTTTGTTGCCTCCCATTGTGCCTATGGCAGCGCATGAGCGAGTGTCTGGCAGTGGATGTGGCGGTCTTCTCTCACCTCGTCCCCTCCCCATATACAAGTGCAAGTTCAACGAGGCCAGCTCCAAGGGACTCCCCTCCCCTCGTGGCAATTTTTTAAAGCTCCTCTTGTTGCCTCCCATCCCATTGTCCCCATGGCAGCGCACAAGCGAGTGTCTGGCAGTGGATGTGACGGTCTTCTCTCACTTCGTCCCCACATATATCTGCAAGGGCAACAAGGCCAACTCTAAGGGACTCCCCTCCACTCGTGGCAAAATTTCAAAGCTCCTCTTGTTTCCTCCCATCCCATTTTGCCCATGGCAGCGCACGAGCGAGTGCTTGGCAGTGGATGTGACGGTCTTCTCTCACTTCATCCCCACGTACAAGTGCAAGGGCAACAAGGCCAACTCAAAGGGACTCCCCTCCACTCGTGGCAAAATTTCAAAGCTCCTCTTGTTTCCTCCCATCCCGTTTTGCCCATGGCAGTGCACGAGCGAGTGCTTGGCAGTGGATGTGACGGTCTTCTCTCACTTCATCCCCACGTACAAGTGCAAGGGCAACGAGGCCAACTCCAAGGGACTCCCCTCCCCACCTCGAGGAGCAATGGAGCTTGACCCAGCTGCAATCCCTCCTGTCATCTCACCTATTACCACTTCAAGACTTGCGTGAATTCATTCCTGAGTCGACTGAAAAAAGCAATGAGGCCAATCTCAAGGAACTCCCCTCCCCGCCTCGAGGAGCCATGGAGCTTGACCCGGCCGCCATCCCTCCTGTCATCTCACCCATTACCACTACAAGACTTGCGTGATTTTTCTGGGAGCTGCTTCTCTTGCGGCCTGGTAACTACCACTAACATTTGCCCCCCCTTTTTTTCATGGTGCATACTAAATTACTGCATAATTCCTGTATGAAAGCCTCGGAGAGTATTTTTTGTGAAGGATCTGAGATCTGTAACAAGTTTCTATATGCAATTAGTGCTCAACAAATCTAGGACTTGCCGAGGCTCCTATCCAAGCATAGAATGATGCTACTCCAAGGTTTTCTATGTCGTTTTGGGGTTTTTTTCCAGTACGTGGGTACTTATATATGGGTTCCCAGCTTCAGTGTACCTGTGTACATGTACATCGTAGTAACTGGCTCCCATGATCCACCATAGCGAGTCCAAACTAATTCGCCATGCTGACATCGGAGCCTGACACGGATCATTTCCGTGCCTACTCCGTTCGATAGAATCTAGGTCGCTTTCAGTCCTCTCGTCAAGCCAGAAGGCGGTCATGCCATTTCGAATTCGGAGCTCCAAGGCGGCCATGCCGATACCAGCTGCGCTCGAGCTTTCATGAGTCCGTTGAGGCGTGTGCGTGGGCTCTCCTACGCGCCGACAACCAATTTCGTTGCCCTCCAACGCGAGATAGTCTAGAATCTAGATGCGTGCCAGGAAGCTCGGATCCCTCGGCCGGGGGGGGAAGTTGAGGCATCGTCTTGCCTCAACGCCCGGCGGATGGACATGATGCGCGCCAGGAAGCTCCCATGCAGTCGTCGCGGCGTGAGTCGCGGTGATAGGGAACCACGTGCACTCACTCATTCTGTCGCGAACCGCCGATTCCGTTGGCTCGATGGACGCGAGGCTTCGCTCCCTCGTGCTCCACTCCTCGTGCTCCACTCCTCGTGCGATTGTGATGAACTTTTCGATTCTCAGCTGGTGCGACACGTTCGAAGCGGAGAAGCATAGCATAGCACGAAGCTCGCGGCGGCACGCGTAGCATGACTCCCACCCCACGCGAGCTGATTCAGCACCGTCGCCGACTCGCCATATGGCGGCATGCTAAGATGATGGGGTCATGCTTAGTCCTGTTTTTTGAGAATTCTCAAATGACATTGAGAGACTGGAGGAGGACCGAGGCAGCATGACGCGCGTTACCGGCGAGCCGTGACATTTAGAGGGAGGGAGGGTGAATCGACGCGCCACGCAGCGGCGGGCTGGCGCGAGTCGGACGCTCTTCGCCGCGCTCCAGCGATATCGAATGGCGCCTCGAGCACAGCAGCGACGAGTCGCCGTCGCTCTCTCTCTCCCGCGCTACCGGCAGCTGCTCGTCGCGCTGCCGATTGACTGAAAGACCGACGGACGGACGGACGGAGGGAGCGAGTATAAGACGCCTCGCATCGGCCAAAAGTTGCTTCACGGTTGTCCTCGTGTATTCTTCATTCTTCACTCCGCTGTAAGCGTCTTCTCTCGTTGTCCGGGCTTCCAGCGCTTTTTGTCCGAAGCAACTGCGTTCTTGTTCGCGAGTCGCGAACACTATGGGGAAGCTCGCGGTGGTTGTGGCGGTGCTGGCGGCGCTGCTGGTGGGCGCCGTCGCGGAGGAGCAGGAATTTCTTCCCGGGCAGCCCAAGGAGAGTGTTCGGGGCAGCGGAGGCCGCGTGGAAACGTGGAGCGAAGATTTCAAGCAGCTGCAGGTAGAGAAAAAAGAGTTCGCCGGAACTTTCACGTGACCTTTCGTCACTTCCTGTATTTATGAAAGCCTGCTCTCCTCCTCTGATTCCTCCTTCCTCCCCTCTCCAAACTGACCTCACTGCTTCGGGTACCACGTCTCACGTCACACCTCGCCCCTCCCCTCCCCCTCTGCGTGCCTCACATGTGCCTCACATGTGCCTCACATGTGCCTCACATGTGCCTCACATTTGACCTCCGCCTCTGCCCGCCGCATGTCCACAGGCAGCGGAGGTGGGAGCAGCAATGATCACTGTGGAGAGCCAGTCGCTTGCACTGCCCTCCTACTCCGATTCCGGGCAGGTGAGTGTGCAACGGGCAGGTTTTTTCCGCACTGACTTTGATTCCCCGCTTTCATGTGTCAATCCTACTTTTGCCCTTTTTTGTTATTCTGTCTTCCTACCCACCGTATTCTTCCTGCTTGCTGGTCTCTCTCCTCTGCCATGACCTGTGTCGCCAGGTGGGCTATGTGTTGAGCGGCGAGGCCATGGCGGGTCTCCTCAGCCCCATGGGAGCTCCTACCACAGTCAGGTGCGTTGCCCTGTGTCTAAGCGTTCTCGTCCCCCGTCCTCAAAAGGCCCAAGTTAAAAGAGCTTGCTCGCTCAATGGCCTTTTTCTGTTTGACACTTTTTCCCCACTGTAGGCGGCTGAGGGAGGGCGATGCGTTTGTCATTCCGAGGGGGTGGGCGCGCTGGGTGTGGAACAACGGCCAGCAGCCTCTCCGCATCGTCTCTCTTGCTGACACCTCCAAGGGCCCTTGCCCCTGCCGCTACACGCCCTTCCACCTCATGGGAGCGCAGAAGGAGCGCTTCGGAGGCGTGCTGCATGGCTTCAGGTGAGTTCAGTATGACACTCCCTGACACCCACACCTTCACTTCCAAGGGCTCTTGCCCCTGCCGCTACACCGCCTCCCACCTCATGGGCGCCCAGAAGGAGTGAGTCGGAGGCATTTTGCATGGCTTCAGGTCAGTGCGCATGGCCCATAGTGCGTTCAGGTTCAGGCAGTTTTGAGGATTCTCATAACAGTTCTGCAATGTTAAGTCAATTTTCCTGCCCGCCACGTTCTAGTGTACCAATTCTCCCCCCGCACGCCTTTCCGCGCACCCTTCAGCCGCGACCTGCTGGCCCAGGCATGGGACGTGGAGGAGAAGGACGTGCAGCAGCTGCTGGAGGCACAGAAGGAAACGTCCTTCGTGAAGGTCACCCCTCGGCTGCGAGCAGAGCTAGAGCAGCTGGTCAACAGGCTTGAGCAGGCAGAGGTGCTGGATGAAGAGGAGATTGAAGAGAACGACCAGCCGCACTTTGGCAAGGGAGCTAAGCGCAGTGTGAGCATCTTTGCTGATTTCACCTACAACCTCAAGGCCCGCCAGCCGGACATCTACATGAAGCGCGGCGGAACTGTGACGTCTGCGAGTGGATACAAGCTGCCGGCGTTTCGCAAAGTGGGCTTTGCAGTGGCGCGCTTCAGCCTGGAGGGCAATGCCATGACGGCGCCTAAATGGCTGGCGAATGCAGCGGCCATGCTGTATGTGACCAAGGGCAAGGGGCGTGTGGAGATCGCCTACCCCGACGGCAAGCAGGCCCTGCGGCATGACGTGAAGGAGGGTGACTTTGTGGTCGTGCCTGCCAGCTTCCCACACGCTGCTGTGAGTGGATAGGTTCGCCGCTTACTGGTAACTTTCCTTCTCCTACAGTACTGAATCTTGTTCTGATTCCCCACCCCTTAACTCCTCTTGTGCCCATGTGCAGCTGGCCTATGGCGAGGGCCTAGAGGCTATCGCTATGATTCCCAAGAGTCGCCCGCAGCCAGGGTTTCTGGCGGGGGCAAACTCGGTGTTCCGCATGCTGCCCCCCGCCGTGCAGCGCGCTGCTTTCAACGCCGATGAGAAGCTGCTGGAGAAGCTGCGGGCTACCAGGCAGAGCGAGTTTGGCATCCTGCCTCCCAGGAAGAGCAAGGGAGAGACGGAGGAGGAAGGAGAGGAGATGCCCATGCTCATCGAGCAGGTGGTGGGCTTCTGAATGGCTTTGCTGCGCTGTGTTGTGTGGGTATGATGGGGTTTTACGGTAGTACCATTGCAATGTACATAGTGTGAGGTCTAGTTGGTGTGTAAGTGCTTTTATGAAACGTGAACTGAGATGTGTTTCTCGTTTCTTTGTTCTCAGGAAATTGGATTTGCCAAACAACACTGAGTTGGAAGTACAAGATGTAACATTTTTGCTGCAAGCGTGTTACCATGTGAAAGAAGATAGATTACGATGAAGTGAACTTTGATGCCGAACGAGTCGTGCCTTTTCCGCAGAGTGAGCGAGGTTACACGAATTTCCTGTCGGCAGCGTCGTGAATCCAAAATTCGTTCAGAAAAGAACGCCCTGATAGGCTTCGTACCCATCTGCATTTCGCCGAGATTCGTTTGTGCGAATTCAGGTTTCGTGATGCTGCAATAACCGTTCTGCCCGAGGCACACCAATGGACACGACCCTGCACCACAACCAGCTTGCGGTGTTTTCTAGGTTCCCTGCTGATCAGTTGCCCGTGGAACTATCTAGCGACAAAGCGACACGTACACAACTCCGACCAGTCAGCAGCCTAACCGTCCGTAGTCCTTGAAAGCAGTTGTTCAGTAGGGCAACCAACATGTCGTTCGCGACTCGACTGCTGCATGTCGTTAGACTCGCAGACCGCCGGTTAACTGTCCCCCATGCTCGACCGTGGGGCTGGGGTGTCAGAGGAGCTGGAGCGTGGCTGACTCCGATCAGGCGAATTGTATGCAGTCGTTTGGTTTAACCGTCGATCGATCCATTCAGAGCAACGTTGCTGCCGCGCGGGTTTCCACGCCCGTGTTGCTGTCGACTCCCATGGTTGTTGCAACTCGAGCCGCGGATCGAAATTTATGCATCCCGACAGCACATCCGTCCGCGAGTTCTGAGCCTCGCGGCAGAGCCGTTGGAGCGCCGATTCGCAGGGCGGCTTGGCGCGCGTGTTCCGCGTGTCCGCGAGATATGGAGCGTCGCAGATCTGGAGCCTCGCAGGGCAGCTGGAGCTCTCCCTGCCGACCATTGGCATGTCGCCTTCCGTGTCTCACGGCCGCTTGCAATGCGCAGCAGCGGCCGCTCAAAGCGGATGTTCTCAGCGGGAATGCCAAGCGGGCGCGAGGAGAGGAACATTTTAACAGTGGCGATGTGAGAGGAGAGGAACAGGGTGGCAGTGGCGATGTGAGAGGAACGACTACTGTAGGCAGCATGGCAATCGACAGTGACCTTTGCCGTGCCGTCCTGACTGACCGCTCACCTCCTCCATTGCCCCTGCAGTGATGGCTCCTCAGCTCCAACACCAGCAGCTGCAGCAGGAAGGGCGATTCCTCCTCTATGCCAGAGGAGAGAAACCCTCCCTTAGCACCATCCCGTGCACCGCATCTCGCGGTCTATCCCCTCCCATAAAGCAGCCATGATGGGCCGTCATGAAGTCATCAGCTCGCTCAGTGCTCCCTCTACTCTTTTCACTAAGTTATTCACTCGCCTCACCAAACCTCTCGCGCTTCTCACTTCTCTCCTGTAATCTCCGCGCCTCTCCTCATGGCGACGGCAGGGATGCGCGTGCTGGTGCTGGCAGCGCTGGCGGTGGGGCTGCTGGCGGCGGCGGTGAGTGAAGCGCGGGACGCCATGAAGGTGGCCAGAGGCCTCGTCCCAACGGACGGCGCCGCGCCTGGCGGGGCAATTGCTGGCGGCTGAGACCTTTGCTCACCACGACCCTCTGCCGGGTTACCTTGACCACATCCCCCGCCGCCAGGCCCTCGCCACCAGTACGCAACGCTACTGCCTCCTCTCGCTCTCTTCGTGCTTCTTCCCCCTGCTATTCCTGCTCTCCTTGCATCTCATTTCTCTGCTCTCCTTGCATCTCATTCCTCTGCACCCCTAGCCTCCTCGGCTCCCCTTGCATCTCAGACCTCTGCCCCCATTGCCTCCTCTGTTGTGCGCTGAAGTGTATGCATGCATGGCGGTGACAATCTGGATTTTTTTTTGTTGTGCTTCCCTTGTTGGTGGGCGCACGACAGTGAGGATCTGCACAGCCCACCCCGACTCACCTCTTCCCCTTCCCCCTTCCCCCTTCCCCTCTGCCCTCTCTTCCCTCCCAGCGTGTGGGCGCACGACGGTGACGATCCGGTCGCAGTACCTGGGGCCGTACGACCTGCACAACGACATCTACAACATGACCTTCTACAACGGCTGCGCCTACAACGTCACCAGCCCGCTGCGCGTGTACCAGTGCTTTAACTTCGGCAACGTGTGGGAGGGCAGCCTCGACAACCCCGCGCCCAACCCCACGCAGTACCAGACAGGCGAAATCTTCGTGCAGGTTGCGACGGGGTCCTGTGAGATGCAGCTGAACCGTGGTGCTAGCGGCACTCTGCAGATGCTCCCTGGGGAGACGGTGAACATTGTGTATGCGTACACGTGGGACTTCCGGCCCTGCGTGCAGGAGCTGTGCTTCGGCAACGGCAACAGCTACTCCATGACAAACTCCGCCACTGAGTGCCAGCCTGCGGCCGTCATTTAGAATCGCCATATCTCTGGAGTCTTCGTACATACCTATCAGTAGTTCATGTACTTCTGAAGTGAGTGTGGCGTATGACATGGAAGTGGAAGAGTACATTCTGGGGAAGGGAGGGTTAATAATGCATGAATACTGTAGCATCATGATTCATGTACCGTTATTAATGGGCATATTGTTGAAATTTAAGCTTCAGCACTTGATTATGAACAGTTAACGAAGAATATCTATGTTCACAAAACATGTACGGTATCATCAATGTTTCTCCAACTCAGTCCTCATCTGTGCAGCTTTCAAGTGAAGTGAGGCGAGGCGAAGCTGAGGTAGGTGACACTTTCGTCTCGCGCAGTTTTGAAATTTCACTGCTATTTGCGATTTTTCTATAAGGCGAGGCCAGGAGGCGAAAGTGTCACCACAACTTGCGTAAGTCTCCCTAGGGTAACTAGGCGTCACAACAGCAATACAGCTGAATGTTGCAAAAAGTTAGTACCGTAAATATCATAAATACGGTAGCATCACAGCTGTAGTGATGTGTGATTTTACGCCATGTGTAGATTTGCTTTGTTGACAGCATTAATTACCACCACACGATTGCCTGACCCAAAACAGTGGAATCAATTGCACATTATTTACGATTGGATCAATCACACTACCGCTACAGTAGTGAACCTGCACCACATAAATTGCACTGTAAGAATACAAAGAAACACTTTCAGCAGTGTAGACATTTTCAGAACTTGCTCAGATCAATGCCGGCCTCCTTGGCCATCTTATCAAGCCCCTTCCACTCGAGTGTCTTGATCGCCTTCGTGCTGAGCTTGAGGCGCACGTACCGCTGCCCCTCCTCCCACCACACACGCTTGTACTGCAGGTTTGGCTGCTGCACCTTCTTGGTGCGGTGGTTTGAGAATGAGACTGAGTAGCCGTTGTTGCGCCTCTTGCCCGTCAGATCGCACACCCTCTCTGAGGAGTTAAGGCGGCAGGGGAGCGGGGAAAGGAAGGTGGGAAGAGAGAGAGAGAGAGTGAGGCAGAGGGAGCGACAAAGATGGTTGAAAAGGAGACAGCGTAGCCGTTGTTGTGCCTCTTGCTCGCCAGGTGCACACTCGCTCCGAGGGGGGTGAGCAGCGAAATGGCAGGGAAGGAAGGAAGCAAGGGGATGGAGAGAGTGCGGAGGTGAGCCGGGGTAGGGGAAGGCGCGGGGAACGGTTGAAGTGGAGGCAAAGGGGAGAAGGACGAGGGAGAGAGGGGCGGTTGGAGTGAAGGCGAAGGGGAGAAGGACGAGGGAGAGAGGGGCGGTTGGAGTGCGAAGTCGGCATTGCTTCGCCTCCTGCATGTCAGATTGCACACTCTAGTTGTGAGACCGGGGGAAGAGGGAGGGAGGGGGATGGGAGAGGGGAAGGGTGGAAGGTCGGGGCTCATAAGGGAGGAGAAGAGAGCGAGGAGGATTTGAAAGAGGCGAGAAGGAAGGAAAAGTGTGGATAAAGAAAGGGTTGTGGCGGGGCAGAGGGGGCGAGAGAGAGAGGTGGGAATGTAAACTGGGGAGAGGGGGGGTGCGCGGAGGAGGGGGGGGAAGGGGGGAGGAAGGGGGTGGATGGGGGAGTCAAGGGAAGGCCGGATGAACAAAAGAGGAAATGAGGGGAGGTGGTACCATGGTAAACACGGAAGAGGAGAGAAATGGTGGGAAACGGGGAGGGATGGGGACAGGGCGGGCAACGCGGAAAATGGCGGAGAAATGAGGCCAGCACAAGTCGGTCAGGCGGCTGCTGTCACGCCAACTGCCTCCTGAACTCACCCCTTCCAATTCCTCATCCCCTCTCGGTCATATCCTCACCCTCTAATCTCCTCACACTCCCTCATCTCCTCACACTCCCTCATCTCCTCCCACTCCCTCACCTCCCCCCACTCCCCTTAGCCTCCCTTTCCTGAATTTCATCCGCCGCCTCCTGCCCTGCCCTTCCTCCCTCTCCTGTCCCCCAACTCTCCTCCTCGCCTCCTCCCACTTGCTCCTTCTCCTTTCATTGCCCACTCATTCTCCCCCCTTCTTACCCACGCGCTCTCGCTCCTCACTGCCATTCTCCCCCCTTCTTACCCACGCGCTCTCGCTCCTCACTGCCATTCTCCCCCCTTCTTACCCACGCGCTCTCGCTCCTCACTGCCATTCTCCCCCCTTCTTACCCACGCGCTCTCGCTCCTCACTGCCATTCTCCCCCCTTCTTACCCACGCGCTCTCGCTCCTCACTGCCATTCTCCCCCCTTCTTACCCACGCGCTCTCGCTCCTCACTGCCATTCTCCCCCCTTCTTACCCACGCGCTCTCGCTCCTCACTGCCATTCTCCCCCCTTCTTACCCACGCGCTCTCGCTCCTCACTGCCATTCTCCCCCCTTCTTACCCACGCGCTCTCGCTCCTCACTGCCATTCTCCCCCCTTCTTACCCACGCGCTCTCGCTCCTCACTGCCATTCTCCCCCCTTCTTACCCACGCGCTCTCGCTCCTCACTGCCATTCTCCCCCCTTCTTACCCACGCGCTCTCGCTCCTCACTGCCATTCTCCCCCCTTCTTACCCACGCGCTCTCGCTCCTCACTGCCATTCTCCCCCCTTCTTACCCACGCGCTCTCGCTCCTCACTGCCATTCTCCCCCCTTCTTACCCACGCGCTCTCGCTCCTCACTGCCATTCTCCCCCCTTCTTACCCACGCGCTCTCGCTCCTCACTGCCATTCTCCCCCCTTCTTACCCACGCGCTCTCGCTCCTCACTGCCATTCTCCCCCCTTCTTACCCACGCGCTCTCGCTCCTCACTGCCATTCTCCCCCCTTCTTACCCACGCGCTCTCGCTCCTCACTGCCATTCTCCCCCCTTCTTACCCACGCGCTCTCGCTCCTCACTGCCATTCTCCCCCCTTCTTACCCACGCGCTCTCGCTCCTCACTGCCATTCTCCCCCCTTCTTACCCACGCGCTCTCGCTCCTCACTGCCATTCTCCCCCCTTCTTACCCACGCGCTCTCGCTCCTCACTGCCATTCTCCCCCCTTCTTACCCACGCGCTCTCGCTCCTCACTGCCATTCTCCCCCCTTCTTACCCACGCGCTCTCGCTCCTCACTGCCATTCTCCCCCCTTCTTACCCACGCGCTCTCGCTCCTCACTGCCATTCTCCCCCCTTCTTACCCACGCGCTCTCGCTCCTCACTGCCATTCTCCCCCCTTCTTACCCACGCGCTCTCGCTCCTCACTGCCATTCTCCAGGCCTCTCACATAACCCCCTCACAGCTATTCCTCTGCATCCTGCTCTCCTCTCAGTCTGTTACCCACCTCTCGTCTGCTCCACCCCCCCTCTGTTGTCACCTACCCCCGGTCTGTGGTTATCCCCCTCGCTACTATTACCAACCACGCTGCTTCTGTTCGTCCGTCTCCTCTGCTCCTCAACTGTTCCTCCTTGACCAAGTTTTAGTGACGCACGCCTTTCAGAAAAGATTCTGACGCCTTTCACAAACACCTTCTCCTAGCAACCCGTCTGCCTCCACGAATCTCGTAAAGACATAGTGGCACATGTAGCAGGATGTTTCTAAAAGAGGCAGGGTCGGATACAATGAAACGGAGGGGAAAGATTATTATTTTCCATCAAAACGGATGTGGCTTGCACGTGCGCTTTCTCAACGACGAGTTGCTAGGACGAGCTGCAGCCGTCGGTATAGAATGTCGAAAACAAATGGCAGCAGGTTAGGTTGGGACCAAATGCCGTCCATTGTCGACTCGAGCAAAGAATGTAGTGTATCATCGCCTCGTAATTACTTTCGAGTTACTAAAACACCTGTTTACGAGGTGGAAACCGGCTGAAGAACCAGGCAGCGAGAACTATCTGCTAAACCCGAGAGTAAACCCCCCCCTGGTTCTCCTCAACCCAGGACTGGAAACGCGACTTACTTGCGACTGGCGTGACGACGCGGCTAACAGCAGGTTGTGCGGACGAGCGAGAAATCGACATATTCGCGAGGCCTTGGGAAAGTCCCGCAAGCTCGCTCTGGGCGGAGCTGAGGCGCGCCTGGGTTTTCCCTGCGAGCGGCGCTGCCGCGAGGCGAAGGGACGCGGAGGACGCAAGAGCCGCCATCGGAATTACAGCCTCTCGTGGCCTAACGTGGCAGATTAACTACCGTTGTGCGGCTGAACGAGACTGAAAAGGGGAGGCACTCAAATGAAAGAGGTACCGAAATAAAGTGCGTCTTACAGGAATCCACGGGTGCAGTTGGAATTTTTGAAGTTACTTGGGCTTTCACGTGGTTCGTCGGAGTTGTCGGACGGGGGAAGAGGCGGGGGGAGCTGAAAGCACGGGAGATAGGTTTGGGAAATTCGGTGTTCGCGGGTCATGGGAAATAATAGCGGGATAAGGCGGTGTGAGCATCGGTGAGGAGGGGTTCATCAGTCAAGGGAACGTCAGTGCGGAAGCAGAGGGTGCGAACGAAGTTGCGCAGGTGACTTGTGGTTTGGCGACAAGCCGGGGGGAAGGCGGTTGTGGCGCGAAATGCGGTGACGTGGAAGTGACCGTGATGTGGCGGATTTTTGAACGAGTACAGCTCGAGGCCTATCATCCGGAATTCAAACAAATCCCTGAGAAGGCTTCAATATTGTACCAGTACATGGTAAGGTGAGAAACATAATTTACATCCTAGTGATAGAGCTATGTTGAAACTAGGACGTCTGCTTGAGGAGCCTTGGCAGATGCCTCTTTCTCCAACCGCTCAACTCGGTCAGCCTCAACGCACAAGTCTTGAAAGATTGCTCTCATGCTAGTTGACATGATGCCATAAACATAGGGCACTGCAAGAATCAGGAAGGACATAATCTATTTTGAATGCAAACAGAAACTGATACTGATTGCAGAATGCACATGCACATGCGAGAATTGTACTTTGTGCAATGCAACATGAACGAACACTCACAAAGTGGTCGAGGGGGGACCATTGCAGGCTGAGACAGCTGCCACATCTCGATCAGAGATCCGCTTGGAGAAATACCACTTGCTGCTCCTTCAGCAGCCCCAGGAGGTGCTTCTGCTTCAGCTGCAGTGGCAGCTGCGACTGGAAGTGCTGCAGCCAGCGATTTAAAGAAGCTGGCCTTCAGGGCTACCATGGAAGGCGGGGTGGATGGAGATGCAAGGGGCAACGGCTTCGGAGGGCTCAGGTCGTGAATAGTCCAGCCTCCTTTGAAAGCCTTCATGAAGCCAGGCTCAGCCCTGATGAGAAAGGAAAGGAAAATACGAGATGTGATTGGATGTAGGGGGGCAGCATGATGTGAGAAGAGACTACAGGGATGTTAGGGTGGCATAGGGAGAAGAGAGAACAAAATGAGAGTGAGAAAAAAAAGGGTGGAGCGATTCGTACAGCTTGAAGTTGACTGATCTGGCTGCGTCGTCCCGCTGGCAGATGAGTGTGGTGGCGAATGTGCCGGAGAGAAACAGGAACCGCCACTTAATGTGCTGTGTGACTCTGAAGGTGCCGGGCTCTTCCAATGGGTCCACGTCACAGTGGGCGATGTTCTTATATACACGTGGAGCATCCTCGAAGTTTCTGAGAAGGTTGTAGATGAGGGCAGGGGAGTAGCGCGTGCGCATGGAGCCTAGGTTCTCAAACTCCTCGGGATTGTCGGGCTGCGCCAGGGAGCGGGAGTAGGGACGTAACAAGGGAGGGAGGGGAAAATTCGTGAATGGAGATTCTCCGTAGGAAGGACAGCAAAATCTTTCATGAAAGTGACAAAATTAAGTTGCCTGCATCTGGCCATGAACGACAACTTCCCACATTTATCCAATGCCAGTCAAATAAACCCTTTATTTGCATCAGTTACTCTATCCCGCAACAATTCCCACGCATGAATCACCATTTGCCTGACTGAGATGCTAATGGGTGCGAGCAGGCCTGGGGTCTTCGCCACCTCCAGCTCGTCCTTCTCCTCCTGCGTTAACGGAGTCACACTGAAACGGGTCCAATGGCGCCAGGGGGAAGGGGAGCGAGGGGCCGCGAATAGATCACGAGGAGGACAGAAAATGCGGTAGTACGTCAGAGAAGAACGATTGGCGCTCTCCACTTCGGCGGGGAAACGCATACGGTTAGCCGCAACAGTAGAAACAGCTGCGCGTACCGAGTGGCCCATTTTGGTTTGTATTGCGAATGATGGTGATGGACATGACCGTGTACATGACTCTGGCCGTGACCATGGGCACTAGTATGACCACCACGTTCCTTCGCCGCCGTGAATCCTCTCGAGCTCGCAATTCCTCCCTTTGCCGCTGCTGCTGCAGTCGGGGAGCTCGACGGACTGCCATTGGGTGAATTTTCGTGACGACCCCGCGCGGGAGCTCGCCTGGAGCGACGGTTGCTGTCAAACTCGCGAATCGTCGCAGCCTTCAGCATTGTCGCGCGATTGGGCTAATGTCGCCGAAACAGCCGGGAAGGCCTTTCAGGTTTCACATTCAAGCGAGTGACTGACACTGTATGGGCTGCGTGCTCGCTGCAAAACTCCCGTACTTCCTGCCAACCTGGCTATCGCTACGCTCGAAGGGGTGGAAAATGGATTTGGAAGGGAATGTACCATGCTGCCGACCAGGCAGAGCTGAGACGGCTGCGAGTGATCCTCTAATGGGTGAGCTGTGTGGTCTAAAAGAACGAGAGAGATTGGAAGAAAATGTTCTTTTACCGAACAGGTGGATCAGGCTTTTGTGTGACAAATTGGAGGTGTACTAGCTAGCCGTGTACAGTATCTGCTTGGCTTATACGTACAACTCACACAAATATAACAATAGCCAGCTCCCCCCTTCACTTACGGTAGCTTGCCTGTTCCTGGTTGTCTTGCCATTTGCTGCGTTGGGGGGATTTGATGGGCGAACACCATTCCGGCATATTCCAGCTGGAGACTCCCATGCTCGCGATTACAACCAAGCCTTCTGCATGATCGCCAACAGCAGTGGGGCGTCGAACATGCACGGCAGCCGTGGTAGAGTTTTTCCTTAGATCTTCGCGTTGCCGAATGGACACATGTGCTTCTGCACTGGCGTCTGAGCTCACCCGAAAGCCCGTGTGGTGAACGGGTTCATTCTCGATTTGCAAACTGGCCTTAGCTGCGAAGAGAGCGATACCAGACGTTAGGTCTGGCATCCGACGCGGGAAGATGAGGCCACTCGGCAGCATCTCAAAAGCAGAGGCATTCGTTTTATTGGTTGCTGGTTAATTCCGTGAGCCTGAACACTGCACGGCGTGCGCCCAGTCGCAATTTGTCACCTCCAGTGGTCGATACACGATCTTCTGACTGAGGGGCGTTGGTGAACTCGCGACCATGGCAGAACGCGTGAAACAGGAGCCACGCCCGGCGGCCAAGAAGGCAGAGGAACAGATTAAGTACGGTGCCTTCATTTTGTTTGTCTTTTGTTTGTTATGTTTTTTCTCTCTCCCCTCCTCGGATTGTCTTCTGTTTGAAAGATTTGCGTACAATATTCACGTTCATCAACTGCCACTCGTAGTACATATCTGACTTAATCCCTGGTCCTGCTGTTTCATATCTCTGGTGCAATGATGGCAGGTTGGACATGGGGTTTGAGACAGGGGAGAGACTGATCCAGCCAGGAGGGCAGGAATCTGGGGAACGAGCTGGAGGGAAGTTCGCTCCTGGGCTGGATACGAGGGAGGAAGGGCAGAGCGAGACCCCTAAGAAGCATGAAACGGAATAATAAATTTCCGTTCACATAGTGGAGTCAGGAGAAATGCGCTATAGCACTTCCAGCGGTGTCTGCAGGGAATGCTGGAGAAACAAGCTGTAGGGTGATTCAGGAATTCGGACTGGTGTTGGGCTGTTATGAAGCCATGATGGAGCTCACGCGCCTTTATTTCTTGAACTAATACTTGGTTGTACAGATTGAGCTTGTATTTTCTTACCGCAAGACTTGGCCTCTGTACTGGAGCCGCTATAATCGGTTTGCGGGCTTCGGGAATATCCACGTTCTCCTCTCCCATTGGCGTTTGTGATCCGTGAACCATCCACTGTCAAACGAATCCAGGTCGTGTTTCGCGAACAATCTGTGTCGGCCTGTACCCTCTAGGCAGGGACACTCACACGGGACATTGGATGACGCAATCTCCTCGTTTAGGCCATTTGTTTCATGTCATTAGGCTCACAAACATCTCCTTTACCGCCTTGTGTGTCTTCACATAAGTTTCTGCCATCTCTAGATCTAGGCTCACATTCTCAAGCTCGAAACGCCCACGAACATTGCTTGATTGCTTGAACGAAACTCGTCAGGTGGAGCACTAACTACCGTACATTCGGGGCCAGACATTTGGGTGTAGATTACCTTGATCCCGTCGCTAGCCTACTTGTGCTTCAAGTCAGTGCTTACAGTTAAATTGCACCCACATGGCCGTCTCTATGTCTCTCACCCAACTTCCCCTCCACCAATCAGCTGCATCCCTCACTTATTCAAGATGTCATTCTTCACTAACCGTACCTAACCCCGCCACAAATGCCGGTCTTCGGTTCCGACCAACCAGGCATGCAGGCATCCGAGCCTCCGCCGAGCCTGAACCATCCCAGTCCTCCGACTCTTCATCCACGTCAGCAGTGAAGGAGCCAGCAGCCGGCAAGGCAGCGGCCGGCAAGGGGTTCGGGAAGGCGCCGCAGCAGCCGGCAGTGGTTCGGCGACCGGCGCCGTCCCAGCCGCTACTGTCGACTCGGCCGGTGGGCGAGGAGGAGAAAAAGGCTGCGGAGATTGAAACGGCCGTGGTGGCTTCCCTAGGGTTCGTATTCCTCCTCATCATCCTCGAAGGACTGTTTCTCGCTGCTGCAGGTGCGTACAATGCGGTGGAATGCGTTATGGGGCGGCTCAGAACTCGCCGCTGCTGGTGAGTGCAGAGGGGGGAATGCGGAAAGGTTGGCGGGGTAGGAGGGGCGACTGGAAGAAAGTGGACGGAAGGGGATGTGCGGAAGGGGATGTGCGGAGAGAGGGGATGTGCGGAGAGAGGGGATGTGAGAGGGGGACTGGGTGGATGGCTTGGTTGGTCTGATCCACAGGGGCCCCTGTAGAATCGTTTCTTGAGGCGCCTCACAGATGCACTCTCAAAGGGGCATGGCGGTAAGAAGCGGTGGTGGTAGGAAGCGGTGAGAAGCGGTGGAAAAATGCTAAGATCTGTCAGAGAAGATGGCCATGAGTAGGATGTACTTCTGCGTTCATGCCACCTGGTCTCCATGCTTCTGATTCGCTCTGCTCCTTTCTCCTCCCCTCTCGTCCCCTCTCTTCCCCTATCCTCCCCTCTCCTCCCCTATCCTCCCCTATCCTCCCCTATCCTCCCTATCCTCCCCTCCCCTCCCCTCTCCTCCCCTCTCCTCCCTCTCCTTCTCCTCCCTCTCCTCCCCTCTCCCTCCCTCCCTCCCTCTCCTCCCCTCCCCTCCCTCTCCCCCCTCCCCTCCCTCTCCTCCCCTCCCCTCCCTCTCCTCCCCTCCCCTCCCTCTCCTCCCCTCCCCTCCCTCTCCTCCCCTCCCCTCCCTCTCCTCCCCTCCCCTCCCTCTCCTCCCCTCCCCTCCCTCTCCTCCCCTCCCCTCCCTCTCCTCCCCTCCCCTCCCTCTCCTCCTGTCACACCCCTTGCCTCAAGCCCCACCTGTTTTCTCTCCATCACATCTCACCATCTCCAATCAATCCTCTACCCTCTCAGCCCCCCACTCCTTTCTGAACTTCCGGTGGATGTGGTGCTCTCGACTGTGTTGACTTTTGAGTCGACTCAAAAGTCAACTTAGCCCCCCACTCCTTTCTGAACTTCCGGTGGATCTGGTGCTCTCGACTTTCTCTCTCGTTTTGAGGCGCCTCAAAACTAGTCCTCTACTCTCTCTCAGCCCTCCACTCCTTTCTGAACTTCCAGTGGATGTGGTGCTCTCGACTGTCTCTCTCCATACCGTCTCACCATCCGAAATGCTTTCTTCCTCTCCCCCTTATCCCCCTCCCTCTCGTCCCCCACCCCTTCGCCCTCGTCCCTCACCCATCTCTCTCTTTTCAACCCCCTCCCCTTCTCAACCCCCTCCCCTTCTCTCCCTCCTCCACCCCCTCCCCTTCTCTGCTAATTTCCCTTCCCAGGCTTCCTATCGGAGGAGCTGGATCAGGTGGCAGTGGACCTGGTCTATCTCGCCTTATATTCGTCGAGCCTCAAGTCCTCTTTTATCCCTTTCCACCCCTCCACTGCCCTCGTCCCTCCCAGGCTTCCTATCGGAGGAGCTGGATCAGATGGCAATGGACCTGGTCTACCCGGCCTTCTCCCCCACGGTGGCCGTTTTCCTCCTGGGAGCCACTGCCTATGGTGCCTTCAAGGTCATCGGCATCGGCGGCAAGAAGCAGTAGATAGGTCAAGCACGCTTGACTTGAAAGTTGACAGGCTGTGGCATCAAAAGTCCCTTCTCCCCCACGGTGGCCGTTTTCCTCCTGGGAGCCACTGCCTATGGTGCCTTCAAGGTCATTGGCATCGGTGGCAAGAAGCAATGAAGCGGGATTGACTTTCAACAGGGTGTGCCGCAAAATAAACTCGGTAGCTGCTTTTATTGAAAAGCACGGGGTACTTAAAGCCCAACGTGCCAGTTGCAGATTGTGAGCAATGTCGGGTACACTGTTGCGGAAAGTGCTAGATAGATGGAATAGCTCAAGCTTCTGAAAATAACATAAAACAATAACATGTTCTGCATAGTATATCCTCAACATGGCATCAGATAGGGTACCAGTATGAAACATTGATGTGTCGTGATGTGATGCATGCACAACTGCATGCTCCCACCACACACCAGCCTTCAGCAATCTCATCCTATCGTACCATCCTGCCACCACTCATCACCACCAGACCTTACACACATCCATCTGCAACACCCACCTCTCTTACTGCTTCTCATCCCACCTCTCTCCTCCCCTCCCTCCTCTACTCCTGCTTCCTCCCCATCTGCGAAGCAGGGCCCTGCTGCCTGCCCCACCTCCATGATCCTCCTCGAATTCTCCTTTTGAGGCGCCTCAAAAGCCTGCCCCACCTCCATGATCCTCCTCGAATTCTCCAAGCACTGCTTGAACCCAAAGTGGTTGCTTGAATCAGCCCGACCATACACCTCAAGCCACAGTGGGGGCAACGCTAGTCAGCCATACACTCACTCTACCCGCCTCATCCCCTCTTCCCCCCCCCTCCTCTACTTCAGCTTCTACTCTTGCCCTATCACATCCCACCCCTCACTTCCCTCACTCCCTCCTCTACTTCTGCTTCTTCCCCTGCCGCCTGCCCACCTCCATGAGCCTCCGCGAGTTCTCCAGGCACTGTTTGAACCCAAAGTGACACAAGTGCACCCATCTCCCTCCCTGCCTCTCCTTTACTTCTTCTTCCCCTGCCGCCTCCCCACCTCCATGAGCCTCCGCGAGTTCTCCAGGCACTGTTTGAACCCAAAGTGCGGGAAAGCATCAAACCACGTGTCCATCCACTCCCTCACATCCCACCCTTCCCCGCTACTCGCGCCGCCCTTCTTATGCACCCATCCCGACCCATCGTGACCCTCACTCCACACCTTGTTCCACCGGGGGGCATCGTCCCCTCCCGACCCCTGCCACCAGGTCTCCCCCTGCCGGTACCCTGTCTTGTCTCGGTTGAATTTCTCGTCCCACTTGTCGCCCCACTTGGCCCACAGCTGGTTGCCGTAACCGTCGTGGCCCTCAAAGCGCTCTGCCCACTTGTCACACCATTTCGAGGCGGCACCTCTCCCATCATACTCCTCCCCCCACCTGCATCAAGGGAAGGGATGGAGAGGAGGAGGGAAGCGAAAAGAGAGAAAAAAAAAAGGGAGACTGCCAAATGAGGGAAGGCAAGGTAGCTGCCTGCCACCAGGTCTCCCCCTGCCGGTACCCGGTCTTATCTTGGTTGATTTTTTCGTCCCACTTGTCGCCCCACTTGGCCCACAGCTGGTTGCCGTAACCATCATGGCCTTCAAACCGCTCTGCCCACTAGTCACACCACTTAAAACGCCGCTCCCCTGCCGTCATACTCCTCCCCCCACCTGGTGCAAGGGAGGGATGAAGAGGGGAGGGAGGGGAGTAAAAAGGGAGGGAAATAGGGAGACCACCAAATTAGAGAAGGCACCTGCCAGCAACCCCACTTAGCCGCTGCTCTCCATACTCATCTCTCCATGATGCTGAAGGGTGTTTTTGAGAATTCTCAAAAACACCCTTCAGCCGCTGCTCTCCATACTCACCTCTCCTATTATCGTTCAATGTCCTTTCTTTCCCCTTTAATCCATTTACAGAACCCACCGTATGCAACCACCCCACTCCGTTTTTGAGACGCCTCAAAAGAACAACTCATTAATTTCCCCTTTAGTCTCGGTGACTCATTCAACGTACTTCCTTTCCCCTTAAATCCCTTTACCAAGCCCACCATAACCGCCTCTCTGCCTTTCCTGACCCGTTCGCTTGTCTTCCCACTCCTCTTTCATATCAATCACCTTTCACGCTATGCGTGTGTGTGTGTGCGTGCACAGCACACCATGCAGCCGACTTTTGAGGCGCCTCAAAACTCTTTCATACCAACCACCTTTCATGCCATGCGTGTGCGTGCACACCACACCATGCAGCCGTGTGTACCACTTCACCACCAAATTCCTGCTTAACTACTCACTCTTGTGTCCTCCCCACTCACCTCTCACCCCACTCACGTTTCATGCCGTGCATGTGTATGTCCACCATGCAGCGGCGCATGCATACATGTCAATCTTGCTCCGATTGTGAGCAACTAAAATGCCACTCCACTGCTGTTCAATTGCAGCCGCCTCACCGCTCACCCGCCTCACCGCTCACCCGCCTCACCGCTCACCCGCCTCACCGCTCACCCCACTCACCGCTCATGCCACGTGTGCGCGTGGCCATCATGCAGCGGCGTGTACATGTCAATCTTGCTCCACTTATCAGCCCACTTCTCAGCCCGTCCCGTCGCATCATAATGCTCCCACCACTTCTCATGCCACTCGCCGCCCTCCCCATTCTGCCCCCACTTATCCGCCGTCTTCTCAATATGCATCAGCCCAGTCTTCGAATCCTGCCAAGTCGCCTCCCTCCACGTTTCCCGCCACACCGCACCATTAGCATCCCTGCCCGATTTCTCCGCCCCAAGCTCCTTAAAATCAAATTCATCGCTAGCCTCCCACCACTTCTCCTCCCACTCTACCGACCCGTCCGCGCTCACACCCCGAACCACCGTCCAATCACAAACCTCCCCGCCCTCCCGAACCTCAGTCCCGGACTCCTTCCACCACCGGGACCCGTCCGCAGCCACGGTCGCCCCGTCGGCTTCCAAGCCTGCGGTGGCAGGCTCGGCAGAGTCCGAAGCAAAGACGGCCTGGAGAGCCTCTTTGATGCCGCGCTGGGCTTCAAGAGCGGACTGCAGGGGCGGCAGGCCCACGTCAGACGCGAGGAAAGGGGACGCAGAGGCGAGATCGAGCGCTGCTGCAGAGGCAACAGACGCAGCAGCAGCAGAAGAACCAGCCGCACCAGCAGCACCAGCAGCACCGCCAGCACCGGCAGCACCACCAATGCCACCAGTGCCACCACCAGCAGTGGTAGCTGCTTCCCCAGCGCTGGCGGGTTTGGTGGGCGCGACGGCGCTTTCAAAGGGCAGCAGCAGCGCCTCCAGCAGCTGCGGTTGGGGGTCCGCGATGGTTACTGTAGCACGCTGGGCAGCTGAACGGGCAGGTTTCGCGGCAGCTGGCTGTAGCTGCGGGAGACCTGCGCCTCCTCCGCCCCCTGCGCCCCCTGTACTGCGTGCGGGGGTGGTGTCGGATGGGGGGGCCCACTCCCAGAAGCTGGGCCCCGGACTGCTGGAACCACCTGAAGAAACACCTGACGAGGCGCCTGAGGAAGGCAGCTTCGCGGAACCAGAGGAGGAGGAGGGAAAGGGAGCGGGCTTTGCTGCTGGTGCGGCGGCTGCTGTTGCTGCTACGGCTGCTGACGAGGTGGAAGAGGGGGAAGAAGAGGAAGACGCCTTTTTAGCGCGGCTAGGAATGGCTTTCCACAGACCCCCTCCCCCTCCTGCTGCTGCCCCTCCCCCTCCTGCTGCTGCTGCACCTGCTTTTGCACCTGCAGCAGCACCACCCACTGGTTCAGCAGTTGTCGCTGCTCCTCCTGCCGCCCCCTTTCCTTCTCCGCCCTTCTTCCCGCCCTTCTCCTTCACTACAGACAAGGACTTGCCGCCCCAGACGCTGCTCGCCGCCCCCTGGTCCCCCGCGCCCGCCAGCCGCCGCCCGCGCGAAGCCTGCCGGTCCTTGCGCGCGCGCTCCTCCGCCTCCACCAGTAGCGCCTGCGCCGCCGCCAGCGCCGCGGCTGCGCGGTCCACCACCGCCTTCCGCTCCGCCTCCTGCCGCACCTCTTTGGGCACCTGCGTGCGCGCGCGGGGGGACGGGCGGAGGGGCGGGCGGAAAGAGAGATAGAAGATAGCATCTTTGCATGTGCGGACAGCCCCTGACAGCCCGCGCGCAGCTGTGCGGTCAGCCCCGGACTGCCCTCCCTTACGCCGCTCGGCAAGATTCCTTGGCGGCCTGACTCGTGCGAGCGCGTGAGCGGCGGACGCGGAACGGAGGCCGGGGGTTTCCCAGTGCGGGAGAGCGGAACGGGCGGGCAAGAGGAAAGGAGAACGAGGAAGCACCTGCAAGAATCATACCGGGTACCCCGCCTTTTTTTTTTTTTTTTTTCAAGAGAAATATCTAGCGAAAGTGGATGCCGCACGTCGATATCGTTACATCTCGAGATCGCCACGCCTCGTTACAGCATACCTGGATAGCACTCGATATTGCCACACCACGGTACCTCGAGCATTTGAAGGAACTGCGCCTCGCGCTTCTTCACCACATCCGCGCTCTCCCCCGATTGCTTCCCCTGCTCCTGTCCCGCCGCTTGCGCTGCCACTGGCGCCGCGCCTTGCTCTTCCGCTCGCTTCCGCGCCTCAGCCTCGCGAACCGCCTCGCGCTCCCTCTCCTGCGCGCGCTTCCACATCCCCAGGAAAGAGTCGCTTGTGGACGTTGCCGCCCCGCCTGAGTCTCCCCCTCCGGCTCCGCCGATATCCGCTGCGCGCGTCACCGTAAACCGAGCCGCCTGACGGCTGAAATTTGAGATCTTGGTATTCAGTATATTTTTCGCATCCAGAGAATCTCGGAATCCCCAAAACGTCGTTCTGCGACGGCCGTCCGGCAGCGTGCGACGGCTCTGAACGACTGCGATCGCTGAAGACGCTGAGTGCGAACATTGCGACGAAACAGGGTGCAGGCGAGCGGGAACAATGACGTCAGTGCCGCAAGCCGCAGCGAGAGATGACGCCATAGTGGCGAAATGCGTTCCGAAAGCGCAGCTCTATCCTCTCGGGCGAAGCCGCGCGCAGCCCCGTTTACTCTATCCCAAGTCGAAGACCGACGAAGGGCAACGCCGCGCTGTGCGCGCAGCAGAAAAGGCTACCAGAGTCGTGGATTAGACCGTCGATGCGGGAAACGCAGAGCAGTGACGAAAATGATAGATCGAATTGGATCTGGCGGGTTGTATGCCAGCCAGGCAACCAAACATGTTCAGGAAGGCAGGAATAGCTATGACGGGGGCATTAAACCATTACCAACCGAACCAAAACTAGCCAAACTGATCACAACCATTCTAGCTCATTCGAGCTCATTCCAGTCCCTTCTATCCACACCACACACAGGACCCAGCTTGATTGAGAAAAAGTGCAGCGCGCCCAGTGGTGGCTGTGGTGGTTGGTGCTGTGCTGGCAGATTTTTGCAGAACGACTAACTCGTCGCCCACCGACCTTTGCGACTTCAAGTTACTAATTTCGAAATCTCGCTTCTCGTCCTCCGGTGCACCACAGGGGATAATGTTTCGTCGACAAGACTCTCCGGGATTCCTGACCCTTCTTTCTCTTGCATCCGTTCGCTGAGTTACCCTGGCCGGTGTCGTTCGCATTGTACGCCCTTTTCTCATTCACACGTGGAAAGAGCACAGCCTGACGACGGTGGATGGCTGACACATGCTGCATTGGCGGCTAAAGTTGCCACGCTGTACCCGTCCAAAATGCGCGGTAGCTATTGACAACACGCCGCTGATGTGGCACGAGCCTTGACTCGGAAGGAACGAGATTTTCTTCGGCTCGATAACGTGGACTACACTTCCGTGAAGTTTTTTTTTCTTTCATTACAAGACCTTCGTATTCTATCGAAGTACCTGTTTACATCAATATTTGTCCATCATCCTTACCCGGTCAGATCCTACTTTCAAAATTCCAGACTTCTTCTCATTGGAAAAATCAGCAGCCCCCCACGTCGTTTCAGGGCCTTCACTAATTTGGGTCGCAGCGTCACCCGCAAAGCGCACTGACAAAAACTGCACTCCATTCGCACCTGGACTTTTCACAACCTCTCCATCGTCCCCTCGAGGCTTCCAATGAACGAAGTACCGATACTTGGCTGAGCGTGGAAGCTTCATGCCTTGTTTAGGATGAAACGAGAGGCGCTGAGCTGGCTGGAAAGTCCCTCCAGATGTTGACGTGTCACTTGTGGACGGAGAAAATGGATAAACCGAGAAAACACACCACCCGTCATCTGACCACGATGTAGCTTGGCATCGGCGAGGCTGCAGCAAGCTCGATACATTGAACCTGGGCAGGATCAGGGATGAGAGAGAGAGAGAGAGAGAGAGAGAGAGAGAGAGAGAGAGAGAGAGAGAGAGAGAGAGAGAGAGAGAGAGAGAGAGAGAGAGAGAGAGAGAGAGAGAGAGAGAGAGAGAGAGAGAGAGAGAGAGAGAGAGAGAGAGAGAAAATATATTTACCAATGCAGACAAACAAAGCCTACGGGACATTCGTTCCTTCCCTCCCACCCCCATACCCCACCCAGTTTCCCTCCTCTCCACTTTCTCCTCTGCGCCCCTCCTACTCTATCCCCCCCAGTCTCCTCCACTCACCGAGGTGTGAAGCGGCCAGCCAGCCTGGCAGCTCTCTCGCGAGTAATTCCACAACACGGCTCAGCCGCGCATGCAGGGGAAGCCTCAGCATTCTCAGAAGTCTGCCAGCATGCATGGTGTGCGTACCATCCCAGCATGGTGGCGTCCGAGTAGTCCTGGGGGCGTGGAGGGGAAGGATGGCGGGTGGAAGAGGGAGTGGGTGACAGTGGCAGAGTAAGGGAGAGAGGAGGATGATGGGTGGAAGTGAGCTTGAGTAAGAGCGAGAGTGATCCCAAGGCTGTGCCAGCAGGCATGGTGGTCGTACCATCCCAGCATGGTGGCGTGTGAGAAGTCATGGAAGTGTGGGGGAGGATGACGGTGGGAGGGAGTGAAAGTCAGTGTGAGTGGGAATGAGATGAGTGGGAGTGAGAGTGATCCCACAACATGGCTCAGCCGCACATGCTGGGGAGGCATCGGCACTCTCAGGGCATGCCAGCATGCATGGCGCGCGTACCACCCCAGCATGGTGGCATCAGAGCAGTCCTCGGGGCGTCGGAGAGAATGGTTGGTGGTGGTTGGGAGTGAGTGTGGTTGGGACCGAGTGCGAGTGTGTGGGAGTGTGATTTGAGAATGAGTGAGTGTGAGTGTCAGCCGGCAGCGGTGTTAGCCCACTTCCACTTAAGTCACAGGGTTGTTTGTACAGACGCGCCAAAGTAGCACCCCACTCAATTCTTCTCGAATTCTCAGTCTAGAAACGCAGAGCACCCCACCTCTGCACTGCACCTCACCCGGAATGTCCCACCTCTGCACAACTCACCGGGTTCTTGAGTCGCTCCGCAGCAGTCCCCTCCCCTCCCCCCAGCACCCCTTGTTCCACAAACACGCGCACGAATCTCAAAAAGTCCGCCAGCCCTTCGATAGACCACCCCGCTGTGTGCGAGGGTGTGTGGGGGGCTATAGTGCGGGGGAATGCAGGACTCACCCGGAATGTCCCACCTCTGCATGACTCACCGGGTTCTTGAGTCGCTCTGCAGGGGTCCCCTCCCCGCCTCCCAGCACCCCTTGTTCCACAAACACACGCGCGAATCTCAGGAAGTCAGCCAAGCCCTCTTCAGACCACCCCGCTGTGTGCGCCTCGATGGGCGTGTGTGGGGGGAATGTGGCGCGTCGGGGGGGGCGCGTGCCAGGGAAGGGCTGGGGGAGGAGCATGTGGCGCTCGTGGGGGAGGTAGAGCTGGGGGCGGGGGAAGGGATGGGGACGGAGAGGGGAAGGGAAGGGGGAAAGGGGAGGGCGGAAGGGGAGGGGGACAGAGGAAGGGGATGAGGAGGATGTGGCGCTCGTGGGGGAGGTACAGCTGGGGGAGGGGGAGGGTAATGGGGAAAGGGGAGGGAAGGGAAACGCGAACAGGTGACGGGGGGAACGAATTCAACAGAGGCGGAGTGAGTAAAAGAGGAACGGAAGACAGGGAGGGGCGTTGGGGAGGGGGGGACACAGAGGAGGCATTAAACGAAAAAGGGCTTCGTTTTTGAAATTGGGGTGCAGAAAGCTGTTGGGTGGACAAGGAAGAAACATTCAAGTGCCGAACCTGGTTGATAGCTTCGGTGGAGTTGGCAAAGAGAAGGACGTCCGGAGAGAGGTAGAGGGCGTGGGAGAGGCTGTTGCGAGTCATGAAAGCATGCAGTACAAACCAACGCACCTGTTGTGCATTGGGGAGGCGGACGGGGAGTTGGGGGGAGGACGGGGGAGGGGGGAGGAGAGAGGGAAGGAAGGAGCAGAGAAGGGACAGTTGGTGTGGTGGAGAAGGCATAGAAGTGTGCAGTGCAACTAGTGCACCTGAAGTGCAACTAGTGCACCTGAAGTGCAACTAGTGCACCTGAAGTGCAACTAGTGCACCTGAAGTGCAACTAGTGCACCTGAAGTGCAACTAGTGCACCTGAAGTGCAACTAGTGCACCTGAAGTGCAACTAGTGCACCTGAAGTGCAACTAGTGCACCTGAAGTGCAACTAGTGCACCTGAAGTGCAACTAGTGCACCTGAAGTGCAACTAGTGCACCTGAAGTGCAACTAGTGCACCTGAAGTGCAACTAGTGCACCTGAAGTGCAACTAGTGCACCTGAAGTGCAACTAGTGCACCTGAAGTGCAACTAGTGCACCTGAAGTGCAACTAGTGCACCTGAAGTGCAACTAGTGCACCTGAAGTGCAACTAGTGCACCTGAAGTGCATGGGTACGAGGAGGGGGTGGAGCAAGAAGGAGGGACATGGGCAGAGCAGGGGGGCACGGGTAGAGAGGAAGACATGTCTGACACATGAATGCGTGCCGTTTGGCATGAAACTGACCACCTGGCATGGCAACGAGTACGAGGGGGGTGGCAAGGGGGGCAGGAGGAGGGAGGGAGGAGGAGGAGGAAGGGGGGAGGAGGGAAAGCATTTGTAGGGAGAGCACGAGTGGGGAGCGCATGAGTGAGCGGGGAGCAGGAACTCACCAGGTCGGTGCGGGGAGTGCGGAATGAGGAGCGGAAGGCGGAGAAGGTTTGGTTGAAGAGGGCGTAGCACATGAATGCCACACCCAGGGCAGCAACTTTTGAGTCTTCCCAGGGTTGCGGGTGAAGGCCAACCCAATGGCGGCCACTGCTGCTGCAAGGTGCTTTTGAGAAATCTTACAATTACCCTGAAAGAAAAAGAACAACTCACGAGGTCGGTGCGAGGAGTGCCAAAGGAGGAGCGGAAGGCGGAGATGGTTTGGTTGAAGAGAGCATAACGAGTGAATGCCGCGCCCAGGCCGGCCGCTGCTGCTGCACACTCGCGCGGGCCCACCAGGTGCACTTGACTGTTGCGCTGGCGAGCTTGCTGTGCGGGCGGGAGGGGAAAATGGTTCGATTGAAGAGGGCGTAGCGCGTGAATGCCACCCCCAGGAGGGAAGAGGGGGGGTGGCAAGGGTGAATGGAGGGGGGGGTGCATGGGAGAGAGGGGGGAGAGAGGGGAGGTGTGGTAAGAGTGGGAGGGGAGATGGGGATGCGGATGGGGATTGGGGGGAATGGGGAAGGGGATGGGGGGTGAGCCCACCTGCAGCACATGATGGGGCGAGGTGCCTAGAGAATACTTACCCACACGAGGAGGGGAATAGGGGAGGGGCCGGCTGCACCCACTGCAGCACTCGGTGCAGTGCGGTACCAGACACTTGCCCATGCAAGGCTTCAATGCAATAGGGGAGGAGGGTTGAGGAGCGGGGTATGGGAGGGGATGGGGGGGGATGGCACCACCCACCTGCAGTACTCGGTGCAGTGCGGTGCCAGGAGCACACTTGCCCACGCGAGGCTTCAATACAATCACAACCACCGGCACCTGCACATCCCCCCTCTCCTCATCCACCTCCACCGCTTTAACTCCTGCTGTTGCTGCCTCTGCTGCGCCCTCTCCTGCTTCTCCCCTTGCCATTGTTGCTCCTGCTGCTGCTCCTGTAGATGTTCCTGTATCTGCTCTTCCTTCAACAGCAGCAGCAGCAGCTGAGCCGTCAGTCCGACCTGCACCAGACAGAACCTCCTCAGGACCTTTGCCATAGGTACCCCCTCCCCCACTACCAAACGCCCCACTCGCCCTCATCGAACTCCACCCACCACCACCGCCACCACCAGCACCACTAATTCCACCACCAGCAGCACCTCCCATTTGCCGGGCAGCCGGTTTCGTCTGTTGCTGCTGCTGCTGCTGCTGCTGCTGCAGCAGCAGGTCTTGTTGTTGCTGTTGTTGCTGCTGTTGCAGCTGTTGCAGCTGCTGCTGTGGCAGCTGCTGAAGTTGCTGCTGCTGCTGCGGCAGCGCAAATCCTCTCTCCTGCTGCACCAGCCCTGCCCCCCGCTGCCCCTGAGGAGCGCTCTCCTTCCGCGCCTTCAGAAACTCCCCTCGCAGCAGCATCCCATCCTCCTCATCCTCCCCTCCCCCCAAACCCCCTTCACCCATACCAACTCCCCCCGCCGCCTCCTCTCCTCCCCCTCCTGCTCCCCCTTCGTCTCCCTCCCCGTCTCCTCCCCCTGCCCCTCCCTCCCCACCTGCAGCAGCAGCAGCTGCAGCAGCCTTGGCTTTCCTAGCCGCGCTCTCTAAGGCCTCTTCAGGTGTTTCCTCAGGTTCGCCCAGGAAGTCCTCCGGGTGGGCAAGGGAGATTGCTGGCCCTGCAGCAACACCTGCTGCCAACCCCCCTGCCATCCCTGTCACTGCCCCTGCCCCGCCCCCTCCTCCTCCTCCTGCCGCTGCTCCTAATCCTGACTCTGCCACTCCAACACCACTACCCTGCCCATGCTGCTCCAGTGGCTGCAGCTGCTGCAGCCGCTGCTGCTGCTGCTGCTGCTGCTGAAACCTCTGCTGCTCGTCCTGCTGCTGCTGCCACTGCTGGTGCCGCTGCAGCCGCTGCTGCCGGTACGCCTGGTGCAGCACCTGTTGCCTCTCCCCCTCCTCCACTGAGTGCGCCCTCCCATGCTGCTGCAGCTCCGCCCTCCGAGCCTCCTCCTCATCCACCCGTCCGCCTACAGATGAACCTGCCCCGCTAACAGACAAACCTGCCCACCCAGACACGCCTTGCTGTCTTGTCTCCGCATGTTCTGTTGGGCCTGTCTCGTGCTGTCTCGCTGTCACACTCGCCCCAGTCAACCCTGCCCAAGTCGCACCTGCCCCAGTCGCGCCTGCCCCAGTCGCGCCTGCCCCAGTCGCACCTGCCCAAGTCGCACCTGCTCCCGCACGTGTCTCTGCTAGGCCCCCCTCCTTGCGCAGGGAAGCAACCATTGAAACGCCCTCTCCTCTTGATAACCCACCCCAGCCCGTTACTGCCTGCTTTGCTGTTCCCTCCCGCTGCTGCTGCTGCTGCTGCTGCCTCTGCTGCAGCTGCTGGTGTTTCTCCACTCAAGGATCCGTCCATTTCCCTTCCGGCACCCCCTACCAGCCCCACACCTCCTGCCACCCCACTTTCTCCCACCTGCCCTGCGCCTGCCACCTGTCCTTCATGTGCTACCGCCCCTCTCTCTCCTACCTGTCCCACATCTGCCGCCGCGCCTCTATCACCCACCAGCCCTGCTGCTGATGCTGCTGCTGCCCCTCTGTAACCTGCCAGGGGCACGCTGCGGCGGGCAGCCTCCTGCTCCATCAGCTGCTTGCGCTGGTCAGACTGCCCCCTCTCCACTGCCACGGACGTGCCCTCCTCCCCTGTCGCACCTCTGTCTCCTGCCCGCTGCACATGTGCTGCTGCTGCTGTTGCTGCTGCTGCCCCTCTGTAACCTGCCACTGGCAAGCTGTCTCTGGCAGCCTCCTGCTCCATCAGCTGCTTGCGCTGGTCAGACTGGCCCCTCTCCACTGCCACGGACGTGCCCTCCTCAACTTCTCCCCCCTCCTCGTCTGATCCCTCCTCTTCTGGCCCCTCTCCCCCCACTCCTCTCTCCTCCCCTCTGTGCACTACCTGTCCGCCCTCCTCAGGCTTCACACCATGCTCTGTGCTTCCCTCCCGCAACGCGTTGGTGCCACCAGCAGCACCAGCAGCATCAGCATGACCAGCCGCCTCATGAGAATCATGAGCATCAGCATCACCAGTAGTATCATGAGCATCCTCCCCAACCGCATGCCCCATGGCTCTAAGCACGGATGCTATCTCATCATGCTCACTCTCACTCTCACTCTCACTCTCACTCTCACTCTCACTCTCACTCTCACTCTCACTCCCCCCCTCCCCTTCTCGCCCCTCCTTCCCTCCTGCATCCTCACGCCCTATCTCCCTGCCAATCCCTGTCTCCCTCGCAGCCCCTGACCCTCGCCCTCGCCCCTCCTCTGTGCCCAGTGAGCGCGCCACTACCCCCTCCTCCCACTCATCGTACTTGCTCCCCCCATGCGCCCCACCACCATCTGCCCGTGCTGTTCCCCCACCCCCACCCACTACTGCCTTCCCTGTCGAGTCTGATGCCATCTTGCCGCTGTACCCACCGCCACCACCATCCCCACTACCACCACCATCCACGCCATTATCCCTCGATCCTTCCCTCACGCTCCTCTCCCTCTCAGTTTTTTCCCCTGTTCCACCCACTCGTTCTGCCCCCTCACCCCATTGCTCTGTCTCATCCGGGTCCTCCTCCTCCTCATCATCCCTTTCCTTCCCACCATCCCCCCCTACCTCACCTGACCCCTTTCCCTCGTTCCCCTCCTTCCCCCCATGGCCCCCCTTCCCCTCACCCCCATATCTCCCCCCACCCTGCGCGTCCATCTCCGCTTTAAGCAGCCCCTGTAGCAGCTCCAGTTCCCTCTGCTTCTCCTCCTCCGATTTCTCCTGCCCATTCCCTTCCTCCACGTCATCCCCCTCCGCCCCGTCCCCTGCTCCCCCCTCCGCCCCGTCCCCTGCTCCCCCCTCATGCTGCCCTTGCCCCTCCCACTGCCCTCCCCCTTCCTGCAGCCCTGCCCGCTCCCCCTGCCCTCCCCTCTCCTCCTGTCCTGCGCCCTCCTCCCGCCCTCTGCTGTCATCCCACCCTCGGTCCCTGTGGTGGGCTCCGTCCCCCTCCTCCTCCTCCTCCACCTCAACCCCACTCCCGTCTTCTGCTCCTCGCCCTGCCTCCGCCCCTGTGTCTCCTCTAATTCCACTCCCTGTATCTCCTCCCGCACCCCCCGCTACACCGCCCGTCACCTCACCTGTCGCCTGCCCTCCCACCAATCCCCCTCCCCCCAATCCTACTCCGCGCGCTCCTCCTCCCCCCACCGCCGCGGCCATTTCCCCAGCGCCACCTGCGTCGTCATAAGCTGCACGGGCGTCTGCTGTGATGCTCGTGGCATCAGTGATCCTCGCACCTGGCGGGAGGAGGTTCAGGTTCAGGCACGACAGGCACATGAGTGATAAGAGGGTCCCAGTTGGTTAGAGAGGACTGGACGGGTGTTCTGAGAAAGCATTTCAAAAATATTTTGGGGGGAGAGCATTTTGGGGGAGCGAATTTATTAGGAGGGTTCGTGGAGGATGGGATTGAGTTGGTACTCTGAAATCGCATCTTAGGGAAATTGGGGGTGCAATCACAGAGTGCAGAGCGGTTCCAAGGGTCAAACACACGGTGCAGAGTGCAGAGAACGATCAGAGGTGTTTGAGGCAAACGAGGAATGAGAGGGGATGTGCGTGAGAGATGTGAAGGGGCGTGGGGCGTGTGAAGGGCAATCATTGCGCCCACTGAAATGGGACGGGACGAGAAACACAGTGCAATTCGGACAGAAGTCGGATGAAGTGTTGACGAGAGAAAGAAACGAGGGCGAATTTAAGGAGGCAGGGGAGAGGCGCCACTCACTGATCTCCTGCTGAATAGCCTGTGTTGCTGTGGCCAAACGGCTGCTCGCCCCCCCCTGAACGGAGCAGCAACCACACAGTCATGGCCACACGCAGCACAAGGAAAACAGGAATTGAGTGGAATACAAATCATTAAGCTGTTCTTCTATTGAGTCTCACGTGATGCAAAGAGGGTAAATGCTAAAAGGCCACGCGAGTGGACTTGACCCTTGGCCCAGGCGCACCTCAGGCAGACGCTTAGTGAGGCTCTTGAGCTTGTTCACTGCCTGCGTTGACGCGGACCTCCTGGTTGACGTGAACTGTGCACAATAACGGGACAGGAGAGCACATGTACTCGTTCTAGACGCAGTTTTGAGACGTCTCAAAGTCTCATAGTGAGGCTCTTGAGCTCGTTCAGTGCCTGCGTTGACGCGGATCTCTTGGAGGATGTGAACTGAACTTTGTAAAAGGACAAGAGCACACGTACGCGTTATAAACGCATGAACGGACTTAGTGTGGGCGCGTTGAGTACATGTTTATGAAACAACCCAAAAGCCCCGTGAACGACGACCTCAAATTTATGTGTTCACGCACGGTTGACAGGTGTGTGTTGCGGACAAGCACTTGGATTCGTTGATGTGTCTCTGACATGTGTCCAGGGACAGCCTTCATGCGACCGTGTCAGGGTACGTTCATCTCGAGCACGTGTCAGGGGTACGTTCATCTCGAGCACGTGTCAGGGGTACGTTCATCTCGAGCACGTGTCAGGGGTACGTTCATCTCGAGCACGTGTCAGGGGTACATTCATCTCGAGCACGTGTCAGGGGTACGTTCATCTCGAGCACGTGTCAGGGGTACGTGCTTCTCGAGCACGTGTCAGGGGTACGTTCATCTCGAGCACGTGTCAGGGGTACACTCATCTTGAGCACGTGTCAGGGGTAAGTTCATCTCAAGCACGAGTCAGGGGTAGGTGCTTCTCGAACACGTGTCAGGACTCAGGGGTGCACGCATCTCGAGCACGTGTCAGGGGTACGTGCCTCTCGAGCAAGTGTCAGGAAAGAAGCAGCGAACGGGTCTGAGATATGAGGCGGTGCTTCTACAAGATCAATCAAAGGAGGGAGCTAAGATGCCTTGCAACCAAGGCAATCGTCTGTTAATATATTAGAGTAAGACGGATGCTTCGATTGGTAGACGGGTTGCAACGAAACGGGTCACCTATTCCTAAGCTTCATGGTACACTTGACCCGACCGTGTCGAAGCTTATACCCTCCATTACAGTTTTAAGGGGTTACATTCGGGAAGCTCAGAGCCTGATCACGCAAAATGGGAAGAGGACGACGATGCAGATCATGCTTCCAGGCTTTGGTGGCTTACAATCACATGCAGGACGAAGAAGATGAGAATGCAGAGGAGTATGGACTGGCACGCCTTGAACTTGGCCTGCTTCTTAAACGCGGCTCGAGAACCCCTCAAGCCTTTCCAATAACCCGGACCGCGATTCATCATCGACGAGTGTATGTGATATGCTAGTTAAAGATCGCCATTCTAAAGGGCGCAAAACAATGCAATTGTGACATTTAACGTCGGCATAGATAGGCTGATGTGACTATTTCGAAAGTTAAGCGATAATAAGTAATGGATCGACGGTGATGTTATTCCACGTGGACCTAAAGACCCGAAGCGGAAAGTGGCATTAGGCACTATTTTTGACACTTGATTGGGACACCCATTGGGGTTATGAAGGGAGTCCGAAAAGCTCTTGAGAATGTGGCTCAATGGGTTGTATCACGTCCTAGAGCGGTCAATAGAGAAATCAGAGAGGTTGGAGAAGGTAGCGAATAGCTACTGACAAGAAGGCACAAACGAACTTTTTGCTCCAAAACGAGAAGCACCAAGCATGAGCTATGGACGTGACATGGTTGTAGAAGTAATGGTCGAGGACAACGCTGTGCACCTTTTCCCGTACTTAACCGCTTTCAAACGCTCATCACCTTTCTGAATCTTAATACTGGAACTCCGCCGTGGCACACCCAACTGGCATAGGGATGTACCATAGGGATTGGGTGGGATTCGTGGCGGGATGGGGGGAGATCCTCCGATTCGCCAGCTGAACCTGGCACAACTAAACCGCAAGTGTACTCGATAAACGTGTATTCTTTAACGCCGCAACAAATGAGGAAGATGGAGTTGCGGTGGTAAAATCCATGGCGGTTCTGAAGCAGGAGCTGGGTGGTAACGGGCCGGCCAAGCTAGCGATGAAAGCGCTGCTAGCATCCCCGTCTCACTGGCAAAAACTTCTGAGTTTCCCTACTGCACCTCCACGCTCGGCTGGCTCTCCTCTGCGCATCCCAATCATGGAAGGAGGAAGAGTGGTTTCCATGAGGCGGATGAAGGATGGATGGAAGGGGACGACCAGCCAATCATACAAGCAGCAGAAGTGGGGTGTGCGGTGGGGGCATCACATTGATTGGAAGCGGGTTGTGATGACTCGGGACTCCTTGGCTGTTCCCAGCCGTCCACGGGATGTTCTCATCCGCATCCACGGCTTGAATCTGCAGGTGGGGGAAAGACTGGCTTTCCTCAGCAGCAAGCCCGCATGCCCATACTGCGGTGAACAGGAGACGCTGGAACACTGCCTTATCCTGTGCCCCAGGATACAAGCAGTGACCTCGGCACTTCGGCGCGCTCTACGCATGCTGAACCCCTGCCGCCCAACTGCCTCGCTGGGAGATATTCTGTTCCGGAAAACGGGTACCAGGTCAGCTTTCCCAGAGCTGACTCTCACGTCGGTGGTCCTCCACCAAATCTGGGTGGAAAGGTGCGATGCAGTATTTCGGGGGCAAAAATTCCGGACCAAACGGGTATTGTGGAAGGCGGAGGCTGCTTTCAGGCCACACGCGAAGATATACATGCAAAAAATGGGGGCATCACGGAAGAAGCGGCTCCGGAAAAATTCTGTGGAAGAGCAGAAAATGCTGAGCAAGATCAAGATGGATGGCAGGAGCTGGACATGGAGGCCTGCCTTTGCTGCGCTATGGTCCACGCGAAGGGCATGCAACATCTCGCCCTAGGCAGTTTTCACCTGGAACAGTAGATGGGCTGCTGTCCCTCACGCACGGTTACGACCGTTTGATGATATATGCTTGCTGTACCGGTGTATATTATCAATCATACAAAAAAAAAAAAACAAGAGGCGACAAAGTCGTCGTAGGGTTGCGAAGCGTATGCATATTTACGTAATATGTTTGACTTTTTTTTGCTAATTACAAAGTGTACACATAGTGTGATTTTGTGTGGAATATAAAAACAGTTTCTTGAACAAATGATCTCTGTCACAATTAAGTCTCGATCTGCGTACCTTTTGATTACTATGACTTTGCAGGACGACTAAGCCAACGAACTGCTCTGAAGACGGATTGTCGTTACTTCGTCTACAAAAACTCGCTGACCTGGGAGTAATACATCTGACAGAAATCGAACCCACGACCTTTACATCCGGGATTACAAACCAAACGACTGTACTAAATCGGACGATATTGTTTCGTGTCGTAAAAATATTGTCAATTTCCTTTGCGACGAAGGAGGTGGTTAGGTTTTCTTCAATGCTTCTTTTCCTTTCTTCCGCTCTTGTTCCTCCAACCACTCAAGCTATTCTAGTATATAGGTAAGAGAGTAGCAGCAGCAGCAGCACTAGGAGCATGACGAGTAGATTTGCAAGTGTTTGTTAGTTTGTTAGGATTAGTGGAAGTAACGCCTACTCAAGTATGTCGAGATTTGGATTAGAGATTGATCTTAAACTACCTTGTATTTGTGAGCATGCCTTCGTTTTTGCTACCTTGCTTTTTCTACCTCTGTTTTGTTGCTTATTCAGACTTACGTATGCTTTTTGCTTTCCTCCTATCTCCATCCGCTATTCTTATATCTTTTCTCCAATTCCCTTCGTCCTTGTGTCTCTCTTTCGTTTCCCCTCTTTTATCCTCTCGCTGGCGTCGATCTGCTGATGCTTGGCGCGCTGGCGACTTTTTGCTTGTGCTAGGCGCGCTAAGGAGAGACGACACAACCACGCTATCCATCTCGAGGCGTGCTGTCCGCGGCAGCTGCAGCAACGAAGGCGGCAGAATTTGGTGAGAGAAGAGCGTGGGAAAGAGACAGAATCAGAGAGGGAGTGGGGAGGGTGTGGAGAAGAGGATGAGTGCGGGAAACTAGGAGAGTAGAAGAAAAGTTTGTAGTAATATTCGTTTGACTCTTCTGACTGAAATGTTTGCTTTTTACCGTCTCCGCCAAAGCCTCTGAATCCGAAAAGCATCGTAAAAGTTAGGGCCGTCTTTTTGCTATGGGATTGTAACTGCGTTAGGGTTTGTGTCTCTATTTTCCCTCCGTCCTTTCATTTCGCTGGTAGGGCTTGGTTGATACCCGCCTGCTAGCCATGCTCTACTTACCACTCTAAAGTGAGAAAGATTCTAAGCTATCAATCAGAACTGACTTACATGATTATAACATTCACTAGGTTTTCACCATCTCTTTCCTGGTCGTCTACTTCTGTATTTGCCGTTTTTTAGTGATGCAGGTTGTTTAGACTTTCTAGTCCCTTTGTTTAGCTGTCCATTCTTGTTTTTAGCAAAGATTCTCATTCATGTGTCTTTTCCTTTCATCTTTGTCACCGTGCTCGTTTTAGATCGTCTTTGTTTACGTTTTCAATCATGAAATTCTGTCGTATCGTAGTTCTCTTATGCGTCTCTGCTTTCGTCCTCCTGCCCTTTCTGCCCCATTCCTTTCCCCTCCCACATTCCTCCCCTCCCTTTTCCCCCTCAGAGTCTTTGCTGTACTAATCGGAAAATCAAGGCCAACTAGAAAAATAGATGTATTCTTGTTTGTATGATTGATAATACTGAATTGTTATGCTAGGTTTCTTCTGGGTTTATTTTTTGATTGCGTTTGAGTTTATGTGTGTGCATATTGGAATGTGCGTATGTGTCTCTGTGTATGCATACTCATCCATATACATTTATCATTGCATTAACAATGCGCATCTGTGGATTTTAAAAAAAATATCAACCTATCATTTCCGAGAAGGTTCTTTGCCCACTCAGTGAGTGTGTTCACTTGAACTGGATTTGATGGATCTTGATCATTTTTTTAGTTTTCACGGATTGTGTTGTTTCATGTGGCAGTTGGATGGCTCAGAAATTATGTTATTGAGCTCCCCCCCATGCTAGGCAGGGGATGCCGTAGCATAGGGTCTGGGTCAATTAACTGTTACGCATTTCTATCATGCTATGCATTCATGTCACTACACTAGACTAATATCGTAATAATACTACATTCACCACAATAGCATATGCATTATCTTTATGCATTTTTCATTCAATATTTGGTTCACATGTCTATCATTATATTTTATCTATGCATAACATAATCATGCATATGCATTACGGAATAAACAGTCACGCGTTCACAGTACCGGTAACATCAATTGGCCAACCCATATTCATGTTTCATCCATACAGTATAGGTTAAGTCAAAGCAAACTACCGGTAGGAAATGAGAAGGAAAGTGGCAAATACATAGTGAGTCAATTACCGTAGCCACCGTTCACTATATTTATTTCATCTTTTTTTTAAACGTGAAGATGATGAAAAAAAATTGTACATAACGATTGTAATAGGTTGCTTCTCAACCCAAAAAAAAAAATAAAAATAAACGCCGCAACAAATCCATTCGCGTTCTCTTTTTTTGTTGAACGGAAAAGGAACACACTGCTCAAAGTCAGCACGGCTGATCTTTGGTTAGCTAATGGAGCGTCTGCAGCCTCACCGCCTGCTGAGTCGACAGAATTCTTTGAGCTTTGCTCGATACGCCACGTGTTTTCCATCCCAACAATCGTTACAGTCCACGTGTACCACTTGAATGCCGCAATCCGCATACTACAACCTGGACGTGAACAATAGACACGTCGTCAAATCCCCACGTAGACAGGATTCTTTGCCCGTGACCGGTTGCGTGTGCTCTGGCTGTTTCTCGAAATTTCGTTAACGTCGTCGGCATGTTCTCCACCAATCGCCTCACAGGGTTCGTTCCTCTTCCTCCATTTTCGCTTCTTTTTCCACTTGCTCCCGCTCCCCTGACTTGCAGTCGCACCTCCGTCTATTTCCTCCGTTCTCTGTTCTCTCTTCTGTCACCCTTCATTCTCGGAACTAGGCTTCATTCTCTCCTCGAATCCCGGACGAGTTTTTCGTCATCCGGAACTCGTCTGCCCCATAGAACTGCATTCATAAGAGAGCGTCCACAAGTCCGCTATTCAGCTTCAAGTACTCTAAGAACTCGTCGTGTCACAACTAGTTGTGCTCTTTGAACCTCCGGCGAATTCGGTGCCTCAACTAACTGGTAGTCCCACTTCAGCTTACCTCGTACAGAAACATGGCCCACGCCTCAACCATGGCTGCTCAGCGGTTTCAGTCGCCAGCCGTTACAGCCTGTCTAATTGATGCTAGAACCACCCCCGCTCGCCGTCTACAGACCAAGGCATCATGGCATTCCCTCAACTCAGAAATTACAGGCTTTCGAATTTCGCGAGCCGCGGTAACCACCTCGTGCAGGATTAACTTGTTTTCACGTCGCAGCATGCCGCGAGTCTTCGCAATGGCGACCGACTCCGGCTCCCCTTCTTCAGACAGCACTCCAGAGTCAAAGGAAGAAGCTGCTAAGGCGGCCCCGCTAAGTCCCGAGTCGCCTTCGGGAATTCTCCTTGAGCAGCTAATTCTGTCGCACCCGCATTTGGTGCCGGCAGCTGCGGAGCAGCAGCTGGAGCAACTAGCGGCGGAAGCGGAAGCGTCGGACGCGTCGAAGGAGAGCGGTGCGAAGAAGTCGAGCAGCGACCTCGTTCTGTACAAGTGAGTTGAGATTCCACACCCGTTACAACGGATAAAGATGGCAAGTGTTGGTTGTACACGCAGCGTAGAACGAACAGGGCGAGCAAGAGCATAGCACCAGGGGACAAGCACTGAATGAACAAAAAAAGAGGTGTCACTGGTGCAGCTATGGTGGACCGCAAACACTTATCATGCCAATTTGCACCTGTCGTCCGTTCAATCCGAGCCTCGATGGCTGCAAGCTTTACTGGGTCCTGTGTATTGAATGTTCTTTTGAGCTTCCTTCAATTCGTTGAGCTTCTTCCATCTATCACTCTGAAACTTCTCCGTTCTTAAAACTTGTGTCCCCCGCTTTGTTCGCCCACTGTTCATGTCTTTTGGAATTCTCACCGTCATGCTCCTTGCCGCTGTCCGACTCCCTACCCTTTCCTCAACGCAGGCGAATGGCGGAGGTGCGCAACAGCGAGCGTATGCGCGCAATCAAGGAGGTCATGTACGCGTTGATAGTCCAAAAGTTTATCGAGTCCGGCGCACCGCTCCTTCCGAAAGTCCCCTTCGTGACCGTCGACCCGTCATCCACGCTTTTCCCATCTGCCGCCACGTCACCCTTCGGCCTGGACCTTGTACCCACAGTCCCCGTTAAAGAGCAAGAGCTCTCCAGCGTACATTCTGAGGAGGCGCTAGATATGGTTAAGGAGCACTTGGCTACTATTCTCGGACCGCGTCCGACGGGTCCCATGGCGGCTTTAATTAACGACGACAGGGTGGTGGTGGGTACGAGCAAGCTGCGATTAGGACAGGTGTACGCGGCGTCGATTATGTACGGGTATTTTCTGCGACGCGTGGATCAGCGGTTCCAACTGGAGAAGAGCATTGGGTTGCTAAGAGGCTTCATGGGGAGCGCGGCGGGAAAGGGGGACGCGGAGGGGGAGGACGGGGCGCAGCAGGTAGTGTTTCCGCCTGAGGAGGTAGTGGAGGAGGTGAAAGGGGACAGTGCGGGCGAGGGGGAGAAGGAAGGGGAGGGGGTGGGGGAGAAGGAGGGGGAAGGGGAAGGGAAGGAGGAGCGGACGTTGCGCGCGTATGTGCAGTCGTTTGATCCGGAGACTCTGCAGATGACGGCCACGATGAGAAGCAAGTGAGTAGAACGGGAGGGGGAGAGAGCGCATGAGGTGTGAGAGAGCGTTTGAGAATGAGTAGGATGGGGAGTGAGCGGGTGAAACAGCTCCTCGCTAGATTTTTTACTGACAGCTGGGCATTCGGTGGTGGCACGGCAATACGCTCGTAATATTTCCGCTTAGCGTCACCCAGTAGACATGAGCATACGAAAATCTTACTTACACCTCGTATCCTTCCTCCTCCCCTAATATCGCCTTCCTTTTTTTGTACCCCCCTCCCCTCGTTCCTCCTATCAGGGAGAGCGTGGAGTAGGAGAGCGTGGAGGTGTTGTTGGCATACTCACGAAACCCATTCGTTTGTCCCCCTTTTCCCCTTGGAAATACTAAACCCATTGGTTTGTCTCTTCAGGGAGAGCGTGGAGGTGATTGAGCGGCATACGGAGGCGCTGTTCGGCAAGCCCAAGGTGGAGACTAACGAGGAGGGCGTAGCCGTCGTGAAGGATGATGCGGCGCGACTGACTGTTAGCACGCTGCGACGTCTCGTACTCGAAGCTGTCGCGTTTGGAGGGTTCCTGTGGGACGTCGAATCGTTTGTTGATACGCGGTTTAAGATCACCACTCCTTAGTGTGTAGATAGGTGTTGATATGGGCAGAGTATTTTGAGTTGTGCTGTACTGATAACGCTGTACATTGAACAAATTTTACTAATGCTGCACTGCTTCAGCACACTAGTCATGCTACACACTTGCTCTACCCCATGTGATAGGCGTTGAGCAACTGTGCTTGATAGGCCGTGTACCGCGTTGTGGTGCGGGTTGCTGAGGCGTTTTGAACCTTAGTTGCTTCATTCCTTAAGTTAGTTCCTCCCTTTCTTTTCCTCTTTCCACCTTTCTCTCGACCCTTCTCTTCTTTTCCAGCTCTTCTCTCCTTATCACCCTTTCCGTTGTTTCGCCCTCTCTACCTTCCTGGAGTATTGTTCTACTCTGGAAAAAGTTTTGGACGTGCGGACTACACCGCTTATAGGGAAGTGTCAACTCCCTCTGGATTCTTGCAGTGACTTCTACAACCTATAAGTGTAATTAACAACCACCAATCACTGTCCACGTGTCATCGTTTACTTTGTTAGTAGTGTATACTTGTCAGTTGGGTCAAGAGAAATGAATCCCTCGTCATAAAAGAATGCACTGTAAACGCACCCGTTCACTACATATGGTGCTCAAACTGCAACCTAAGTGGCATACACCCATCGAGACCACGTAACCTCAGCAGCACGTGGCATGGCCCTAAATGACACCCGCACCAGCGCCACCAGCAGCACTACTGAATTAGGACACAAGCCTCACAAGCTTCCAGACACGACTCTACATGCCGCCAGCACCAGTGCCACCGAACTTGGACAGGAGCTTCATGACATGATCCTACATGCCGCCAGCACCACCAGCACCACCACCGAACTTGGACATGAGCTTCATGAGCACAGGACCCACTGTGGGGTCATTCTGATACTTGAGCAGATTGGCCGGGTTCTTCATGACTGCACGGTGGGGGGTGAGGGAAGGAGGGAGTTGAGTGCGCAGGGAGGGAAAGGAGTTGACCAGAGATTCATGAGCACTGGGCCCACTGTGGGGTCATTCTGATACTTGAGCAGATGGCTGGGTTCTTCATGACTGCACGGTGGGGGGTGAGGGAAGGAGGAGTCGAGGGAGGGGAGGGAAGGGAGGGAGGGGAAGGATGGGAGGGAGGGGAGGGAAGGGAGTGGGAAGGATGAGTGAGGTTCACATACCTAAACCTCCATCAACCTATCAATAAGCATCACCATCCACCATAACCTGATTATCATACATCATTACTCATCATCATCCATCATCAACCATCAGCACTCCTCATCACACCTCGTTGCCCCTCATCATACATCACCACCCCTCACCACCACTGTCCACCTACCGTCCTGCATGGCTGCCATGACAGCGGGGTTCTGAAGCGCCATGAGCAGCTCTGGGTCCTGCATGCACACGTGGCAGGTCAGCACGAGTCAAAAGGTCAAAACAAGTCAACAGAAGTCACAAAATCAACATGAGTGAACAAGAGTCAACAGGAATTGACAGGTCAACACAAGGAGCAGGCACATGTACGTACGCACATTTGTGCAGCTTCAACAGTACAATGAAGTCCAAAGCCCCCAACCAGGATCATTCACATTCAGCATTTCGACTCACATTCAGCATTTCGACTCACATTCAGCATTTCGACTCACATTCAGCATCTGACTCACATTCAGCATCTGACTCACATTGAGCATCTGACTCACATTGAGCATCTGACTCACATTGAGCATCTGACTCATGTCCGGCATGCCGCCCGCACCGCCGCCCATCCCAGGCATCCCCCCCATCCCTCCCATCCCTCCCATGCCCCCCATCCCAGCCGGCATCCCCCCTGGGAACCCCCCGGGCATACCCCCCATTCCCCCTGGGAAACCCCCACCACCCCCAGCCCCTCTAGCCGCGTTTTTCCTCTCCTCCTCGCGCCTCTTCTCCTCCTCATACGCCTTCTGCGCCGCCTTCCTCCTCCGCTGCCTCTCCTTGGCCGCCACGCGCTCCTCCCTCTCCTTCCGCAGCCGCTCGTACTTCCTCCGGTGCTCCTCCAGGCGGTGTGCCTTGGGCTCTACCAGCTTCAGAAACGAGTTCACCTCCTCATCGTAGTCCAGCCGGGATGCTAGGCGCAAGTCGGCGGCTGCTGCCTCCCACTGCCCGAGCAGGGCCTTGGCCTCTCCACGGGACTTGTAGGCACGGGCGGAATCAGGGTTGAGCTGGAAGGGACACGAAAGAACATGGAAGAGGCGAGATGGGAGAGTGTTTCTGAGAGGATTTGCCGGTGCTCTTCCAGGCGGTGTGCCTTGGGCTCCACCGGCTTCAGAAAGCAGACGCACATGAAACCAACGCATGAGTGAAACACAAAAATCGGAGAGAGAACGAGGTGAGCATCTGTAAGTGCATGCAAGAGTCACACCCACTCACTCACTCACCCACTCACTCACTCACTCACTCACTCACTCGCTCACCACTGACTCACTCACTCTCGCACTCACTCACCTTGAGAGCCTCATCGCAGTCTCGAATGGCAGCGTTGGGCTTCTTCATGCGCACAAATACCCCAGCTGCAGTGGGTGGAAGGGGGTAGAAGGGGGTGGAAGGGGGTAGAATGGGCAGAAGGGTTGGAAAGGAGTGGGGGAATATAAGGCACTACATGTCACTTCTCCATGAGCACCAACACTCTAATCGGGTATGGCGCACACACATTGGACGGGGTTGGGAATGGGTGGGAAAGGGTGGAAAGGGCGGAAGGGGGTGGAAGGGGGTAGACGGTGGTGGTGGAAGCCAATGAGAGGTCATTGAGAAGGCCGAGGGCAGGGTTAGGCGATTCCTCATTCGTAACTCACTCACTACAGCGGCCTAGGCAAAGGAGAGCAGACAGATGGGACACATCAAAGGGGACACGTCACAAGTCTCCGAGGAATGAACAGAATTTGCCTTTTTGCCACAGAGTAGGGCAGAGGTGAGGCCTGGATAACGAACGCTAGAAGCGTTTTTTTGGCCACAGAGGAGAGCAGAGGTGAGTACCCTTTTGCTTTCAGCTTGCAGCTCACCTTGCTTGCCAACTTCTGAGACATCTCAAAAGCTTGCAGCGCTCACCTCGGTTGCCATAGAGCAGCGCGGAGGTGGGGTTGTTTAGAATGGCCTCTGTGAGATGCGCCACAGCCGCCTCTAGGTTGTCTGATAAGCATAGTGGGTGCATGAATGGGTAATAGGGTTGCACGAATGGGAGAGGGCGAAGGAGGGAGGGAGCGGGAGGGTTAAGTGGGGAGGGTGAAGTGGGGAGGGTGGAGTGGGGAGGAAGAAATTGGTCGGGGGAAGCGTTTGCAAGACTTACGGTATCAGCACACACAGCACACACATCGCCACACACACACCGTCAGCCAGGGCCTCCATGGCCTGGGCCTTGACGGCCTCAGCGGTGTTTCTCTCATGGCCCTGCAAGTGCAGCACACACTCACAGTATCAGCACACACGGCACACACCTTAAACAAGCCCAGTCAGCGCCACCACCCACCCAGAACCACCCACGCACCTTCAGCCAGGGCCTCCATGGCCTGGGCCTTGGCGGCCTGAGCGGCGTCCCGCTGCTCCTCGCCCACCTCCTTGCTGGCGTCGCCCATCTGCTGCGGGGGGTCGTTGTCCCCCTCCACCACGCCCTCCTCGTCTATCTCCACATCAGATTCCACAATTTCAGGCTCCTCCTCTTCCTCTTCTTCCTCTGGTTCCTCCACTTTGCTCGCCTCGGATTCCATCGTGCTTGGTTCTTCCACCTTCTCCTCTGCCTGCTGCCCCCTCCCCCCCCCCCCCCCCCCCCCCCCCCCCCCCGCGCCCCCTCCCAAAAAAACGAAAGAAATGAAGAAGGAAAGGAGATAATGAAAGTGTGTTTGACAGCCATCTGCTGGGGGGGTAGTCCTCCCCCTCCACCACGCCCTTCTCGTCTATCTCCACGTCTGACTCCACTATCTCCAGCTCCTCCTCCTCTTCCTCCTCCTCCTCCTCTGGTTCCTCCACCTTGCTCGCTTCGGATTCCATCGTGCTCGGTTCCGCCTTCTCCTCCGCCTCTCACGAGAGGGGGTAAAAAAACGAATGAGAAACGATTTTTTTGCAGAGCGGAAGTGTGATATGCAGCTGGAATTGTGAATGAGAATCACTTGCTACTTAATACAGCGGGAGCTGCGCTAATGTACAGCCCATCACCCCCCCAACCCTCCACACCCCCCCACACCCCCCCGGACGCCTTTTCTTAATTTGTCTCAGAAGTAAAACGGCGCCATGCGTACCTTGGGTGCGGCGCCCGTCTTCAGGCCGTAAGCCTCCCCTGGCACCTCCGCGTTCAGACTGTCCAGGAGACGAGTGGGATGAGGGGAGCGGGATGGGGGAAGATGAACGACGGACGAGTGAGACGAGGGGAGACGGCAGGAAAACGGGGAAAGTTGGACGAAGGATGCGGGAGAGGGACGAGGGAGGACGGGTTGGGTGACGAAATAGGCAAGAGGCATGTGTGACGGAAAAGTATGTTGGAAAGAAAATGAGACATCACGGCGAGAGGAAAGAGTGTAATAGACGGGTTGAACCCGAAATAGATACCGAAGAAATGACATCAATATCAATAAAATCCGGCGTACTGAACAAAACCGGCTCCAAACTCGACGGATACGAATCTGGTAAGACCAGATTCATTTCCGAATAAACACCGGCGCCGGATTCGGAACAAGCTCGGTCGGCATAAGGCCAGATCATCGTAACCCCCGATTGATCCTACACCCCTTATTTGAACGCATGGTCGGCCTTTCCTTTCTCCAAAACGGATCGCTGAATTTCTTGCCAGCTAAAGCCGCCCTCGCCTTCATAGCTCAACCACTTCTGATGTCGTTACGAACTGATTGACGCGGGGATGGATAACGATGTTTTACACGATGACTCCCAGGAATTCACCAACCTTTCGAGATAATCACGAAAGAACTCAAGCTTCGGGTCAGCGAGAATAGCTGGAGTTTTCTGGCAGAGCTGCACGAAGGCCTTTAGCTCTGCTATCTTCTGCGCGTCCATGGCTGCGGACTGGAGTTAACAGATCGCAGTGACACCTCAAGATTCCGATAAGGGCTCTGATGAGGGATACCAGCGTAAGTAGCGCAGATTAAAGGTTCTAAATGCTGCTAAGTGTGTCAATGATGCTGTATGGAGCTAGTGAGACCAACTGAGGTTGCTAAAGCGCAGAGCGACTTCAGGACGTATGTCCTGTGGAGCGGAATCTAGATGATTCTTGCTTGCAGACAGATTCCAGAACATGCGAATTGGCGGGAATTCCGAGGCCTGCGAACCAAAGGCGCGACAACGACAGGTTTCCAGAAACAAATGGATGCTTGGTTTGGTTGGAGCTTCTTCGCTATCGGAATAGCACATCAGCATGGAAGTCTCCAGTGATACAATGTGGAACGTATTAAAGGGGCTAGCGTATTTAACGAATTTATACCACACCAGAGGCGCTGCATGTTCTGGCAAAGTTGCAAAAAGCATGGCGCATATAATATTCACAGATGAAACGGCTTTCCGTTCATGATTCTTGACAAAACATAGTAGTGTCACACGTTGGTGGAGATAGGTTACAGCTCATTTGTATTTATCCAGAATGCGGCGAGCATCATCAAGGGGGTCATCACCTGAAGCCCCAGAAGAATTCTTGCCATCCTTGGATAGGTACTGGAACGCTAAGTATCCTAGTCCTCCGAGGAACTGCACAGCCATGGACAATCATGAGGATATATATAAGCGCATTCAGATCACCCAAATTTCTTACTCAAGAAGTTCTTCCCAATCTCCAATCCTCCCTCTCCTCCTCCTTCCTTTCCACCAGATAACGGAATCAACGAAGGGCAAGAACTTCCGGTATGTTCTAAACGTTATTGTGAAGAGAAAATGAAAAAGAGGAAGGGACGGGCTCTTACAAGGAGGCTGACGAAAGTGTTAAAGATGGTCTGAACGAGTGACAAGAGGATGGCGAGCGAAAGAAGCGCGACGCCGCCTTTTGCTACTGGCCGAGGGATGCTGGCCTGCATGTAATAGGTCGAGGAGATTGGCGACAAGTGATGCGAAGTACATTGATGAAGGCCGAATTTTGGCGATGAACCTTCTACATCGCAAACATGTAAGTTAATCTCCTCGAACACTTACAGGGACGAGTTTCGTCGCTGCGTCAAGTCCATCGTTGCCTATCTTCACTGCCGTGCTGACCACTGTATCCAGGAAATGCCCAGGAAAAGCATAAAAGAACTTACTCAGAGATTCTGTTTTTCAATTCTTGTTAAAAATTTAAGGGGACACAAATTTAAAGTTACGCGAGAGCTTACAATCGCTCGTAGATCCTTTCTCCGCAACGACAGGCCTAAGGCTTCTTCTCGCGACCACTTCGCATTTCCTAGCCAGAGGCTGCGATAGCTGCCGCCCTGACAAGAACCTCGTGCCTGGACCGCTCACTTTGACGTTGCTCCGAGCCCACGAGGAGCACGTTAGGCACTGTGACGAGGTGGCCGAAAGAGCTACCGAAGCCATTGCAGGAATGGCTAACAATCCAAATCCCCTGAACTGGACGAGAAAATTTAGTGCAAATGAAGAATTTGTGTTGCTCACCCCTGGAATCTGGAATTTGGCATAGTGTGGGGGGGAGTGGATGGATGGAGCTGCCTAGGCACTGAGAGTGTATCACAAATCTGAGCGGGAAGCCAATAATCTGCGTGCCAGCGTGGAAGCCTCCCCTGACAGGCTTCGAGGCAAAATGGAATTCCCTCGGCACGTGCAGGTGCGGAAGATCAAAAATCGAACGGCCCAGATGTTGTATGCGTTTTAGTTTGCTTAGTGATATGTAATGAGCTACAGGTCGTGAAAAAATTTCCAAGGAGCAGAGGGGAAATCACTGTCAATAGTAGTTGAGTAGAGCTGCTGCGAACTCTTTTATGGTGTTTCATGGTTCAGTCTTCAAAATCCTTAGAGCACTTCTTGACCAGCGCAAAATTTTGTAAGAGAACCGAGTAACATATTAATAGAACAAACACATCTGCCAAAGTTGTAACATATCAAGGGCGATGAATCAATGGCACAATTCAAGGACTGACCAAAAATCAGTCACAGCGAGAGACCCTGTAAAGAGACCAAGCACTGAGCTTCCCCGGTGCTGGAAAACCCGAGAGAAAATCCTCTACATGCTGTCTACTTATGAAAGGGGAAGTTCGTGCGGCGGGTGTTTTGGCCTCTGATTTCCCTTGCTGCCTTATCATACTCTCGGGCTGCCTCTTCAGGTGTGCCAAACGTCCCAAGCCACCTCCTCACTCCATGGATGTTGTCCTTTATCTCTGCCACCCATCGATTGCCCAGTCCTCTTCTTCGTACTCCAATGTACCGCACTTCACCACAAAGATTATCTTCCGCTCGTCTTTTAGACTCCAATTTAGGTCCGCTCCCTTTCGAGTTTGCAGAAGCAGCTGCAGGAGAGGGGGTTGAGAAGCAAGTCAGGCCTGCACTGGAATTACCAGCCGAGTCTGAAACTGCTGGTGCTGGTTCTGGAGCAGCACTTGCAGCACTTGAAGGTTGAACCTGATTGTTGCCTGGGCCAGAGGGCTTGGAGCCATGTGGAAGCTTCTGCTTCCTTGCTTTCTTGGCCTGGGGGCCCGCTTTCACAGGAGCTCCATCCAGCTGCCCACCCTCCATTGATGAAACCAGCTCAGCCTTCTTCTGTGTCTTCTTCCTCTTCTTCTGCTGCCTGTCTCCCTCCTCCCTCCCCATTGGATCCACAGCAGCACCCACCACTGCCGTCTTCAAAACTGGCTCACTCCCGCCCACAGCAAGTGCAACCCCAGTATCACTAGAATCACCAGAGTTTCTTGACATTCTGCATGCTTCTGCAACTGGGGTGCTCGTGGTTTCAAGAAGCGCTGCCTTCACACCAACAGCTTCCACCTGCCCACCCTGCACAGATGCCACAAGCTGAGCCTTCTTCTGTGTCGTTTTCCTCTTCTTCTGCTGCTTGCCTCCCTCCTGCCTCCCTTTCTTTCGCGCCACAGCAGCACCCTTCACGGCCGTCTTCAAAGCCACGTCATTCCCGCCCACACCAAGGGCAACCCCTGTTCCAGCCGTTGGATTTTCAGGTGGATCTCCAGGTGAATCTCCAGGTTGTTTCACGGCTGGTCCAGCAGGTGGATACTCAGATGATTCACCAGGTTGATCTCCTGACATCCCCACAGTGCAAGTAACACTCGGCAACCTCTTTGCACCGCTCTCAAGTCCCTCGTCTACCAGCAGCACCTGCAGGAGCTCTTCCTGTGCCATGAAGTCCAAGCTCGCCCGTGGCAGACCCCCTCCCACCTCAGCATCTTCGTTTTGCCCTCTCCATGATCCCTCTCGGGAAAAAGCTCCTGGGGAATCACATTGCGCAGCCGTTGAGAAAATCCTTGTCGGAATATCACCCCCCTTGGGGGAATCTCCTCTCAGCGTGTTGGCGCCCCGAGGCGAGACCAATGTGGCAAAGGGATCGGGCAGAAAGTCAACAAGGCTGAGTGGGTCCATGAGAAGCAGAGAGGTGAAGTCGTCACACCCACTCACGAACAAGCTTTCTGCATTCGTGCACTCGGCAGCACCAGTAGTGCGATCGGCAGTTGCATCAGCTGCAGAAGGCGTAGCAGCATGAGTAGCAGAAGGGGCAGCAACAGCAGCACCTCGGACGATTGGAGAGTCCGTGTCAGGATATCCTGAACCCTGTGCTAGGTAGTGAGGGGGGTGGGGAGCGTGTGGGGAGCCAGGAAAGTGAAACGAGTCCACCATTGTCGAACGATGGGGCTCGCTCGTCACAGCAGCAGCAGCAGCAACAGCAGCAGCAGCAGCAGCAGTAGCAAGCAGCTGCGCTTCCCAAGAGCCAAGAAGGCCTTTGTTGACAGTCTGCGCCTCCAGAGTGGAAGCAAGCACATCGGCAAAGGGAAGACCGTTCACTCCCACAGGTTCCTGGTCCGGTTCAGCTGGTTCAACCGGTTCAGCTGGTTCAACCGGTTCAGCTGGTTCAACCAGTTCAGCTGGTTCAACCGGTTCAGCTGGTTCAACCGGTTCAGCCTTGTTAAGTCTGCTGTGAGGGCAGGTATCAGTTGCCATACTTGTACCGTGCAGCTGCAAGTCCACGAGCTTAGGAGCGGCGGGGACGATGGAGGAAACATGAATCTGGTGAGGCAGTATCGTCGTCATAGCGACGTTCACAGCATCGTCATTCTCAATCCTTTGAGTGGTCGGTTCACAAGCCACGTTGGCATTATTACTACAGCCGCTCCCTCCAGAGACCATCTCCATTCTGGTAGTAGCAGCGGCCATGTGAAACGATGACAGCTCTGCTGCTGCGGTCTGATCATGCCAGATTTCACCGAGAGGAGCGGGGTTGGATGGACCGAGAGGAGCGGGGTTGGATGGACCGAGAGGAGCGGGGTTGGATGGACCGAGAGGAGCGGGGTTGGATGGACCGAGAGGAGCGGGGTTGGATGGACCGAGAGGAGCGGGGTTGGATGGACCGAGAGGAGCGGGGTTGGATGGACCGAGAGGAGCGGGGTTGGATGGACCGAGAGGAGCGTGGTAAGATGGACCGAGAGGAGCGTAGCGAGGATGGGGCGTGGTAGGATGGCTACTAAACTCCGCCACCACCGGTTCTGTTGTTGTTGTGGCGATCTGAATCTCTCCACCACGCCCTTCCACAATGCACGTATCTCCCAGGCTCCCCACGCCGCCAACCCATGCTGCAGCCTGCTCGGACAGGCTGCCACACGCCGCTGGCCATGATGACCCATCATCAGATGATCTGACATCCGCCAACGCATGACTGTCAGGAAAAGAATTGACATTACCGGACCCCAGGTTTGGGCAAATGGTGGTACTAGGCTCGGGCCGAGCCTCAGCATGGGTCAGAGGCTCAGGCTGTGGGCAGATGATGGTTGTACAAGGCTCAGGCTGAGCAGCAACATGGGTCGATCCCAAACTGGATTGTTCGTCTGCCGCTTGAAAGAAGCCGCACACACCGTTGGGGAAGGAGAAATAGTAGAACCGCAGTCCGCCGCCGCCGCCGCTGCCGCTGCCGCTGGTTGGATCCGATATGATTTGATTGGGTGCTGCAGCTGTGACGCTGGGAACCGCTAAGCTTTTGGATGTAACGGCCTCCGTTGCGTTCTGCGGTGCCCCTGCCAGCGGTTGCACAGATGGCAGTGGGCCGGCATTAGCTGGCAGTGGGCCGGCATTAGCTGGCAGTGGGCCGGCATTAGCTGGCAGTGGGCCGGCATTAGCTGGCAGAGGGCCAGCGTTAGCTGGCAGTGGGCCGACATTAGCTGCCAGTGGGCCGGCATTAGCTGCCAGTGGCCCATGCATAGTAATGTGGTGTTGACCCGACACGTTGGAAAGATCGGTTGTTCCAGACGGTGTTTCTCCTTCGCCGGGCCGCCGCGCCGCTGTGGTCATACTCGCGAGACGTTCAAGCAGCTTCTGGAGAGTGATTGAGTCGAGGGATGCAAGGATTGCATCAGTGATGTGCGAATCATGACTTGGAAACCTTGCGTGTGCCTCATGACTTGGAAGCCTTTCGTGTGCCTCATGACTTGGAACCCTTGCGTGTGCCTGGAATTCATGTTTTGGCGGCGATGGGGATGTGGAGATGCGATGATGATGCTGCGGCTGCTGCTGCTGATTTGCTGAAGTGGTAGTTGCTTTAGGAGACTCAGGGTCCGGAATGATGCTGTGAGCCCGAATGCCGTGGCCTTCCACGTCACCTCCGGAATGCTTCACCAGAGCTTCCACGTCACGCCGGCTGCCACGTTGCCGCTGGTATCCAGAGGAGCCCGCCGAGTCAGCGCTACCACTGGCAGCATTCTCGGAAAAGTCAGCAGTATCGGAGCAGGTTAGAACCGAGACTGACGGCGATGCTGGCGCCGTTTCCGGCAGAGCCGCATCTGCAGCAGCAGCATCGTGGTGAAGCCTCAGGACGCCGCTTTGCCGCGAATCAGAGCCGGACGACATGATGATACTTGCCGTGCCACCGCGGTCCGCGACGTGACAGGCTGTGCACGACCTGGCAGGAGCCTACGCTGTGGTAGCGTAACTGGTATTACTGGATACGTAGTAGAGCAGGCATTAGTACTAGTAGGCCCAAAAACAACTCCAATTGTGCTATTAGTCTGGCAGAAGCAATGAGGGTACCGTCGCAAAGACGTTCCCAACTCAAGAATACTGGGTGATGGCTCCCGTCCCGATTGCTCCCGTCGTGATTGCTCCCGTCCCGATTGCTCCTTACTTTCCATTGGGAAGAATGTGAAGGGTGAAACGCGTGGCTCTCCTCAGTGCTCTAGAATGTCTGCTCTATCATGGCGACTCGAAACACTGCCTCACAATTGGATGCTTAACTTCACTTATTCTTCAACTTGAAGACGACCTGAAATCCTTATCCGACTGGAATGCTACTAGACACCTGTGTCGTTATCTGTGCACCAACGACAACATCCTGGGGAATGCCGTTACGGTGAAAGTCGTTTATCTACACCCACCACGACCTGCGAAAGCAAGACCTAACACCATCAGTGCGGCCGCTAGCTAATGTAGAGGAACGAAGGGGCAGCAAGATCACGCCATCTGTGTTGGACGAATCCATTTTCTTCGAAATTGTGATATTTTAGGGCAACGCAGAGAGAAATCCATCACCATATCTGTCAAAGAATGCTTATAGTGAAGCACAAAGATAACAGCATTATGTATGGCCCCTATATGTTGCGTGTGTCATTGATCTTGATGAAAATTATCCAGAGAATCTCATGAAAAAATATATCTCAGCAGCAATTGACTGTACCAGAAAGTCGTTACTGTACATTCATGCAGTAGCAAGAACGAAGAACACTGAAAGGAGTACGAAGGCGAAGGGTCGAAGCGACAACGCGCCGCACGGTTGGGTTTGAATTTGAATAAGAGAATGTACCCCCTAGAGTACATGGCTAGAATAGGACTTTTCGTATTCCCCTGTATCCAGAGAATCTCATGAAAAATATATCTCAGCAGCAATTGACTGTACCAGAAAGTCGTTACTGTGCATTCATGCAGTAGCAAGAACGAAGAACACTGAAAGGAGTACGAAGGCGAAGGGTCGATGCGACACGAACAGTTGCGAAGCATCTGGACCGTCAGAGCAGACAACATCGGGCAGCAGCAGGAGCAAGGAAATTGGCGGGAGCGGTTTTGTAACTGTACGCGCCGCACGGTTGGGTTTGAATTTGAATAAGAGAACGTACCCCCTAGAGTACATGGCTAGAATAGGACTTTTCGTATTCCCCTGTATTCTTATATAAACCGTTGTATTTGCATGTTCTAATCATCTCAGCCATTTTAAATTCACTCTGATCTGAGCTCACCATCTTCCGCTACAACACTCTGATCCTGCGAACCTTCCTAAGGCGATCCTAGGCACGATCTACATGTTGATCGCAACATGGTATGAGAGCGACTCAGAGAACCTTTGCAACGCCACCACCAAAATCTTCGGCGAACTAAAGTGGCGTCCGACACACGCTCGCGCGTAAGAATGGCCGGTGGATCTGGAGGTCAGACGAATCTGACCGCCGAAACGCAAGCCAACCCAGCTACGACAAACGAGGAGACGACGACAATGAGCACATCTGCTCGCGCACAACTACTTCAGCGACCCTCAACTATGGAGCAAGGATTCCAGACATTGCGGAATGGCGACGCGGGAACATCTTCCCAACCCTCTCAACCGACCCCAAATGGCCGTGACTCCGCCCCGCATACCTTCTCCCTCGAAACGAATGGCTCCCAAGACTCCTCGTCACAGCGATGAAGCAATTATCTCAGCTCAGTCAAAGTCTAAGCATGTAAAAAACAAAGACAAGTTCTTGCTTTAACGGCAAGGACTTGTACACATGGAGCTTCGAGCTGGAGCTGCTACTGCAAAACGCGCAGATTTTCCACTATCTCGACAGGAGCTACGCGGAACCTGCGGAGAACACTGTTGAAGAAAGAACACAGTTGTATAGCAAGTCCCTCATAGCTTACGGCGCTCTACTGCACGACATGTCGCCGGCGGAGAAATTGGGAATTCGTTCCTACAAAACAACATCTGCCCCAGCCCTTAATGCCTGGCGACATCTTAACAGCATATACCAATCGAAAGACTCGGCTTCGTCGAGCCGTCTGCTCAAGCAGCTACTGGAGACAAAAATGGCCCCAGGGGAGAAGGCCAACAGCTATATTAACCGCTGCTGGAGCTTACGCGATCAAATCGCGAAATTGGGGAGCTTGATCTC